ACTGTGTTGCCAGCTTTATGGAAGTAAAAAAAGAAACAAGGTGAAAATAACTTTGTTTTCTTCCCTTCAACACAATGTGTTCTTGTTTTCAGCTCCTTAGGCGGAGTGGACACAGAGTCCCCACGCCCTGAGCCGCCGGGGGCTGGCCGCCAGCCTTCCCGCGCCGCTTCCGCTCCCGCTGGCACAGCACCTGCTCGCCCGTTTCTGCTGGACGACGCCTTATTCAACGGCACCCCTGGCTCGGGCGCACTCCCACGAGGGCACATCCCGGGGCGCGGCCTCCTCGCGGGCACTGGCCAGCGGCGGGGCCTGGGGTCGCTGTCCACACCGAGCCGCCGCAGGCAGACAGAGCCAGCACCGCGGCCCCTGTTCGCCGGCTGAGGGCTGACACAGAAGGGCAGGCCCCACGTCCTCCACTGCCCGGTGCGTGCCTGGACAGCGCGGGCATCGATTAGGGGATTATGGGTAAGGTCAGCGGATGGGCAGCCGGTCAGCGCCGGATCCGGGACACCGAGGCCGCCGCTGTCCCCAGAGCACCCCATGTCATCGTGCAGCTGATACAGACATCACCACGCCGCCCCCGCCGCTGCCCGCTAAGTCCTTGCGCTCCCGGCTTTTCGCCCGCCCAGCCCCACCCGGCCCGGCCCCGCCTTGGTCCAGGGGCTCCCGGGGCGGCGGCTCCGGTGTCAGCACGGCAAATCCCGCGCTTTCATCAGGCTCTCGGAAGGACCCACGAACTCAAACAATAGAGGTGGACGCCAGCCACGCCCTCCTCGCGGAGCTGGGAGCCGCTCTGGGGGGGCCGCAGCGGCCCTGGGACCGCGCCCCGCACCCTGCCCGTGGAGCTCCAGGGTGGCCCGAACACGGCCTGCCGCCCGGGGCGCGCCCATCTCTGGAAGACGGGACCCTCGCGCCCCCGTGAGCCTCGCCGCTCAGGGACGGGCACCGGGCTGAGGCACACGCGTGGGGCCGAGAGGCTCCGGGGCCCTCTTGTTTCCTGACGCGGCTCGTTCCAAAGAACACGGCAAAGGCGTCGTCCCAGCACTGCCAGCCGCTGCGGCCCGCGCTCCGTCCCTCTCATCTCCCGGTGCCCCCGCAGCGGTGGGTTTCAGGGGATCCGCCTGTTCTGCTCCCCGCTCTGCCTCTGGGGAGTCCTCTCGCCCCGCACCTCTGGCCTGCACCGGCTCTCGCACGCAGATAACCTTCAACAACAGAGAAGACGCTGACCCGTGGGGGGGCACAGGCCCCTCACCACGCCCGCACCAGCCCCCCAGCTCCGGCTCCTGGGGGGCGGCGGGGTGGGAGCAGGGACCACAGCACGCGGCCGGCGCAGGGGGCAGGCGCCGTGGCGCGGCGGGCGAGCGGGGCTCCGTGTCCAGCGCAGGCGGCGGGCTCTGTGCCGCGGCCCCTCCCAGGGGTCCTGCCTCCGCCTCGGGGAAGCAGCGCCTGCCGCGTGGGGAGCGGGCCGGGGCTCCCTGAGATCAGGTCTTGGCAGGCGGACGGGGCAGCGGCCACTCCCTGCTGGCGGGGGAGCCTGCGCCGGGACGAGAGGCGTCACCGCCTGCAAACCGGGGCCCGGCCGGCGGTTCACGGCCCGTCTGGCTTCCCCCCTTGCCAGCAGGAGGAGAGAGGAACGGGCAGCCGCAGCGGCGCTGGCGCCAGTCTTGGCGTTTCCAGAGGAGCAGGCCGGGCTCGGGCGGCACCTCGTCTCCCTCCGTTCTCTGCGGCCCAAGGCCGCGGGCCGGCGCCCGCCACGCGCTGTGACGCGTGAGCCACTCGGGTGGGACCTCTGGGGACAGACTTCGCTGGTCAGGTTGATTTGGAAAAAATATAAAAGGAGTAGCTGAGATAGAAGATACGGCACAAGCGCTAAAACACACCACACGGCTCGAGAACATCTCACCCCCACCGCAGGACCAGGCGGGAGGCGATCTCCTCTGCGTCATCTGCAGTCACGCTGCCGGGCGCCGGGACCGTCACACGGGACCTCCCGGGGGGCGCCGGGCTCAGCCTCAGCACTGCGAAGCTGTCGGCCGCCTCTGTAGCATGAGCCCCATCCCCGGCCAGGGAGCAGCCCACGGGGCGCAGCAGATCTCGCCTGTCTCCCCGCTGCTCCCCTCAGCAGCGTATTCAGTGGATCCGCCTGTTCTGCTCCCCGCTCTGTCTCTGGGGAGTCCTCTCACCCCTGCACCTCTGGCCTGTACCCCAGTCCTCGCATGCATAAATAAATCTTCAAAAAATGCACGTCCCACGTAAGTAGAGAACACATGAGCGCTATGCAGACACGCACAGCGGGACAGGAGCCCGCTGGATCTCACGCGCTAAATGTGTCTTTAACGAGAAGCCCCGTTAAGACGGGCAGTCATCCCTGTTTCCTAAAAGGAAACTGAGGCACAGAGGCAGCTGGCGGGCAGGCGACAGCCCCGGGGCAGGAAGGCTGCAGCGGGAAGCCCAGGGAGGCGCAGGCCCGCTATACCGGGGGGTGTGCACTCTGCGCCAGACCGGGAGCCTCCCCCACACACCTGCTTCTGGAGGTCACTCCGGGTGACCCCGCCGAGTGCCGTTGCTAAATGAGGAGGTGCAAAGCTCCCCGGATCATCAGTGAGCCTCTGGGGGGGCTGGGAGTGCTGGAGGCTCCTTCTCACCCTCCTCCCTGGGGACCCAGGTGGTCAGCGCTGCAGCCTGACCTTTCAGCTCAGCACAGCAGCTGCTCGGCCCTGGGCTGGCCACGCGGCCAGCCCAGAGCCTGCTGGCTGCAGGGCCAGAGGGCACCCCAGACACCCCAGGCCCTCAGGGCACCGCCTGCCCCTCCTTGGCTGGTGTGTGCTGGAACCATGGCTCTGCTCGGCCAGGGTGCTGGCAGGACCTCCAGATTCCTTTTTTTCTTAAAGATCTATTTATTTATGCATACAAGAGCTGGGGTGCAGGCCTGAGGTGCGGGGGGTGAGAGGACTCCCCAGAGACAGAGTGGGGAGCAGAACAGGCAGATCCAATCCACTGCTGAGGGGAGCAGCGGGGAGACCGGAGAGTCTGCTGCGCCCTGTGGGCTGCTCCCTGGCCGGGGATGGGGCTCATACTACAGAGGCTGCCAATAGCTTCATCGTGCTGAGGCGCTTAACCCCAGCGCCCCCAGGGAGAACCCCCCAGAATCCTGGATGAGCCTTAGAAAGAGAGCGAACGAGGGCTGCAGCGCCTGCGGCCCGTCAGAGCTGCCCCCGCCACCGTCTCAGGCCCCGCGTTCGCATCAGCAGCGCCGCAGGGAGACTCCAAACAACCCAAAGGCACAAGATTCAAAGCCCCCCCGGGCCCCCGCTGGCAGCCGCCCGCAGACGCGTTTAGAAAAATCACGGGGCCCGGCCGCTGCTGGCCGGCAGGGGCTAGAGAGGAGTCCCCGGGCCGCGGCTCTGTGCGGTCAGGGGTGGGGGCGGAGGGGCCGAGACCCCTGGGAGAGCTTCGGGCACAGCCCCGACCAGCCGCCGGCTCTGCTGTGTGCACCCCCGTGCCCGTCTGTCCCGCCTGTCACCGCCGGGCTGTGCTAAGCGAACACCGGACAGCCGGGGTCTCGGCCCCAAAGATCTCCGCGGCCTGTGATTTACTTTACATACTTGGTCTCCCCCAAAAAAGGCCAGAGAAGGTGAGTGCAGGCAAACGCTGAGGTTGTGCAGGCCGGCCCAGGACCCGGGGCTCGGCCCAGCCTCTGCCACTTGTGTGCCGGCCCGCGGTCCTCACAGCAGCCCCCAAAAAGCCACTTCTCGGGGTGAACTCAAGTCACCGCGGACTAGCCGCCACGGGCAGGGAGCACAGCGCCTCCGCAGAAGGCGGCGGAGGGGGGCAGCCGCGAGCCAGGCCCCCAGCCCCGCCCGGCACCCAGGGGCCCCTCCAGGCCGGCCGCCGCGGCTTATTAATAGCAGGCGTAGTAGCGGCGCGGCCAGTGAGTCAGCGGGGCTGGCCCGGGGCCCGCCGCCCGCTGCCGACCTCGCCAGGGCTGCGCGCCGCCCAGAGCCTCAGTTTCCTGCTCTGCGGCCTGGGGATAAACCCCCCTCTGGGGGGGCCGAGAGGGTCCCTTCCGTGGAAAGCCGCCCACGCTGGGGCCAGCTCAGAGCAGGTGCCCGGCTTAAGGAAAAAGTACTTTTCTCCAGGGCACCTGCAGCTGCGAGACCTCCAGGCCGGGAGGAGGCTGGGCCTGGGCTCGCGGGTCTCGGGGGGTGGGGGCCGGAGGCCTGGACCCCTGGGTCTGGGGGTGGAGGGGCCGGGGGCCCTGGACTCCCGGGTCTGAGGGGGGACATGGGGGCCAGGTTCCTGCTCTTATGGAGCCCCGGGGCCTGGGCTCCTGGGTCTGGGGGGCCGGGTCTGGACCCCCAGGTCTGGGGGAGGAGGGGCGGGGGGCCTGGAGGACTCCCAGGTCTGGGGAGGAGGCCGGGGCGGCCGCTGGTCTGGGGGAGCAGCTTCGGGAGTGATCACCTTCGTTTTTAAAGTGAAACCCCTGGTGCCCGAGGGGAGCGCGGGGCCCTGGCCCCCGCCCAGGAAGGTGTGTCAGCCACGGCCCCGTCCCGCTGCCCGGAAGCTGGCCCTTGGGGGTTCACATGTGTTTTGTCCCCTCTGTCCTGGGACCGGAGCCCAGAGTCCGAGCTGGTCTAAGTTTGGAAGGGGAGGGAGAGGGACAGCGGGCCAGGGGGTGAGGGCGGGGTGTGGGGGGACAGGGTGTCTCCGACCGTCACACCTGCTGCTGTCCCGCGTCCAGAGAAAGGCGGGACAAGGGTCCGGGAGAGGCAGGAGCGGAGGCGGGAGAGGGAACAGGGGCACCACTCGGCCAGGCCAGAGCCCCGAGGCAGGCGGGGGCCGGCGGGGGCCAGCGGCGGGCAGCGGGGCCAGGAGGGGAGCAGGGCGGGAGCGGGTGCTGGGGACCGGCGGGGGCTGCGGAGGAGCAGCGCGTGGAGGGGGAGCGGGGACAGGCTGCAGTGAGGGCCCCGCGGGGGCGGCTGACACCAGGGGACCCTGAGATGGAGAGCGGGGACCCCGAAAGCCCAGAGGATGGGGACCCGGAGGTGAGAGCACGAGGGAGGAGAGGCAGGGAGGGAAGGGAGGCGCGGCTGAGACAGGCCGGCGGGCAGCGGGGTCAGCGCAGCGAGGCTGCCCGGGGGACGCCGCAGAGCCGGCGAGGAGACGGGCGCAGGGGAGGTTGTGCGGGCAGGGGCCGCCGCCCGGCCAGGAAGCCGGCAGGGGCCTGAGGGGCGCGGCACCGAGACTCACGCTCCTCCCGGGGGGCGCCCCCCGCCCCCGGCCCGCAGGAGGACACGGCGGCGGCGCTGCAGAGGCTGGTGGGGCTGACGGCCGGCAGGGTGGCGGCGGTGAGGAGCCTGGCCACCCGCTACCGCCTGCTCCGCAAGCTCGGCTCCGGCTCCTACGGCCGCGTGCTGCTGGCCCGGCCGCGCCAGGGGGGTGAGTGGGGAGCGGAGGGGACCCCTCCGGGCACTCGGGAGGCCGGCCCTGCGACGAGAGGGCGAAGCCGGGGGGCGGAGGCTTGCCCGAGGCCACGCGGAGGGCAGGAGTCGGCTGGACGCCTGAGGGGCGGGGGCCGAGGCAGGGCCACGGCAGCGGGGGCGCCCCGGGAGCTCCTGGGCCCGCCAGCCACCCTCTCCCCGCAGGCCCGGCGGTGGCGCTGAAGCTCCTGCGCCGCGACACGGTGCTCCGAGCCACCTTCCTGCGGGAGTTCTGCGTGGGCCGCTGCGTCTCAGCCCACCCCGGCCTGATCCGCACGCTGGCCGGGCCCCTGCAGACGCCCCAGCACTTCGCCTTCGCCCAGGAGTACGCGCCCTGCGGGGACCTCAGCGGGCTGCTCCAGGAGCGGGTGAGGCCCGGCGCCGTCCCACACCCACCCCGCGTCACCCACCCCCAGGCCCCGAGCGCCCCCTCTCAGTCAGCACAGCCCCAGCCTGCCCGCCTTCTCCTCCGACCTCCCAACACAAGCTTGGTGGGGCAGGGGGCGGGGGCGGGGGTGAGGCTGGGGGGCGGCGCGGGGACAGGGGAGCGATGCGGCCAGCGCTGGGGCTGGGAGCTGGGTCGGGGCCGAACGTGGGCTGATCAGAGATGGCAGCATGAGTGGGGGGTAGCATGGGGGGCCAGCATGGACGGGGGGGGCAGGGAGGCCCGGGATGTGCCTGCAGGAGGCGGCCGTGGGGTGCGGGGTCCCCCTAGAAAGGAAACCAGGCCGGGACTGACGCAGAGAGAGGGGCTTTAGGAACAGGCTCTGGGTTTTAGAGGCCACTGGGGCCAGTGCAAGGGATGGAGGGAGGCAGGGAGGCAGCAGAGCAGACGGATGGACGGATGGTGGATGGTGACGATGGACGGGTGGGCGGATGGACGGGCGGGCGGATGGGTGGGTGGGTAGGGGGCGGGTGGACGGGTGAGGTCACGCTGGACCACAGAATGGCATTCCTGACCGCTGCCAGACGGCCGCCGAGGGGCACGCCGCGCAGGCTACTGACGGTGGCGGCCTGGCCGGCCGTCGGCCCACCACATGGACGGGCGGCAGCGGGCGCGCGGAGCCACGGCAGCGCTCCCGAGCAGGGCCTGCGGCAGGGCCGGGGTCTGGGTCAGCGTGGGCAAGGCTGTCTCTGGCTGCACCCTTGGGCCAAGACAGAATGTGGAGGAGCCAACGCGGCCTCGCCCTCCCCCGCCAGGCCCTGCCGGAGCCGCTGGTGAAACGCGTCGCGGCGCAGCTGGCCGGGGCGCTGGATTTCCTGCACGGCCGCGGGCTGGTGCACGCCGACGTCAAGCCCGACAACGTGCTGGTCTTCGACCCCGCCTGCAGCCGCGTGGCCCTGGGCGACCTGGGCCTGACCCGGCCCGAGGGCAGCCCGGCCCCTGCACCGCCCCAGCCCCTGCCCTCCGCGCCCCCTGAGCTCTGCCTCCTGCTGCCCCCCGACACGCTGCCCCTGCGGCCGGCCCTGGACTCCTGGGGCCTCGGGGTGCTTCTCTTCTGCGCGGCCACTGCCGGCTTCCCGTGGGACGTGGCACTGGCCCCCGACCCCGGGTTCGAGGCCTTCGCGGGCTGGGTGACTACCAGGCCCAGGCCTCCTCGGCCTCCGCCCCCCTGGGACCGGTTTGCACCCCCAGCTCTGGCCTTGCTCCAGGGGCTCCTGGACCTGGACCCCCAGGCAAGGAGCCCCCCGCTGGCCATCCTGGAGTTCCTGGGGGATGACTGGGGGCTGGAGGGCGACAGGCAGGAGGCTGGGGGCTCAGGCCGCGGGCCCAGTGAAGGCGAGGGAGACGAGGAGGAGGGGGGGTCGGACCTGGAGGAGTGGACGGAGGGAGAGGAGGAGGCAGAGGAGGGCGGAGGTGGCAGGAAGACGGGGACAGACGGGGGCACCCCCTCATCAGATGACTGAGACGGCTGGCGGGAGCCGCGGACGCCCTCCCCACGGGCCAGCTGCTCGCCAGGCCGGCCACCCCCGCGGACCACAGGGGGAGACAGCCCCGCCCACCCCGCGACCCGCAGATCCTCCCCGCGGCCTCCCCACCCGCCCCGCGGGGCCCCTGGGGTGACTCCGCTGTCCCTGGCCAAGTGGGGACTCTCAGGCCCACGGCGGGGAGCGTCAGCCCCCACCGCTCCGGGCTCTGGGGACCGTCCTCCCTGGGCCCTCGTTCTCACCCCGCAGGGCCGGCCCTCCCGCAGCCCCTCCCGGGCCTCCGCGTCCCAAGACAGCCCTGGGCGCCCCGGCCCCGGCCCGGCCCCTCCCCGCCCGCGCCCCCAGACCGCGGCCGGGGGGGGGGGGGGGGGGGGCGGGTCTGCAGCGCGTGTGAAATAAAGTTGCCTGAAACCCACCGCCTTGCCGTAAACTGGGGGGCGGGTCTCTGGAAACCCCCAGCGCCTCCTCCCCCGGCCCCCGGGGCCAGGCCCCTTCCCCTGCCCCTCAGACCCGGGGTCCAGGCCCCCAGCCCCCCGCCCGCTCGGACCCCGCCCGGCCCCAGAGGGCGCAGGCACCGCCCCGCGCGGCCGCGACCCTCCCGCCGCTCCCGATGCCCGCCGGCCGGCGCGCGTGTGCGCGGAGGGGCGTCCACGGGCAGGCGCCGGCCCCTCGGGCAGGGGAGACGGAGCCCCCAGGGGGACGCCTGGGCGAGGGAGGCAGGTGCTGCAGCAACTGGGGGGCCCAGGCGGCGCGGAGGGGGGTCTGCGCCCTCCGAGGGCGGGGGGGCCGGGCCGGTCCCCGCGAGGAGGCGCCCAGGGGGGCACGCGGCCGCGCCGTCCCCGCGGTCAACGTGCTGGGGCGCCGCGGGCGGGGCGGGCGGGGCTACGACCCCGGGGGCGGGCCCGGCAAGGCGGGGGGCGGGGCTACGACCCGACAGGGCGGGGGCGGGGCTACGATCAGGGGCGGTGACGGAGGGGCGGGGCTACGACCCTGGGGTGGGCTCGGCAGGGCGGGAAGGGGCGGGGCTACGGCCCGGGCGGGGCGGAGGGGCGTGGCTACGGCCCGGGGCGGGGCCGGAGGGGCGGGGCTACGGCCCGGGGGCGGGCTCGGCAGGGCGGGGAGGGGCGGGGCTACGGCCCGGGGGCCGGCCCGGCAGGTCGGGTCCGCCGGCGCGGGCGCGGCGGGGGCAGTGAGCGCGGCGGCGGGCCTCAGGGCGGCGGGCCTCAGGGCGGCGGGCGGCGAGGACGCGGGCCCGGAGGCGCGGAGGGGCACGGCACCCGAGGGTGAGCCCAGGCAGGTGCGGGTCCCAGGCGCCGGGTTGGGGCAGCAGCTGGGCGTTAGAGGCGCGGCCGGGTCCAAGGAGCGTGAGCCCGGAGGCTCCAGGACGGGAGGGGCTGGGGTCCAGCGCGCGGGGCTGAGGGAGGAGGCGCGGGTCTGCACCCCTGGGCCCCAGGGGGAGCCCGGCCTCTCCAGGCAGCGGGATGACCCCCACTCAGGACCCAGGCGTCCCCAGCTCTGGCGCGCACCGCCTGCCCAGGCCCTTGGGGCAGGGAACACCTGTTTGCCCTCAGGAGACAGAAGCTGCTCCAGCGTCCACCCGGCCCCAGTCTGTTTGCTTTGGAAACAGGTGGGGCGTCTCCGGTTCTCTGGCTCGTCTTTCACCCTTGGGCCATCAGGTGGTGCGGGGATCTGAGGGTGGGGGCCCAGGGCCATCTGTGAGCCCAGGCTTGACCTCACCCCACACCAGTGACCGGCCCCCTGCCTCCCGGATGCCAGTCATGAAAAGGGCAACTGAGTCTCAATGGCAGTCGCCAGTGAGCCCCCGGCTCCTCCCCTCACCCCGGGGTCCAGGTCCCTCCTCCCTGTGACCTGGGGTCCAGGCCACAGCCTCCTCACTTGGGCCCCGGGTCACCTCCGTCCGCTGACCTTGCACAGATGCCCGGGAAACAAGCAGACGAGGACCAGGCGGAGTTGGGGTCCGCAGAGGACGGCGCTGATGAGGACCTGGGCGGCCTCACCCCCGAGGAGCTCCGCCAGGGCCAGGAGGCAGCCTTAGCGCTGGAGGACATGATGGCGCTGAGCGCCCAGACCCTGGTCCAAGCTGAGGTGGATGAGCTGTACCAGCAAGTGCGTCCCCTGGGCCAGGGCCGCTACGGCCGTGTCCTGCTGGTCACCCACCGTCAGAAAGGTACAGCGTGGGTGGGGTGGGCGCCGGGAAGCAGCGGCACAGCCGGGAGACCCCCCCAGGCTGGGGGCTGCACACCCAAGCCCAGTTTTGCTGCCCCTTCCATGCTGTGTGCTCTTGGGGCGCACCTGCCCTCTCTGAGCCCAGCCCCCTCAGACAAGGTGGGGAACTACTGCCACTGGAAGACGCGGCTCTCTGGCCTGTCGGCGCTGCTGCTTGGGGCATGACGCCGGGCCGGTGCCCCACAGCCCTGGACGCAGCAGCTGAGTGACTGCCATCTGCAGGACACTGCCCCCGGTGTGTGCGCGGTCCGCGTCCTCCCTACCACACTGGGAAACCGGTTCACGACACCCCCCCACGGTGGGGCGGAGGACAGGGCCCCCCCCTGCTGAAGGGGGCGGAGATCAGACCAGAGCCCAGAGGGGGACCCTGGGCTGGGTGGCGGTGGCTCCTGAGTCCTCAGCCCCTTCTTCCACAAGACACCAGCCTCACAGGACTGGGCCCCACCCTCGGGCCTCACTGGCCTGTCACCACCGACAGCAGTCCTGGGGGGTTGGGGGGGTAGAGAGAAAAGGCAAACAGACCCAGCCCGCACCCCAGCGGCCCCAGGTAGGGGAGATGGAGCACGAGGTGTCCCGGCGGGGCCTCTCCAAGTGGACAGGGCCGAGGCCCGCAGCGCTGCGGTGCGTGCAGCCGGTCCTGCGCCGGCCACTCTGGGCAGCCCGCTGCGGACACCGGCTGGGATCGGAGCCCCAGCCCAGCAGGGCTTCTCCAGCGGGCCTGTGGAAGGAGAGGCCGCCGCGGGATCGGAGCCTCTGAGTGGGGTTTGGGGACACCGGCTCTCCGCGGCAGCGGGCGCAGCGCCAGGGGGGGAGCGGGGTGTGGCCTCCACGCCCCACCCACCCGCCCCGCCCACCCCCAGGCACGCCCCTGGCCCTGAAGCAGCTCCCCAAGGCCTCCACCTCCCTGCGGGGCTTCCTGCACGAGTTCTGCGTGGGGCTCTCGCTGGGCGCGCACGCGGCCATCGTGGGCGCCTACGGCATCGGCATCGAGTCTGCCGCCTGCTACAGCTTCCTGACCGAGCCGGTGCTGCACGGGGACCTCATCGCCTTCATCCAGCCGAAGGTGGGGTCCCCGGGGCTCCGGGGCGGGGCGGGGCGGGCCTGGGCCTCCTGCGCCCCGGTCCGCAGCGGGGCCTGGACGCTCCCGCCCCCCCCCCCCCCCGCAGGTGGGCCTCCCGCCCGCGGCCGCCCAGCGCTGCGCCGCCCAGCTGGCCTCCGCCCTGGAGCACATCCACGCGCGCGGCCTGGTGTACCGGGACCTCAAGCCCGAGAACGTGCTGGTGTGCGACCCCGGCTGCCGGCGCGTCAAGCTGACCGACTTCGGCCACACGCGGCCCCGCGGCACGCTGCTGCGCTTGACCGGCCCGCCCATCCCCTACACCGCTCCCGAGCTCTGCGCGCCGCCGCCGCTGCCCGAGGGGCTGCCCATCCAGCCCGCCCTGGACGCCTGGGCCCTGGGGGTCCTGCTGTTCTGCCTGCTCACCGGCTACTTCCCCTGGGACCAGCCCCTGGCCGAGGCCGACCCCTTCTACGAGGACTTCCTCGTCTGGCAGGCCTCCGGCGAGCCGAGTGACCGGCCGCAGCCCTGGGCTGGCCTGGCGCCCGCTGCCGACACCCTGCTGTGGGGCCTGCTGGACCCCGAGCCGCGAAAGCGGAGTGCGGTGAGCTGTGTCCGCGGCTATCTGGGGCAGCCCTGGCGGCAGCAGGAGGGGCCTGAAGGGGTGGGGCAGTGAGCCGAGCGGCAGGCCCCAGGTAGGCGCCTCTCCCTGCCTGGCCCGGCAGCGGCTCCGTCCACAGCCGGCTGGGAATCACCCGCAGCTCAGGCCCTCCGCACGTCTCCACCTGGCCCAGGGCCTTTGAGGGCCGGGCCTCAGCGCCCTGCCCCTCCTCACCTGGCCCCCAACGCTGCTGCCACAGTCCAGCTATCCCCGCGGCCCTGCCAGGGGTGCCAGCGAGCGTCCCGCGTGAACAGACCCTCCTGGTCACCGGCGCCCCCCCCCGGCCCCCGCTGCCTCTCCGCTGCCCACCCCAGCCCCTTCCCACCACCAGCCGCTCTGGATCAAGTGCCTTTCCCCAGCCCCCACCACGCTCAGCAATAAAGCTGTCCGCTGGCCCGATGCTGTCCTGTCAGCCTGGGGCACGGGAGCAGATGCGGGCGGAGCGCTGCTGAGGGAGACAGGCGGGGAGGGGGACAGGAGGGAGGGTGGGGGGGAGGACAGGACAGCAGAGACTGGCCACACTGGGCCCGAGTGGACACTGGCCCGGCACGTCCCCAGGGTGTCAAGCGAGGTCTGAGGGCTGGTGGTGGGTGGCGTGCCCGCGTCTGCGCTCCCAGGAGCTGCGCCCCCCAGAGCCGCCCTCGCGGTGGGAATGCAGGCGTTTCTGGCGGCGTGGCCGCGAGCCGCCGTGTCCGAGCACATGCGTGTGCCTGTGCGGCCATCCCGCACGCCTGCTGCCAGGGCCCCCTCTTGGCAGCCAACCCGTTTGCCAACACTTGTGCTTCCTCTCAGCGCCCCGCTTGGCTGCCTGCCCGGGGCCAACCACACAGCTGGGTCCTGGGTCACCATCCCTGCGCCACCTCCAGGGTGTGAGGGCCAGGGCGGCAGGGTGCACGTAGTGACCCCAGGAGCTCTGGAAGCTACTTGCGGTCCAGAAACCAGGGCAGTTCCTGCCCTGGGTAATCCAGGCGGGCCCCCTGGAGTGAGGAGGCCACCGGGGAGAATGCCAGGAAGGCGTGGGGGTGGGGGTGAGCACAGGTGAATCTGACAGAGCCCAAGCAGTGAGGCGAAGCATGTGTTCCCCAAAAGGCTGCAGGCAGCTGGGGTGAGGGTGGGGCCGGGAAGAGGGCAGGGAGGTGGAGGGCGCTAATTGGTGGCGGCAGCTGAGGATTAACCGGGAGGTGATAATGACCTGCCTGGGCCCTGCGCAGCGGGAGCAGGAAGACTCGGGGGAGAGCCAGGGGAGAGCCGAGCAGCCGAGCAGCAGCGGGAGCACTAATTAGGCCCGAGTTGCTGGAGCAGCACCAACGGAGCAGACCACCCGCTTGCCCCCGGCCTCCCGCCCAAACAGACAGGCCCCAGCTCAGCCGGCTCTGCTGGGGCCACGCCCTGCTGTCCCCAGAGGAGAGGGCCCAGGAGGAAGGGTGCGGGCGCGGGGCCTGAGCATGCTGGGCGGCTGCGGGGCGCAGGAGGTCAGGTCGGCTGGCTGCGTGGGGCGACGGGAGTGAGGGGCCTGGCGCGAGTGTGGCAGCAGAGTGTGGGGCGAGGGCAGGGTGAACAGCGGCTGTGAGGGCACTGCTGAGCATGGGTGTGCGAGAATGGGTGAGAATGAGCGCGTGAGCATGACTAGCAGCGAATGTGAGGGCAGGAAGCGCGTGCGGATGTGTGAATAAGAACGTGCGGGGGTGCGTGTGTCATAGGAGAGCGTGAGGGTGCGCGAGCACGCTGGGTCTAAGTCTGAGTGTGAGCAGGAGTGGGCCCATGGGGCCGTGTCTGTCTGAGGACGTGTGTGGTGAGTGTGGAAGCGAGTGTGCTGGGGCGTGGAGGGTGGTCCTCCCTCCCTGGGGGCCTTCACACACGGCAGTGGCAGCACCGGGGCCGGGTGGCGGGTATAGTAGCGCAGCTGTGGGGAGGCCCCCAGTAGCTCCTCAAGCCCCCGGAATCACCACATGCCAGCCACTCCACCCCTGGGCGTGTGCCCATGGAGAAAGGGAACATGTGCTCACACGCAGTCACACAGCACCGTTCACAACGCCCCAAAGGGCACCAACCCAACGGCCATCCGCCCCCAGACAGTAAGAGAATGTGGCCCGTTGGCAAGATGGAATATTACGCGGCCACGAAGAGGAAGGAAGCCCAGAAGAGCAACACGAGGATGTTGGCGGTGCTGGAAGGGGAAGAGGCCAGTCACGGGTGATGATCCATTTTGGAAATGTCCTCAGTAAACAGGCAAATCGCAGAGAAGGGTCAGCGAGGCCAAGGGGACTGCATTAGAGCATGCTGAGCTTTGCACACTCTGGACAGATCACAAACCGCACTTGAAAAAGGGTGACTTTCATGGCAAGCCTCGTTTCAATGGGGCTGTTCAGAAACCCGCCCCCGGGCTGCATCTCCAGGGCCACCTCCCGGGACCTTCAGGCGCCCGTCCCTCCTCCACACCGCTGGATCCCCATGAAAAGCAGAAGAGCCCCCCTCCTCTCTTGGTCCTGTCTTCCTTCTGCCTGGCCCCCCACCCAGCCCCCGCCCCCAGCTCACATCCTGCTGGCAGGAGCCTCCAGGGGGGCAGGGGCAGCCTCGGAAGCCTCCGCAGCCCCTAGCCGACCACAGGGCCCCAACAGCCGCCGGGAGCCAGGGCCCGGCCACCTCCCTGTCCTGGTAGAATCAGATGCGGACCTAGGTCCGGGGCAGCTGGACCCCGCACCCTTAGCAAGCCCCAGGTAGGTGGGCACCTGGCCCAACCCTCCACAGGGGCCATGAGCCAGCTCCGGCCTGAGAACCAAGCCCGCGCCTGGCCCTGCGGGACTTCCACTTGGCCAAGTACCGCCTTGGGAGGGGACAGCCGAGGTCCCCGCCCACCCCTGACCAGGGAATGGGCCCCTCACTGCTCCTTGCGGGGGGCGGAAGGGCCGTGAGACATGAGGGATGAGTTCTGTTGACGTCAGCCCGGCCCCGTGGCGCTCCCTGGGCTGCAGCCACCGTTCTGGGTCTGTGGCAAGTTGGCGGGCACCAGACCGGCTCAGCTGTCCCTGGGAGGTGTCCAGGGCCCCGGCCAGAGTGGGGGAGGCCGGCAGCCCAGGCTGGCCTCAGGCCCCGGGGCCAGATGTCTGGGCTTAGCTGCCTGGCCAAGGGGCTAGAGTGACCGGATAATTGAGCGTCGGCTTCCAGGGGCTGGCAGGAGGCCACTACGGGCGGGGGCTGGGCCGAGCGCCCGACAGCTCCCCTGCCTGCGGAGGGGGCAGGGAGTTTTGGGCCCTAGCTGGGTCCTCTGGTGTGACCTGAGCTGGGGTTCACCTACTCCCACCTGCAAGTGGGAAAGGCAGCCTTTTGCTTCCCAGTCAGGGTGACATCCTCTGACCCCCCGCTGCCGGAGGGAGGGCAGGACACACGGAGCCCCCAGCTGCCCGTCAGCGGTGACCTAAGAGCAGGGCTTCAGGAGAGCTGGCATAGCACCCCGCCTGCCCCCTGGCTGGGGGGGGGGGCATCTCTCAGGACCCGCGTTAGTAAACCCCCAGCAAGTAACTAGACCCTGCTGGCCTCTGCAGGGCGGCGGGGGCGCCAGCTCCGTGACCTCTACGACCTCTGAGCAGGCTCCCGCCGGGGCCAGGAGGAGGAGAAGCCCTGCCCTGGGAGAAAGGAGCCACACAGGAGTTGGGGCTTCCCAGCCCCGCTGCCCCCCCCCCCCATTTACAGCTGAAGCAGAGGGGGCGCGCGAGACCACTCACAGGACCGGCTGGAGCCCCAACCTGGAGGCCAGGGCAGAGCAGGGGCCGCCCCCGCCCGAGTGGCCCCTGCTGTGTGACCCGGGGCACAGGGCCCTTTCTGAGAGGGTGCACGTGCCCCCGAGGGCTGTGGCCAGGACAAGACCCAGTCCTCCGCCAGGGAGAGGGCCGGATGGGCAGCAGGTCTGTGAGGGCAGCTGCTGCCAGGGGGCACACACGGCCAGCAGGTCGCCGGAGCAGCCCCCGGAGCGGCCGGCCTACCGGCTCACCCCAGCATGTGCTGCCCTGCCCCCCGTCTATGGCCAACTCAGGCCCTCCCGGGTGACTCCGGAGGATCAGGGCCTGGACCCCTGGTCTGACACCCAACGCCGGCCGGCGGCCCTCCCCGCCGCCCTCTTCTGTGGCGCCACCACAGCCCGGCGCGGCACCCGCGTCACTCACAAGACTCCCCCCGTGAGCGGGGCCGGCCCCAGGCGCTCACGGGAGCTTTTATTGAGGTCACATTGGGTTACAAGTCCCGGGCCCACCGCCCACCCCCCTCGGCGCGGCCATCTTGTCTTCACGGCGACACGGGCTGAGCTTTGGCGCCTCCACCTCACACATCCCCCCTCAGAGGCCGCTCCTCCTCCTCCAGGGTGGTGGCGGCCGGGGCCGGGGTGCTGGGGGGCCAGGTTGTCGCAGCCAGCCTCATCACCGCCTCGCCCAGCCGCCCCAGACCCTGAGCGGCCTCGGCCCACTGGGTCAGTCCCAAGCCCAGCGCACGGCGCTCCTGCTGGTCCTGCTCCAACGCCTGGGTCAGCCTCCGCAGCTGGCCGCCCACGTCCCTGACGGCGGCCACCAGCTCCAGCAGCGCGGGCGGCTCGCAGGCCATGACCCGGACAGGCGGCACGGTGGCCACACACGGGCCGAGGGGGCCTGTGGGCTCAGGGGCTGGCAGGGGGGCCGGGGGGTCAGGAGAGGGCGGGGCCGAGGAGGGGTGAGCCAGCGGGGAGAGGGGGAGGGTGGGGTCCCCAGTGGGGGCCAAGGTGGAGTGGGGGGGCAGCGGGCTCGGCTTGGAGCTCTGCCTTCTGGGCGGTGTGACGTCCTCGGGGACCTGCGGGTCCATTCCCGGGTCTGGAGAGGGCCTGGAGGGGCTGGCTTCAGAGGCTGGAGAGGGCTCCAGACTGGACGTCTGGGGTGTGGAGGGGTGAGGGGCCCCCGTGGAGGGCAGCTGGGGGTGCGGGCCGGGCTCGGTGGCCAGTGCTGGTACGAGGATGTCCGTCCCCAAGGGGACCTGGACGGTGCTCACAGTGGGTGCAGTGGCTGCCGGTGTCACAGGGGGATGCGGGGTGGAGGGGAGCGGGGGGCTGGTGGCAGTGGGGTGAGCGGGCATGGCAGGGTCCGGGGCTGTGGCCGGAGGAGGGGCTGCGGTGGGGAGAAGCGGGGTTGAGTGGTGAGAGGTCGTGTTGGAGTGAAGGGTGGTGGTGGGGAGAGGGCGTGTGGCCGGGTCCTGGGATCCAAAAGATTCCGGGGCCGTGTTGGGGTGCGGAGCTGCGACCCAGCCTGGGGCCGTGTCAGATTCTGGGGTCGGCTCTGAGGTGGGGGAGAGGCGGGTCACCCCTGCTGGTACAGAGTGGCCGGAGGTTGGTTCTCTGCGCAAGGTGGGTGGTGGGGTGGGTGACGGCTCCCGGGTTAAAGCGGTGGCTTCGGGGGTGGCCCAAGTAAGGCCTGGGGTAGTGGAGCCGGGGTCGGAGTTCATCCAGGAGGCCAGGTCAGGGCTGGGGGGCCACGTGCCAGGAGGGTCGGAGGTCACCTCCCCTGTGGAAGCCGGGATGCGCTGGGGCGCGGGCTCGGAGGTCAGTGGTGGGCCCGGGTGTCCAGGCGAGGTGGAGGGAGCCGGGGAGGGGGTGGGGGGTGCGGCCCTGCCCGCCGTGGGCGGCAGCAGCCGGCGCTCGGGCCTCAGTTTCCCCGCAGGACCTGGAGGAAAGACCACAGGCAAGGTCAGCCTGCCCGGCGCCTCCAGTACGGGCTGCCAACGGGAGGCAGGGGCCCCTGACATCAGGGGTCGCCAGCCGACTTCGCGGCTCCCCGAGCGCCCCGCCTCCCGCCGCCTCGGATGTGGGCAGGCCGCAGGCGCCACCTGGAGGAGGAGGATGAGGGGTACGGGGCGGGAGGGGGCGTGAGGGGGTATGTGTGAAGGAGGATGGAGGAGGCCTGAGGTGAGGAGTCCGGGTGGAGGAGTAGGGGGGATGGGAGAGTCTGGGTGGGGGGGGATGGGAGAGGCCGGGTGTGGGGGGGATGCAGGAGGCCGGGATGGAGGGGGGAGGGGGGAGGAGGGGTGTGGAGGAGGGCTGGGAGGAGGCCGCGAGGAGGGAGGGGGGCTCTGAAGAGCGCGGAGTGTGCAGGAGGATGTGGGGCGAACAAGCATGAAACGTGGAGGGCGCAGGGTTGGTGGGAAGGCAGGCAAGCAGCGGAAAGAAGGGGGTGCGCTGGAGAGGGAGGGGGCCGGGAGAGTGGGGAGGTTGAGGGGAAGGGGCAAGCGCAGGGGCCTTAGAAGAGCGCACAGAGGACCCGCGCTTCTGTCTCCACCAGCCAAGCAAGGCCCCAGGCCCAGTGAGCCCCAGTTCACCTCAGCCCAGGGGGGGCGCGCGGGCCCGGGCAGCCCTGCCGCGGCGCAGGTCCCGACACCAAGTCCGCCTGGGTGTCTGGCGTGCGTCCTCCACCCCCGTCCTCCACCCCTGTGCCACGGGAGCAGGCGCTACTGCCGGCCTGGCTCTCTCAGGGCTCGGTGCCCACCCGGCTCCTGCCCGCCCCCGGGCCTCTGCGGTGCCCTCTCAGGCCCCACGTGCGGGCGGTGACGAGCAGCAGCGCTTCCTCGGCCACAGGGACCAGCCTGGAGCTGGCGGGGCCTTGCTCAGCCCCAGGGCGGCCAGGGAGGCGCAGGCGGCCACGAGCCGGGGGACGCGCCCCCACCGAGTTGCTGGCTGCTTTTCGCGTCGCCTCTGCTATTTCGATTCATGTGAACCTAAGCAGCCTCCCGCGCTGGTGGCTCGCAGAGGGAACCGCACAGTTCCAGAAGGCTCCGCGCGGCCCCGGGCCCTTTGTCTGCAGGGCTGGTGGGGTGGTTTAGCATGGGGCTGGGCTGCGGCTCCTGGCCTCCCCACCGGTGCCCGTGGGCAGGCTGCGGGCGTCCCCGAACCCCATGCACGTCCTCAGCGGGACTCGGGGAGACGGCGCGTGACACTCAGCTCAACGCCTCACGCGACTGCGCACACTGCTGTCGGGGCCGGCACCTTGGTGCACGCACGAAACGGGCATGTGTCTACCACAGGCCCCTGAGGACGCTGGAGGATCAAAGAGGGACGCGCAGAAAGCTGTTAAGGCTCCTGGTTTGCTGCCCCGCACATGGGGCCGGCTCTGGCCATCACGGAAGGAATCAGCATCCCTGTACACGGGAGGGGCTCGGAGACCTGGGGTGGCGCTGACCCCAGCTCGCCACATGCACAGAGGGCCAAGCCGGTCTTGCACCTGGGATGCCCTCAGCGGGCCCCGCTGCCTCCACACCCATCGTTCCCCTCCTGACCCGTCTCCCGCAGCAGGCACCCCACGGATGCGCGAGGCCCGCATGGTTGGCTCCGAGTCCCCACGGCAGGAAGCAGGCCAGCCTGTGGGCACGTCCATGTCTGCGCAGGTAACACGCCGCCACAAAGCTCGTCTGCGCCCCATGTCTCCCTTCGCGGCCATGTTGCTGAGCCATGTTGCAGGCACCCAGCCGGTCACTGCTGAGCTCCTGCCAGGATCCCACAAGTGCCCCAACCCTCCCCGCTGCCGGACGGTCCCTGACCTTTCACCGTTCTGCACCCATGCCTTGGCTTGGAGCCCAGCGTGTGGCCCCCCTGGGAAGCTGGCCAGCCCACCGGCTCCCCATCTACATCATGTGCACTTTCTCCAAGCAGCGCTGCACGGCTCTGAAGCCCTCTCTCCCTCCAGTGGAAGGGCCCCTCCCTGGCTGCCCCCCTGCGGTGTTCTGTGCTCCTCACGCCTCCACTGAGTTTCTGGCTCCTGGTAGCATCTGTGCACGTGGGCACAGCTGGGCAGCTGGGCCTCCCCCGCCAGCCCCTGCCCCGCCCTTCCAGGCCTTTCCACCATCCCGTTGCTGAGCTGTGCAGTCCCGCACACGGCAGGGCTTCTCGACCTCTGACCCTTGGGGACAGACGCTTGCCCCTTGTGGGACCTGTGATGACGTCTCCGTCCCTGCCTCCACCCCGCAGGGGCCACGCTTCCCTGCCTCGGCCCTGACAACCTGGTGTGCCCCCAGTGGAGGCCCCTGGCAGAGGTAGCCCCTTGTTTTAGAGGGTCTTTCTGGGGTACAAGTCTGGTCACCGGTGGGGAATTCGGAGTCCACCGCTCCACCTAACCACGAAAAACCCGGTCCCCTCTCCCCTGCCTGTGCTCACCTGTGTCCCCATGGTCCCTCGGGGCTGCAGAGGGGCTTCCAGTGGTCCCTGCGGTGAGAGTGGGTCCGGGTACGGTTGCCGTGGGGGTCCCCTTGGCAACGGGCCCTCCTGAAGGTGTGTCCCAAGTCCAGGAGGCCTCATCACCACGGGCATCACCTGGAGAGAGGAGGAGGAGGGCTGAGCTCACTTCCCCTGGGTCCAGGCTCTGCTCCCACCAGGCCAGCACCCCAGCCTCCTCCCTGAACTCGCCGCCCCCTGGCAATTCTGCTGGGATGCTCTCTGCTCCCAAAACAGACAGTGGCTAAACTAGCTTATAAAACACAAATGTCGGGGGCTTCCCTGGGGGTCCAGATAAACCTTTGTTAACCTTTCATGTGCGCCTGCAGTAGAGTATTGATAAGTCCTTCCCAGCGCACAGGTGAGGACCCACAGTCAGGCACCCCGTTTTGTACCGGGGCTGCCCTATAACAGCACGATGAAGCTGTCCGCAGCCGCTGCAGCTCGAGTTCTATCCCCAGCCAGGGAGCTACCCACAGGGCGCAGCAGACCCCTCCTGTCTCCCCGCGGCTCCCCCCAGCAGCGGATTTCAGTGGACCTGCCTGTTCTGCTCCCCGCTCTGCCTCTGGTGACTGTCTCACCCTCACACCCGCGTCTGTACCCCAGCTCCTGTGGGGCGCGAGTCCTTGAAGACTCACTCCCAGACGCCACGCGGCTGCGGCCCAGGCGCACCACAGCGGGCGGCCTCGGGACGGGCCGGGGCAGCCTGGGGGCAGCGGAACCTCGGGGCGGGGCAGCCTCGGGGACGGCGCGGCGTGGGGCGGGGCGGCCCACCCGCCCGCGGCTCCTGTTCCCCGGTACCCACGCGCGCCCGGGCCGGGCCACAGGCCCGTGAGGCCCGTGAGGGCCGCTACACAACTTCCGGGTCGGGGCCGCTACCGAGGCCCTGAGCCGCGCGCATGCGCCCGGTGCCCCGCGCCCCCTCGGCGCAGGCCGCACATGCGCAGAGCGCCCGCCCCAAGGGCATCCGGCCTCCGCCGCGTGTCCCCGCAGGTGGCGGGTGACGCCGCACAGACGCCTCTCCCCTCTCCGCGTCCTCAGCGCTGTCAGGCACTGGCCATCTGGGGGGGGGCGCTGCTGTGGGCTGCGGATGGCCAAGGCCAAGGCCAGCGAGGGCCAGGTGCCCCCCTGGGGTTACACAGCTGGGAGGCAGTGGAGGCTCTGGGCCAGGCGGGGCTCTCTATCCCTGGGTTCCGGGCAGCGCCTCTTCCCTGTGGGCAGCCCTGCCCAGCCCTGCCGGCTCTGCCTGGCACGCTTATCCACCCTCGAGCATTTGGCTCAAAACCCACGGCCCTCTCCTCCTTGGCGAGGCCACGCGCTCCCTCCCAGTGGCGGGGGAGTGAGGGATTCCTTACTCTCCTGACCTGCCTGTACCTCCGTTTCCTTAGCTGTGACATGGGTTACGGATACAACCACAGGTTCTCGGGGAGGAGGCAAGTTAAACCATGAAGGCTTCCGCCCGGCACAGGAGAGTTCTGTGACCAGGCTTCATCATCACCGCCATTACTCTCCAGCCTCTGAGCAGGCCCTGGCCACGAATCTTGGCCTCCGAACTTGCGCAGCCACACCCCAAATCACAGAGCTCTGCCTTCCTGCCCGCTGAGGACGGCCAGCATCGCCCCTTCCAGCCTTTGCTCCTCTAAGAGGCAGGCGGGGCGAGGGCCCTGACAGCGCCGATATAGACAATCTCGCCCGGCTGGGGCCCCGCGGCTATTGGGCATTTGCAGCAAAGACCGCGCCCGACGGCGTTCCTGCGCTTCTGAACGACTGCACACCTTGGCGGGGCTGGCACCTGCGGTCACCCGGCAAGTTCCAAGCGCAGCCGAGCTACCATCGGATCAGGGAGTGGGCTCCAAACTCACACGCATAATTACTCCAGGCCGTATCTCGCACCCCTGGGTGCCATGTGGGCGAAGGCATCTCCGTGAGGCCCCGAGTGCACCCCCGTCACCTGCGGGCCGCGTCTGCGCCCGCCTGCCCCCGTGGCCCAAGGACGGACCCAGGCCCTCCTTGCTGGAGTCGCGCTGAGAACGTGAGTTCCTTTGGCACTTTCCAGAGACCCTGAACTCCGCCCCCCACCCCAAGCAACCAGAGCTCCGGCTGCCTTTCTCCTGCACCCAGGCGTCCCCCCTCAAGAGTCCGCCCAGGTCTGTAGTAAGGCCCACCGCGGCAGGCGGGGACGTGCTGTCCGACCGCCTGTGCCCAGCTCTGCCAGCAGGGGGTGCCATGGGCTAGGGCAGCGCGCTGTTGCAGCCGAGACCTGGACAGTGTCCCGGGCGCGCCCCCTGACAGGCTTGTTTTCCACTTGGGAAACTGGGCCATCAGAGCCCTAATGCACAGCTCGGGTCTGCCCCACCACAAAGGGCAGCCCTTCCAGGGCCCTCCCGACCCCCTCCTCCTCTTCGCTCAACCCGCCAGGGCCAGGCCAGCCCCGCCAGGAAGCCACCTCGGCAGGGCTGGACACCATCACCGGCTTTTATCGCCTCGGCTGGGCGGGCCAGCCAATCAGGAGGCGCGGTGGGGCCCGCCCCTCGCCCCCACCTGGCATGCTCACGCGTGGCATGGCACTCGCATGCGGGGAGCGGCGTGCATGGTGCCTGGGGGGGCGGGCACACACCCGGGGACCAGGGTGATGGAGGCAGGAGTGGGGCTCGGTGCCGGGAGAGCAGCCCGGGGCCCTAGGGGGACTTGTGTGAGGGGCTTTGCATCCAGGGGCCCGGACTGGCATATCCCGGCCGGTTCTGCGGCCCCAGTCGGCCCAGGGAGCGCAGGTTCAGGGTCCCCGGGCCTGGTCCGACCCTCAGAGGCGCGTGCGGGAGCAGCTTACGTCAAATCCAAAGAGGGAAGCTTTGGGGAGGCCTTTGGCGCCAAGGAAAGCCTACTGGGGTATCTCACCCCCAGTTCATTTAGGTCTTTGTGGAGGCCCGGCAGGGAGGCCCCGCCTACCAGCCATGCCCCTCACCTGTATCTGGAAGGCTCCTGCTTGCTGGGGAGGGGGCCCCGGGGCTGCCAGTGCCGCCCGTGGGGAGCCCGTGCTCAGGCACCCCCACAGCCGTGGTCCCCCTGGCCAGGTCCTCCCCCGAGGTGGGGTCCCAGGTCCAGGGTGGGTAGTCCTCGGCATCGGCATAGCCTGGGGGCGGGACAGAGGTTCTCGTCAGGGCTCCTGCTGCAGATGCCCTGGACCCAACCTCCTGGGGGGCCCCACCTGTGCAGGTGAGCCCCACGTCCTCCTCGTGGTCGCAGTTGTGCTGCCCCCACGCCCTGGCGGGGCAGTCGCTCAGCAAGGCCTCGGCCCCCGTGCAGCGCACGTCGTCCAGCCAGATGGGCCCCGTCCCCGGGCCGTAGTGCGTTTTGCCCACCCGGGGCCGGACGCGGCCGCAGCCCAGCTCCCGGCAGACCACGGTGCTGTCCCGCAGGCCCCAGCCGTCATCACACACGGTGCCCCAGCGCCCGGCGTGCCACACCTCCAGCCGGCCCGCGCACCGGTCGGGCCCATCGGCCAGGCGCACCCGGAACGGGCCTGCGGGTGGCAGCACCGGGTTGGGGGTGGGCAGAGTGGGGAAGGCCAGCTGCGCCCCCCCTTCGTTCCCTGTGCCAGCTCACCTGGCCCCCCGGAGGGGCTCCCCGTGGGGGCAGCGTCTTTGGGTGGCGCTGGCGAGCCTGCAGGGGTCTCTGTCGCCGGCTCCGCAGAGCCCATGGGGGTCTGCTTGCTGGAGGCCTGGGGGCTCCCGTCCCGGGCACCAGGCGTGGCCAGCGTGGCCCGGGTCTTGGGGGTGCGGCCCCTGGGGGGCCGGGAGGGCCTCATCACAGTGGTCTGTGGGGCCTGCGTGCTTACGCTGGTGGAGGCCCGGGAGGCGGGTTCCAGGGGGCGCAGTGTGCCGGGGACCCGAGAATGCCTGCTGACCGGCGTCTCTGGGGGCTGGGAGGTTGGCTTCTTGGCATTTTTGGTTGCCCACTTCTTAGTACTCTTGGGTGTCTTGCCCGGGGCCTTGGTGGTTCTCTCGGGAACACGGGGGGTCAGCCTGGCCGAGGGCTTAGTGGCCAGCTCCCCGGGGAGCCAGGCGTCCAGATCTTTGCCCAGGCCAGGGATCCAGCTCCAGCTGAAGGGGTCCGAGATGGAGTCCAGGCCAGGGGCCCCTAGAAGGCAGGGGAGAGGCGGGCGAGATGGCACACGGTCTGGGCCCTGCCAACCACCAAGCTCGCTCTCTCTGGCACGTTCTCTGCCCGGGCCCCAAGTGGCCCTGGGGACACTGGCCCATCAGGCCTCAGGGCACTTTCATGCTGAGGCTGAACCCCGCCTGCCCTTGCCCCGCCCTCTCCACATCCTGAAGCCCTCTCCTCCCGGCCGCGCTCTCACCTACTGCCAGCAGCGTGGGCCCCGCCAGCCAGCTCACCCCCAACTGACAGCCGTAAATCTCAAGTGTGGCCCGTGGCCAGGGGGAGGGGAGGGACAGTGCCTCGGCAGCAGGCCCAGCGGGGACCCCATCTCAGCACTCTCTGATGAGCACGGTGGACGGGAGAAGCCCCTAGCTCGCGGGAGCCAAGAGCCCTCGGAACGCCCCACCTGGTAAGAGTGCTTGTTCCCGAGGTCTACACTGACTCTGGCTGGCTACTGCCAGGTGGACAGCCAGCCCAGGTCAGCCACCGGCACGCCAGGGCTCAGGAGCCCCTGTGCCCGGCTCAGCCCCTGCCCTCGGTAAGGGCGCCAGGGAAGAAGCAAGGCCATGATGCCAGCTAGTTTGGCTGGCTTCCCTCCCTCTCTCCCTCCTCCATGCAATGGGGGGCGGCTCCCCTCCTGCAGAGACTCAGGAGTCCCAGCTCTGCCCCTCAGCTGCTGTGTGACTCTGGGCCACTCACTCCACCTCTCTGAACCTCTTCACTAGTGAACTAAGTGCAACTGAGCTGGGCTTGCTAGGTGGAAGGGGTCACGTGGGAAAACACCCAGCCCAGGGCCAGCGGAGGAGGCCAGCGCTCTGTCACTGGGTGTGCCGATGCCAGGTCCCGCCCCCTCCTCCAGGAAGCCCTCCTGGAGCCAGAAGAAGCCAGGCCAACTTACCAGTGCAGGTGACGCCGACGTCCTCGTTGTGAGCACAGTTGTGCTTCCCCCAGGGGGCAGCAGGGCAGTCAGACAGCGCCACCTCCGTGCCCACACACCCCACATCGTCCAGCCAGATGGGCCCAGCGCCCCAGCCAAAGCGGCCAGTGGCAGGGTCTGGCGGCCGGGCGGCCCCGCAGCCCAGCTCCCGGCAGGCCACGGCCGCGTCCCGCAGGTCCCAGGCGTCGTCACACACAGTGCCCCAGCGCCCGGCGTGCCACACCTCCAGCCGGCCGGCGCACCTGCTGGGCCCTGCCACCAGGCGCAGCCGCGGGGACCCTGGGGGAGACCCAGAGTCGGGGTTCTGAGCAGTGTGATCAGCGGGTCTGCCTGTCAGTGCTAGGCCCAGGCTGCAGGGGGACAACCCCAGAGCTGCCCTCCCGGAGCGTGGAGGGGGTACACATCACAGAGACAGAAATCAGGGTCGGGGGTCTTGGGGGGCTGCATGAGGAGGGGTTCGCTTTGGGCTGACGGAAGGCTCTGGAAGCACCATGTGTGACGGTCGCCCAGCAGAAGGATGTGCTTGCGCCCCTGAGCTATACCCAGAAAAAGGCTACGCGGCCTGGTCTATATTTAGTGCAACGAAAGAGAAACCTGCGGCCTCGGCCGGCGCTGCAGCCCGCCCGGCCCCGCCCCCGCCCAGCTGGGCGTCCTCGGGCTCGGAGACCAGACATCCGCCCCCGCGCCGAGTGGGCGGGCCGGTCACCGGGGCCGCGGGCTGCCGAGCCCGACGTCACGGTCACTGGGGCTCGGACGGCGCAGCCAGGCCTCGCCGCCGGCCTTGCGGAGCGCGGCGCCCGGGTCTCAGGGCCCGCGACCTCATCGCCGCCGTCCAGAGGCCGCGGCGGCCGCAGGAGGGGCTCAGGCCCGCGCCCGCCGCCGGCTCTCCGCGCCTCCCTCGCGCAGGGCCTGGCCTCGGGGGCCACGCAGGCGCGGCGCCGCCCCTCCCAGGGCCGAAGGGCCGCCGCCGCCGCCCAGCCGCGAGGGCCCTGCGGACTCCAGCCCTGTTCCCGGCCTGCTCCGGTCGGGCTCCCGAGAGCAGCCCCGCGGCGCCCCGGGCCCGCCCGCCGGTGCTGCAGAGACGGCAGCGGCGGCGCCCGCCCGCCCCAGACGCCCACGCCTGCTGGGGGTGTCCCGACAACCCGGGCCAGCCCTGCAGGCGATGACGACCGACCGGCCGAGCCGGGCCTCGGCAGCCGGGCGCGCCGGCCTGGGGACAGGGCCGGCCTGGGACGGGGGCCCGGCGCGGCAGGACGAGGCGGCGGCCCGAGCGGAGCGGCCTGCAGGACACAGGCCGGAGACCCGCCGGCCGCTCCAGCGCCCGCGGCCCAGCTGCGCCTGCGGGAGGCCACAGGCCTGGCGGCGCGGGCGGCGCGGGGCGGGCGCCCTCGGCCCGCGGTCGGGGCAGCTGTCTTCCAACACAGCCTCGCGCGGCGGGAGAAAGGCCTGGGGGCGCCGGGCCCGGAGCGAAGGCCGTTCGCTCGGCCGCGGGACTCACCGGCTTCGGGTCCGGGCTCCCAGGGGCCGGCCGGGGTGGGCCGGGGCGAGCCGCCCTCCGTCGGCGGGGCCGGGCTCAGCGCGGGGGCCGGGGGCTCGGACGGCGCCTCTCGGGGTGCGGAGCTGTCGCTGCCCGGGGCGGGTGCCGTGGGGGGGACGTGCCCGAGAGGCATACCTGGGGGGCGCGGAGCTCAGGCGGGGCCAGCCCGGGGGGCAGGGGCAGTGGACAGGGAGGGAGGGGCGCGCCCGGCAGGGAGCCCAGGAGCCCCGCGGCAGCGCCCTCGCCCCGCCCCGCCCCGTCACGCCCCGCCCCTTCCCGTCACGCCACGCCCCCGCCGTCACGCCCCGCCCCCTTCCCGTCACGCCCCGCCCCTTCCCGTCACGCCACGCCCCCGCCGTCACGCCCGCCCCTCACCGTCACACACGGCGCCCGCGTCCTCGCGGTGGTGGCAGTCGTGCTGGCCCCAGGGCCTCGCCGGGCAGAAGCGCAAGGCTGACTCGTTTCCCCGGCACCGAAGATCGTCCAGCAGGACGGGCCCCGCGCCCTCCCCGAAGAAGGCGCCCCCGGGGGCGGCCAGCGCGGCCCCGCAGCCCAGCGCCCGGCAGGCCACCGCCGCGTCGCGCAGGTCCCAGCCGTCGTCACACACGGTGCCCCAGCGCCCCGCGTGCCACACCTCCAGCCGGCCCGCGCACCCGTGGGGGCCATCGGCCAGGCGCAGCTGGGGGGCCGGGCCTGGGGGACAGAGGGGCCCAGCTTTGATGAGGGAAAGAGGACCTGGCCTCTGGGGTCTGCGCTCGAGGGGAGAGTGGCCGGAAGCCATGTCTCTGGTGCTGGGGGTGCCGGTGCCACTTCCTGGCTGCCACCCCCAGCTGCCCTCCAGTGCCCTCCGGTCAGGCGGTTCTCCATGAGACACCACTCCAGACACTGGAGCCGTGCGCCCCCATGACACCCCAGGTGTCCAGGTGGACCCCACCAGGTAGAGAAGCACTGGGACAGACCAGCCTCCAGTGGGTTTTGGGGTGCAACACTGTCTCAGGGAGGCCCCTCGCCAGGAGCCCCGGAGCCCACCTCCCCAGGCTGCCTCATCCTCAGAAGCAGGTCACTATGGAGAGTGCAGCGTCCAGCTCTGTTCCCCAACATGGGTGCAAAGTCACCCCAGCCACCGCCCTCGAGGGAAGGACAGACCAGAGAGGTCAGATCACCGTGCTGGCGTCTCCCCACCTGGGAATAAGGGGGTACCCTGAAGATGACAGGTGTGGTGACGCAGCAACCCCACCCAGCCCTCGCAGGCCTCTCCCCCCAACAATGCAGCCTCTGCCCCTGCATCCACCCTGCGGGATCCCTGTAGCCCCTGCCCCCCACCACTCCCACCCGAGGTCTGCGGGGCCCCTGTAGCCCACTGTCCCCCCACCACCCCCACTGAGGTCTGTGGGGCCCCTGTGCGAGGGCCTGGGGTCTTTCCTCTCTAAGCCGACTGGCTGTGCGGCAGCGCAGCGCAGGGACACGGAGCTGGGCCGGCCTCCCCACCCACTGAGGCCTTCCTGTCGCAGCCCTGCGCCCCGCACCCGTCAGTGCCCCTCAGGGCCCGACGCAGGGGAGGGGGGGGAGGAAAGGCAGGAGAGGAGGGGCTGGCGGGCTGTGTGGACGGGCAGACCCGGGCCGTCGGGGTGCAGGTACCTGTGCAGACCAGCCCCGCATCCTCGCTGTGGTCACAGTTGCTCCGGCCCCAGGGGCTGCGGGGACAGTCCCGCAGAGCCTGCTCTCCGCCCCCGCAGCCCACATCATCCATCCACACGGGCCCGGCGCCCGGCCCAAACCTGGCGCCCCCGGGGGCGGCCAGCGCGGCCCCGCAGCCCAGCTCCCGGCAGGCCACCACCGCGTCGCGCAGGTCCCAGCCGTCGTCACACACGGTGCCCCAGCGGCCGGCGTGCCACACCTCCAGCCGGCCCGCGCACCCGTGGGGGCCCTCGGCCAGGCGCAGCCGCTCTGGGGAAGGGAGGGGCGGCGCAGTCGGGCGAGGCCTCTGGGTGGGGTCACCCCCCACCCCTGCCGCCCACCAACAGTGGGGAGCTGAAGCCCTGGAGGGCCGAGGGCCTGGACTGAGGGGTGGGGATCCAACACCCCAGGGCAGACATCGTGTCCCCTGCTGGGGCAGGCAGGGGCAGAGGCACCAGGCTGAACCCCAAGGGCTGCCCGCCCCCCAGCTGCGGCCCTATTGCCTGGCCCTGGGCCTGTAGCCTCCCCAGCCGGGCCTGCAGAGAGAGGGTCTGGGGGAGCTTACCCTGGTGGGGGGCTCCAGCCGTCAGCACGGGGGCCCTGGTGGACGTGGCCTGCTTGGGGGGCCGGGGGCTCTTCTTCCGGGGGCCGCTCTGGGGCGTCCCGGCCAGGCGGGGGGCTGAGTGGGGAGACGGTGGGGATGGGGGTGAGCCGCCCCTCCCCTCTGCCCGGGGCCAGGGGCCGGTCTGACCGGTGGAGACCCCGGGTTGTGGGGGCTGGGCAGCTGCCCATCCTCTGGCAGCAGCGCAGCTAGGTGGGCTCACCATGGGTGACAGGGGGCTCCTCGGAGCTGGCGCTCAGCACCCGCGTCAGGCCCAGCCAGGGGTCTCCATCCGGGAGCAAAGGGGCCGCGTCCCTGTCCCTCGAGTCGGCCACACGCTGACCTGTGGGGGGCCCAGAGCAGGGAGAAGGCGGCGTGGGGCTGGGGGCTGGGCAGGGCGGGGCCCTGGGGGGCCTGGGGCCGGCGTCCCGGGGCTGAGGCCTGGGCCCCGTGGCCGGGTGGCCTCACCTGCGCAGACCACGCCGGCGTCCTCCTCGTGGGAGCAGATGTGGGCCTTCCAGCCCCGGTGCGGACAGAGGCCCAGCTGGCCCTCGCGGCCCCGGCAGGCCAGCTCACTGAGCCACACGGGCCCCGCGCCCTCCCCGAAGAAGGCGCCCCCGGGGGCGGCCAGCGCGGCCCCGCAGCCCAGCGCCCGGCAGGCCACCGCCGCGTCGCGCAGGTCCCAGCCGTCGTCACACACGGTGCCCCAGCGGCCGGCGTGCCACACCTCCAGGCGGCCCGCGCACCCGTGGGGGCCCTCGGCCAGGCGCAGCCGCTCTGGGGACGAGGCGAGGCTGTGACATCCGGGCCTCCCGGCCGGCCGCGTCCCTCCCAGCGGGGGGCCACTTACCCACAGCCTGGATCCCCATCAGAGCCGCTGGAAGGGAGTGGGGGGCAGTGAGGGGCAGGCGGGGCCGTTCCCCCGGAGGCCCCAGCACCTCGGCCCTCACACCTGGGAACCGTCGCGGGAGGCAGGGCTCGGGGCCTCCAGCCGGGGCTGGGCCAGGCCGGGAGGAGCGGAAGGGCAGAGGGCCGTGACCCCCGCCGGGGTGGGGGTGGGAGGGCAGGTCCCCGGGCTCGGGGCTGGGGTCAGACGGCAGCCCCGCAGGCGGAAGTCTGCGCCCTGGCGTGGACGCGCGGGTCCGAGGGTGGGCCGGGGCCTGAGTCCCCGGGGAGGGCGGGTCACTCACCGAGGAGGCAGGCCCAGACCCTCATGTCTGCAGAGGCCGGGGCCGGGGCAGGGCCGGGGCAGAGAGGGGACGCCGCAGCAGAGGAGGGGAGACGCCCGGCTGAGCCCGGGGCCGGGGAGGAGCAGGCAGGGCTGGACGCTGCCAGGAGGAAGAGCGGCTGCGAGGAGCCGGCAGGGGACAGGGGGGCTGGCCAGGCGGGGGCTGGCGGGGGTGCCGGGCGGGCAGGGGGGAGGGCGTCCGATGCAAACACCACATGGAGCTGGGCTGCCGGGCTGCAAGGCTCAGGGGCAAGACAGGCCGGCTGCAAGGGGGTGGCAGGCGGGACCCCACCCCACCGGCGTCTCCCGTCAGCCAGGAAGGCGTCGCCCAGGGGACTCGGAGGGGCTGTGGGCTGGGGGCTGGCACGAGTGGGCTCCGGTGCAGGCCCGAGAGCGCGGGCGGCCAGACACCAGGCAGGACTTCCCCGGCCGCTCTCCGCCCCCACGCGAGGGGGTGCCTGCCCTTGGCGAGCTCTGGGAGCTGGGGGGGGGGGCGGGCCCTCTCCCCTGCCCTGCACCAGGCAGCTGTGAGGCGGAAAACTTGGGTAATGGGGAGTGTGTGAGTCAGGGCTGGCAGGGAGCAGGCTGCCGTGAGCTCATCACTCCCCTCCCCCACCCAGCGCCCCCAAGGATTCCCGCCCGCCCTCCAGCCCGGGAAGGAGGAGCCTTGGGCGGCCAGGCCGGCTGGAAAAGGCATCAGAGACAGCAGAGGCAGCTCCCGGCTTTATTGACAGACGTGCAGAACAGCCGCGGGCCCGGGCCCCTCACCTGCCCGGCCAGGCCCCCCGCGGGCAGTCGCAGGGCCTGCTCCGGCGCCTGGGTGGCCTCTGTAGCTGCCGCTGCAGGTCGCCAGCCCCCACCCGGGGCTGCGCCGCCCACCTCTCCCCGCAGCACGGGGCCCATCTCTGCGGTCACCTGGGGCTTCTCGCGGGCTTCTGGGTCTGCGCCGGGCTGCCCACCGGGTGCTGCAGGTCCAGGTGGGCACCACAGGCTGCAGTAGTCTCAGCCATGGTCACAGGTCCTTGCTGAACTCCCTCACCAGGGCGTAGCCCAGGCAGCCCCAGCCCCCCTCGGCCCGGTAGCCGCAGCCCTCCAGCAGCCCCGCCGCGCCCCAGGCGGCCACGGCCACTGGGACCACCAGCCGGGCCCTTGGCGCCCCCGCGCCCCCCGCCCAGGCCCGAGCCCGGGCTTCAGCGAAAGCCAGAAGCCGCCTGCCCACGCCCCGGCGGCGGTGCCAGCGCGAGACGGACAGGCGGGTGACACGGGCGCCAGCCCCGGCGCTAGTGCCCGGGGCCAGGGCCAGGACCCCACACACGTCCCCGGAGCCCCGTACGGCCACCCAGGGCCCCCCCAGGCCACCCGGTGGGGGCAGTGAGCCCCACCGGGCCCGCAGGCCAAGCTTCATGGCCGCCACGGCCAGGAACACAGGCAGGAGCAGCGCCAGGGCAAAGGAGGCCAGGACGAAGCGCAGGCCACTGCTGGCCGCCGCCAGGAGCAGCAGGGCAGGCGGCCGGGTCAGGGCGTGCAGGGCCACGCGGTTCTCCGTGTCTTTCACGCCGGCCTGTGGGCGGGAGGGTGGTCAGGGCCCTGCGAGGCAGGGACAGCGGCGGGTGGTCAGACCCGCGCAGGGGACAGGCAGGGGCCAGCCCACCCCTGTCCTGGGCGCTGCACTCCTCGCCCACCAGCTGGGCTCCGAGCGGGACGGGGCGCACAGGGAGGGCGGAGGGCGGGGTGGGCGAGCAGGGGAGCCGAGAAGGCAGGCCTGCGAGCGACTGCACAGGAGTTCGCCCGGGCCTAGGGACTCCCGGCTCCGGCGGCGACGCCAGCCAGCGTGGGCGCGCAGTGGACCGCGGAGGGGTCGGGTCCGGCGCGGCCCTGGGCTGCAGCCAGGCTGGGGCGCCGGCTTGCGGGGAAGGGTCTGCTAAGGGCACAGTGGGCTCTGCGGGGGCTGAGCCCACGACTGACCACAAGCTCCCCGGGAGCTGGTGGTGCGGGTGACCCCACGCCCCGCCCTGTCAGGGCCCTTCTGGCCCCCAGGAGGCGGAAAGGAGCTGGCGTGAGGGGCCGGGCCAGGAAGTCCAGGCCGAAGCCGGCCGCCCCCAGGCCCCGGGCGCCCCGCCCGGCTCTCACCTTCAGCATCTCCAGCACCAGAGGCTTCTCCTCCTCCCTCATCTCCCGCACCGACAGGTGGCCGGGGGCCATGGCCGCCCCAGGCTCCCGCGCCCCGAGGGGCAGGCGCGCCTGGCGGAGACGCAAGCGGTCAGCGGCCGGGCCCCCCGCCTCCCGGCGCGGCCCCCACACGAGCACGCTCGGCCCGGCCAGGTGCGGCGGGGCGGGCAGCGCCACCTCGGCCCCGCCGCCCCTCGCGCGCCCGCAGCTCGCAGCCCTCCCCGCGCGCCCCGCGGCCCCCCGCCGCCCGCCCCGCGCGCACCTCTGCGGGCCGCTCGGCTGCGCGGCCGGGGGCACAGGGTCGGGACCGGGGTGCCGGCGGAAGTGACGCAGCTCCTGGCGGGGGGGGGCGCCGGCCGGAGGGGCCCCCGGGGCGAGGGCGCGCGGCGGGGCCGGTGCTGCGGGCGGGGCGGGCCTTCCCCGGAGCCGGCGCGCTCCGCGGCGGGCGGTCCCCGTTGCTAAGCAGCCGGCGCGCGGCGGGGGTGGGGGGACGCGGGCCGTTCTCACGCGCGCCCCCGGCCTTCGAGGGGAGGGGGGCCCGCACCTGAGCGCGCTAGCTCCCGAGTTTCCACCCCGCGGCCCCCACCGGCGCTGTGACCTTGGGGTGAGCGTTCCCACCCACCCGCTGGGGCCGACGGTGACTCGGAACCCCTTCGGGACACGCGGCAGCCCACATAGAGGTGGCGCCCCCCGCCAGTCACCTGCCAGCCAGGAAGAGCGACGTTGCCCCGCACCCCCCCACCCCCCAGGAAAACAAAAGCACAAAGGGCAGGAGAGTCGGTCTTTATTAGCACGCGCGACCCCTCCCCGCGCCCGGGCGGACCAGGCCCAGCGGCATTCAAAACGTGTGCACCAGCTGGACCGTGGGCACGGTCTGCACGATCTGGATGGAGGGGAGCCCCTGGGGGGTCACGCCGCCCGGCGCCGCGCCCGCAGGCAGCACCTGGACCATCTGGGACGCAGGAGCGGCGGGCAGGCCCGCGGACGCGCCGGCCGAGCCGGCCGGCGGCGGGGCCAGGAGCTGCAGGGTGGCCGCGCCGCCCCCCACGCTGCTGCTGTCCAGGAGCTCGCTGGCCGGCGCGCTGCGGATGATGAGCAGCTTCTGCCCCGGGGGGCCGGGGGCGGGCGGCTCGGCCAGCACGGGGGGCAGGGCCTCCACCTCCTGCACGCAGAGCTGGGTCTGCTCGCCGTCCGCGCCGCTCAGCACCAGGACGCTCTGCAAGCCCTCGTCCGTCTGCAGCGTCTCAAAGAGGACGTCGGGGACCACGCCGGTGCCGGCCTCGCCGTCCCCCGCCTCCCCGGGGCCGGGGCCCGCGAGCAGCTCCTCGGCCGCCCCACTCTGCACCACCAGCAAGTTGGGGGCCTCGGTGGCCACTGCCCCCCCACCGGCACTGGGAAGTTGGCCACCCACAGGCTGCAGCTGGACCGTGGTCACCTCCGGGGCCGGTTGCAGCTGGACCGTGGTCACCTCCGGGGCCGGCTGCAGCTGGACCGTGGTCACTTCCGGGGCCGGCTGCAGCTGGACTGTGGTCATTTCCGGGGCAGGCCGGAGGGGCTGCAGCTGGACCCCACTCACTTCCTGCGGCCCCGCCTCCCCACCCCCCACATTCTGCAGAACGATGAGGCTCTGCCCGCCCCCGCTGGCCGCCACGTTGACCCCTCCCTGCACCCCCAGCCCCCCGGCCCCCGGCAGCCAGACCACTCCAGCCCCTGGGCCGGCTTTCCCCACGGCCCGCGGGCCCGACCTAGCCCGGCCGCCCCCTCCCCCCGCGCTGGTGGAGGGAAGCAGGATGAGCTTGGGGGGGGCGGCGGGCGGGGGCGGCGGGGGCTGCACGCTGCTGGGGATGAGCTGGAGCCCCTGCGCCGTCTGCACCAGGAGAAACGTCTGGGAGTTGGGAGCGGCCTGGCCAGCGGGCGGGGCCTGGGCTGCACCGCCGGCCACCTCGAGGGAGAGCGTGGCCTGGAGGTGGGGGAGCACGTGCACGTCTTGGGTGGGGGCGGGGGCGGCGGCCAGCGGGGCGGGGGGCGGGGGCGCGGCGGCGGGGGCCGGGGCGGCCGGGGCGTGCGTCCTCAGGTGCCGCTGCAGGTAGGCGGCCATGACGAAGCCGCGGCCGCAGACGGGGCAGGCGAAGGGGCGCTCGGCCGAGTGCGTGCGCTGGTGCAGCAGCAGGTTGGAGGAGTGCGTGAAGGTCTTGGGGCAGAGCGGGCAGCGGAAGGGGCGCTCGCCCGTGTGCACGCGCTGGTGCTGCCGCAGGTTGGAGGTCTGCGCGAAGCTCTTGCCGCACACGCCGCAGGCGTGGGGCCGCTCGCCCGTGTGCACGTGCCGGTGGCGCCGCAGGCACGAGGTGTTGCGGAAGGCCTTGCCGCAGTCGCCGCAGGCGTAGGGCCGCTCGCCCGAGTGCAGCCGCAGGTGGTACTGGTAGTGCGACGACCACTTGAAGGTCAGGCCGCACTGGCCGCAGGTGAAGGCGCGCAGGCCGGTGTGCACGCGCTGGTGGATGGCCAGCAGCGAGGAGCGCTTGAAGGCCTTGCCGCACTCGCCGCACTGGTAGGGCCGCTCGCCCGTGTGGTCCCGCAGGTGGTAGCGCAGCCCCGACGAGCCCTTGAAGGCCTTGCCGCACTCGGCGCACTTGTAGGGCCGCTCGGCCGCGGCCGCGGGCGGCGGGGGCGCGGCGGGCGCCGGCGGCTCCTGGGGGCAGGTGACCTCGGCCGCCTCGGCCGGCGGGGGCGGGCGCCCGGCCGCGGCCTCCTCCACGTGGCTCTGCTGGTGCGCCAGGAGGCTGGCGAGCTGCGGGAAGGCGCCGTCGCAGCTGCCGCAGCGGAAGGCCTGGCCGCCGGCCGCGCCGTGGCTGTGCTGGTGGCGGGAGAGGCCGGCCACCGTCCGGAAGGACTTCCCGCACGGCAGGCAGGCGAAGCCGGGCGCGGCCGGGGGCCGGGGGCCGGGCGGGGCGGCCGCGGGCGGCTCGCGCGGGGGCGGCGGCGCGGGCGCGGCGGGGGGCGGGGGCGCCGCGGCGGGCCCGGGGCAGGGCTGGTGCTCCAGGAGCAGCTCCTCGCTGCCGAAGCCCAGCTCGCAGCCGTCGCAGCGGAACACCAGCTCCACCGTGGTCTCGGCGGCCGCCAGGAAGAGCTCGGGCACCACGGGCGGCGGCGCGGGCGGCGCGGGCGGGCTGTGCGGCTGCAGGTGCCGCGGCAGGTAGGCGTCCGGGACGGCCGCCGCGGCCCCGCCGTCGGGCCCCGCCGGGGCGGGAGCGCTGGCGGCGGGCGCGGCGCCGTGCGTGCGCTGGTGCAGCAGCAGGTTGGAGGAGTGCGTGAAGGTCTTGGGGCAGAGCGGGCAGCGGAAGGGGCGCTCGCCCGTGTGCACGCGCTGGTGCTGCCGCAGGTTGGTGCTCTGCGCGAAGCTCTTGCCGCACACGCCGCAGCTGTAGGGCCGCTCGCCCGTGTGCACGTGCCGGTGGCGCCGCAGGCTGGACGAGTTCTTGAAGGCCTTGGGGCAGTCCGGGCACGGGTAGGGCCGCTCGCCCGTGTGCTGCCGCAGGTGGTACTGGTAGTGCGACGACCACTTGAAGGCCAGGCCGCACTGGCCGCAGGTGAAGGCGCGCAGGCCCGTGTGCACGCTGCGGTGGATCTGCAGCAGCGACGAGCGCTTGAAGGCCTTGGGGCAGTCGGGGCACGGGTAGGGCCGCTCGCCCGTGTGGCCGCGCTGGTGGTAGAGCAGGGCCGAGGAGCCCTTGAAGGCCTTGGGGCAGTCGGGGCACTTGTAGGGCCGCTCCCCGGTGTGGGTGCGCTGGTGGTGCAGGAGCCTGGACGACCACCGGAACGACTTGCCGCACTCCCCGCACTCATACTGGGCAGCGGGGGCCGCGGGGCCCGGCTTGTCCCCCGCGCCCTCCGCGGTGGAGGCGGGAGCCATGTCCGCGTGGGAGCCGACCATCACACCTGGGGGGGGTGTTCACAGTCAGGGAAGGCCGGTGCCCCCACCCCACCCTGGACCCCAAGCCTGCCAGCTGGCTCTTTAAGGCAGGCGGGGGCGCCTCGCAGCCTACGGCTGCAGGGAAGGCTGAGGACCCTGGGCCCATCTGTCTGGGGCCCCAGGCGGCTGCGGGGTCCGCTGAGCACAGCCGGCGCTGCCTGCAGGACCCTTGTAAAATGGGTGGGGGCCGCTCCAGTATGCAACCTCCACACCTCAAACACTTCCACTGCAGCTGGGGCCCAGCAACACCCCTGCTCCCCACCCCACAGGCTCAGGCCTCGTGGCATCCTGGCCACAGCCCTGGACCCCGCCAGGGGGTCTGTCCCGGGTGGATCAGCACCCCCAGCTGCTCCGCATCCTCACTTTCCCCTTCTTAGTTCCAAGCTTCCTCCAGGCCGCTCAAAGCTGCATCCCAGTCCTGGACCTCGGTCCCCGCACCCAGGCCCTGCCATGGTCCCAGTTGCTGAGCAACAGAAACATCTAGGCTGCTGCAAGGAGGGAGCCAGCCCAAGGTGGCCGGGCCTGACCCTGCCAGCCCCCTACTCAGCCGGCCAGTCCCACCCCAGCAAACGTTCCCTCAACTTTGTATCTGATCTTTCCAGAGTCCTGCACATGCCCCTCCCAGACAGTCCCTCCACCCCGGGCACCAGATGCCCTCCCACCTCCACCCCCACCAGCGGAGAATCCCACCCTGGCACCCCACCCCTGCCCCAGCAGGGAGCCCCAGTCCCCTCCTGGCTTGCCCTGCTCAGCTTTTGGGTGCTGGTTCTTGCTCACCACCCAGCAGGCGAATGCAGGAACCCAGGGCTCTGCTGACCCCTCGTGCCCTATCCCTTTGGGCCCCCCAGGACTTCATAGTATAACCCAGGGGCCCCCTCAGTTCTCCTGGGCACCTGCCCTTGAGGCCCCAGCCCTGCCAGATGGTGCCACTGCATGGGTCATGCAAGACCCCTCACAGGCCACGGGCCCCACCTGCTCCCCCTGCCCTCCAACCCAGCCATGTCCAGATGGTCTCTGGAAACAGCTCCCTCTTCCTGGGGCCGAAAGCCACAGGCCTCCCCTTCCTCTCACCCCAGGGCCAATCTTCACCAAGGGGTCCGCGGCGCCGTCACCAGCGCCGGGCATCTCACCAAGGCCCCCGGCCTGCCTCAGGCACCAGCCCGCCAAGGGACTGTCCGTGGCCGCTTACCCTCCCAGCGGTTCTCTCTCCCCCCAGAGCCCGCTCGGAGAAGGGACAGGGCCCTGGAGACTTCTGAGTCCGTGGCCTTGCCCTCCCTGATGTCCCCCCGCACACACTTTCCAGGCAGGCGTCACGGGGCGCCCTGCCACGCCCCCCCTGCCAGCCAAGCCCCCCGAGGGTTACCACCTTCCCACCAACGTGATGGCCAGGGCTTCCCAGCCTCAGCTCCGTGGAGGCCAGGAGCCGCACCGCTGTGCGGGGGGCCGGCCCGGGCCTTGGAGGGGGCCTGAGCGCATCCCTGGGCTCCAGCCCGCCACAAGCCGGCGGCGTCTCGTCCACTGTGGCATCCCGGCGCCCAGGACGGCGTGCGGCACAGCCTGCGCCCAGGACACGCATGTCAGGCGCGCGAGGGCTGCGCCTCGCCCGTGGACGGGCTGGGAGGCCCTTCGGAGAGGAAGCAAGTCCTCGGGAGAGGCCGCCGGCCCCGGACGGCCGCACGTGCCTGTCAACCCGGCGCCAGCCAGTCCCGGACGGACCACACCCGCCGTCGGGCTGCGCTTCCCCTTTAAGAGGATGCTCCAGCCGCACCCCCAAGCCCCTTGCTGAACTAAGCCAAGGATGGATGCAGCCAGTCGGGGTGCGCGGGACCCCTCCACCGGCCTCCACGAGACAGCCCCGGCGGGGAGGGGGGCGGGGCGGAAAGCGCAGAAACGCCGAGCCTGCCCCGCCCCCCCCGCAGCTCCTGGCCCTTTAAGAGGGCGGGGCTGGCCCGACAGACACAAGTCGGAGGTGAAGCAGCATCCTTCCCTTTAAGGCACCCCTTCCGGTTGCACGCTCGCCGTTTCCCCAGCGTCTCCGCCCTCCGGTCCCTCCCCCGACCCCCGCCCCTCCGGTGTCTCACCTGCGGCCCCGACCAGGGGAGCGAGCTGGGGAGGCCCAGGGCCTTCCCGCGGGGCCGACGGGAAGGCGGGACCCCGGCGGTGGTGGGGCGGGCGTGGGGGCCGGGGAGGGGGGCGGGGGCGCGCTCCCTCCCAACGGCCCCCGGCGCGAGGCACCCAACCTTTATCGGCGGCCTCTCGTGCACACAAACCCCGACGTCGCCCTAGGGACGTCACGACGCCACGTTCGCCGAGGCCCCGCCCCCAGTGGCCGCCGTCGTCTCTCGCGCTCCCCGCCGCCGCCAGCGCGAGGCATCCTGGGAGTTGTAGTTTTCTAGCTGCGAGCCCCAAGCTCGGCCGGAGACGGGGTGGGGACGCGGGGTCGCGCGTTCCCCGTTATTAGTATCGGTTCCATCGCGCCCTCTCAGACGCCTCCCGGCGGCGCGGCGCCGCGCCCGAGCACGCCCCGCCCACTAGGGTGGTGCTCCCTCCGGGTCTGGCCGCCTGGCCCAGGCTGGGCGCCTCCTGCTTTCGCCGAAGGGGAAACTGAGTCCGCAGTCCTACGCCCCGAGCCCCGCGTGCCCGCGCGCGTGCGGCCGTCGGCGCTGGTCCCGGCCGTGCCTGCTCAGCTGGGGGACAGAGCCGCCCGCGGGGCCCCGCGCCCGCCTGGGCCTTGGGGGCTCGCCGAGTCGGGCGGGGTCTCGGCCGGCGCCAGTGACGTTGGGGTGGCCGTGGGCGTGCGGGCGCCCTGCGGGTCGCGGGGTGGTCAGCTACGGCCGGACCCCACCCACCGGCAGCCTGCGACGCTCCCCGCGAGGCCCTCTGCTCCGCGACAGCGACCCCTCCCGCACCCCTTCTCTGCCGCTGAATGCGCGGGGTCCCGCCTCGTGCCTGTCTGCGCTCAGATAGCGAGGACTCCCCCCGCCCCGCACCCCTCCTTTGGAGCAGCTTTGACAGGCTGATTTCAAAGCCGAGCGGCCGGCCCCGCGGGGTGGGCGTGGATCTGGCCGGCCAGGCCTGCGAAGCGTCCACGGAGAAGGGGCCGGTTCCCCGCCGCACCTGTAACCCTCGCGCCCCGCCCAGAGCGCAGCCCCCAGGTCCCAGCGATGCTCCGTTCAGCCCATTGTCAGCAGCCCGGGCAGCTCCCCGGGAGCAGGGCACCCCCTGCCGGGACCTGCACCCGGGAGGTGGGGTGGGAGCCCGCGAGAGTCCAGCCCCGGGGAGGGAAGCAGGCGGGGGCGAGGGGGCCACCCTAGGGCCAGCAGGACATTCCAGGAGTTGAAACATGCTGGTGCCCTGTACCCTGCTTCTGGGTCCCCACGCTACCCAGAAACACCAGCTCAGAGAGGCGGAGGCTCTGCACCCAGACCCCTTCACCCAGGGGCCAGGGCCTGGATGGGGTGGGGGTGACGGGCAGTGCGCCCAGCTCCCGTCTCGGGGCCGAGCACCTGCTGTGCCCTCCTACACCACAAACACCCCTCACACCACACACTGGACCGCTGCTCAGCCACAGACAAGGCGCCATCCTGTGGTGGGGGTGGAGGGGGGTGACAGGCGGGGAGAGCAAAGCAGAGGGAAGACAAACAGCAGCCGGTGGGGGGCTGGCAGAGCTGGGCCGCCTCCAGGGTCCTGCCAATAAGGAGAGGGGAGGCCGGAGCCTGCACCCCGCCTGCCATCGCTGGAGCAGTGCCCGTCCTGCACCTGAGGCCTCCAGGGTCCTCCGCTGGGCGTGTCTGCCAACTGGACACCCCTAGCCTCACTGCCCGCGCCACCGTCCGTGGTCACCTTCAGGGCAGTGGGGGGTCGGGGTTGGTGTGGCCAGCGTGTTGGGGGTGGGCGCACCCACCCCTGACGTTCCTTTTCTCAGAAGCTGCCGGGTTTGCAGGGTGGGCTGGGACACACGTGACCCAGGATGGCTTGCCCCCTGCACCGTCTATCCAGTAAAACATTGGGGTGACAAAGACGCCCTGGCTCTGGGCAACAGGCAGCCGTGAACAGGGTGGAGGCGGGGCCCACGCCACAGTGTCCCCAAGTCCTGGCGGCCTAAGGGTGGGGTCTCCACACTCCACACTGCCCGAGAGGTTTGGGTGGAGCCCCAAGGGCTGCCTGGACCTGAGCCCTAAATCCTCCCTGGCTCCCCATTCCCGCTCCTGTCCTGAAAACCCAACTCCTACCTGGCCTGCAAAGCCCTGTGGGCCCCGCCCCTCTGCTTCCCTGGTTGTCCCTGGGCCCTCTGCTGGAAGGCCCCACGTGGCCTCTGCCGTGGCCACTGTTGCCTCCCCAGAGGGGCCTTCCAGCGGCTGTAGCCGCCTGTCCAGCGGAGCTGCCCCTTCCAGCACCTCTCAAGCCGGGGTGTCCTTCCCAGACTGCAGCCAGGAGATCCGGGCTTGTCTTGCTGGCCACCGCGCCAATGTCAGCCAAATGACTGAGTGTCCCCAGTGTGCGGCTGGGACAGGATAGGCTGGGACAGGAGGACCATGCCACACTCCCAGCACCTGGGGGCTGCTTCTCAGTGTAGGGGGTCCCGGCCTCCGCCCACTGGCCTCCCTCCCGCGCAGGGAGCACGGCCGGTTATGTGGGTTTTGGTCAGGCCCGGCCGCCCTGGCCTTCGGACGCAGGAAAGTGGCAGCTGTGAGGACAGCAGGGCCAGGTGCGGTGGCCTGTCCCTCTGCGGGCACCAGCCTCTCCTCTCCCTCCCACCCGGGCAGGTTGCTGGGGCACAGGGTGGGCAGGTGTGGGTGCGCCTGGATGGGCTCACGCGTCCATCGTCCATCCCGCCCTGGCAGCCGCACAGCCTCGCCACCCGGCCCCGCCACCCGCAGCAATTAAGGGTCCTCCAGCGCTAATCGGCAGTTGACTCAGCCCAGCCTCCCTGACGACGCCTTTGTCCAATAATTGGCTATCTCCAGGCGCCTTCCTCAGCCCCGCACCACCTCCAGGCCCTTATCCCATGTCTAAATATGTGCTAATTAGGTCCCCCGGGGTGCATGGGAAGCCCCCTCCCTTCCCAGACCCTCTCCTCCTCCTATATCAGCCCCCCACCACCTGCCCCTCCAGCCCAGTCCCCTGTGCTCTGGGGAGGGAGGCGCAGGACCTGGCAGCGAGCGGGAGGCTGCGCTGGCCTGAGGCCCCTAGGTGTGCTGCTCTGGCTCTCCTCACGCAGTGGGGTGCAACTCCAGGTCATCCAGCCATGCACCCCGGGGCCCCCGCAGCCCCCAGGGCCCGGGACCCCAGCCCCGGAGAGCTGTGTGCCTTTGTGAGTGGGGCGGCTGCCCGTGTGCTGCACGCCCTGCAGCCCCGCAGGGGCCGGCACCCCCGACGGAGGCCCAACCACCGGAGGTTCCTACACAACCAGCTCTGCAGGTGAGGGGGTTGCAGGGTGGGGCCAGCCCTGGACAGAGCCCACAGGCGGTCAGCGGGCTGTGTACACTTATTGAGCACCAGCTGTGTGCCAGGCCCAGAGCCCCGTGAGGGCAAAGCTGACAAGACCCGGGCAGCCCCGGCGGGGGGGTGGGGGGGAGGGAGGGAGCCCCAGCAGGGAAGGGGCAGCTGGCTGGCATGATGGCCCTGGCAGTGCCGAGGCTGCAGGTCACAGCCCAAGGCCGTGTGTGATGTGGGGGGATCCCGCAACCCGGGCCAGCCACAGCAGGCCAGTTCACAGACAGGGCAGATTCGGGCGCAGGGAGTGAAGGGGGCGGGGAGCGCTGGAGGCAGGGACAGGTTTCTGGGGCTCCTGGGGGCCGAGAGTGTGGGGCCAGGCTGCTGGGAGCATCCTGAGTAGCTGGCTCTCCTGGCCTCCGCGGGGGCGCTGCGGGCTCCGGAGAGGGGCGGAGAGGGGCGTCTGAACAGGGCTGGGCCTGGCCAGGCGCCGGGGAGTGTGACCTGGCAGGGCATCGGGCAGGGCTGCTGCTGTGGTGCCAGGAAGCCACCCGGCCCCGTCAGGCCCCCCCCAGCAGAGCCGCAGGGGCCATCTCTGTCCTCACGTCGTCACGAGGAGGCCCAAGATGGTGGATGGCCTGTCCAGGGTCACACTCTAGAAAATGGTCACCGCCCAGGCCTGGGTCCAGACCCACACGGAACACGCTGCAGCCACAGGAACACGCATGTCGGGGCCGGGGCGGGGTGGGGGGTGGGGAGGCAATGACACAGACGGCAGGTGACCGCCTGGACACTGCCCGCCAGCCAGGCACTGCTGGCCGGCCCGGCCCTCGAAGGCCTGGGACCAAATCTGAATAAAGGGACCCTGGTCCCTCAGCCCTGCCCCCACCCTGGGGGTGTCCCTTCCCCCAACGCCAGCCGCGGCCACCAGCCCAGGCTGCAGACCCATGACCTCCCGGCCGTGTCCTCGCAGCCCCCAGCATTCCGCCGCGCACCGGGTTTGGGGGCCACTGGCCACGGGCGCCGCTGCTCAGCTGTCGGGGTCAGGGCCCTGTGATGCAGACCGTGGGCGTGAGCTGGGGGAGCCCCTGTCTCGTGTGCAGAGCTGGCAGGGCGGCACCCCTTCCTCCAGCTGCTTGTCCGTCTGTCCTGTGTTCCTGTCTCCCCCTGCCTTTCTCCCAGCCTCCGGCCCCCACCTCTGCCTCTTTCGTGTCTCCCCATCTCCGGCCGTCTGCCTCTGCCTCATCTCACCCACTCTCCATTTCCAAGACCAGCCCAGAGCGCGGGGGGGGGGGGGGGGGGGGGGGCAGGTCCGGCAGGGACGGCCTGCCCCTCCCGCGCCTGCCCCTCCCGTCGGGCGCGGCCCAGAGATGTGCCCCTTCCCGACGTTTCACATCAGCAGCCCCGCGCGGCCAAGCGCTGTCCAGCACACCCCATGGTGGGAGACACGCACGGGGCGGGGGGGCAGGGGAACCATGGCACCCCGGGCACCGCCAAGCGCCGGTGGCCTCCTGGGCACCACCCCAGCAGCCCTGCCTTCCCCCTGGGTCTCACGGGCGGTTCTGGACGTGAGCCGGCGGCTCGGGGCGCTGGGCCGCGTCTGGGCCAGGACAGGGCCGCCCATGACGTCCCGGTAACCCCAAGGCGGCCCCAGCGGTGCTCGTCTCTCCGCAGGCAGTTTGCCAGGATCGAGGCCGCCACCCAGAGCCTGGCCCGCTCCATCCTGTCCCAGGAGGCGCCCCCCCGGAGACGGCCGCCCCGGGGACCACCCCCGCCCCCGCCCTCCCCCTTCGTGGGCGTGGCTTGTGCTGGGGCCCCCGCCGAGCGGGCTCCCGTGGGCCCCGGCCCGAGCCTCGCCGCGCTGGAAGCCTCGCCCCTGGACCTCTTCGACGACATCGCGCTCCCCGCGGCGCCCCCTGGCCGGAGGCCGCTGGGAGGCGGGGACGGGCGGGGGCCCGGCTGGGGGTGGGAGGGGCCAGGCGCCTGTGGCGCTCAGGGGACCCCCGAGGGCTGCGGTCCTGCTCCCCAGGATGCCAGTCGCAACCCAACCCAGGCGCCCAGACAACCCAGAGCCCCCCAGGACAGCCCGCCGTCATGTCCACTCCCCTGCTGGTAGCCGCGGGGAGGCGGGCCGCTCCCTCCCCGGGCCTCGCCCCACAGGTCTTGTCCAGGTCCGGCGCCCCACCTCGGCCTCCTGCGGGGGCCCGCCCCCCACCCCACGCCTCCGGGCCTGACGCGGAATCGCTGCTTCCCAGAGACCCGGCGCACACCTCCCCGTGCAGACAAGACTCAGCCCCGCGGAGCTCACGCCGGCGGCGATAAATAAATGCACGTTTAAAGCGCCCCGAGAGTCTCCAGCTCGGCTTGGAAAGAGCGTGCGAGGCGCGCAGAGCCACCCGGCCAGCCCTTGAAGGGCAGGCGTGGGTGCTGCCGTGGTCAGGGTGCCAGGCAGAGGCGCCGGCGCGCGCAGGGGCCCTGAGGCAGGACTCTGGGGGACAGAGGGGCGTCGGGCGGACGTGGCCCGGGCTGGGGCTCCCTCCCCTGCTTTTGCTGAACCCGCGCAGGGATTCTCATGGGTGGGGGGCCCCGGCGGGCCTTCCTGGCGCCCCCTGGTGGCCACAGCGCCGGGGGGCCAGACCCGCCTTCCAGGTGGCAGGTGCCCCGGGCGCACCGCGACGGTGACTTCAGCCCCGTCCCGGGAGCAGCTCCCAGTGGGAGGCCGCAGCTGCACGGGCCCAGCACGTGGGGGATGCCTGGGGAGACCCAGGCGGACGCCGTCCGCGCCGGCAGGGCAGCCCCGCAGGGTTCCGCGGACCGGGAAGGGCGCCTGGAGGAAGCGTCCCGCCCCGCCGGCGACGGCGGAGCCAGCCCACCGCGGGGAGCGAGGGGGCCTGCAGCGCGGATGCGCCCCGGCAGGGCACAGCCCTCGGCCCGCGAGACGCCCCGGGGGAGCCAGGCCAGGCCTCGTCCGCCCCCCGGGGGCGGGCCCGGCGGGCCCCTTCGGCGGACCGGGCCGAGCCTGGGCCTCCCGGGCCCCCAGCACCCGCTGCCCTCTGCCCGCTGGTCCTCTGGCTCCTCGCTCGGGAGGCTCCGCGCAGGTCAGCCGCTGGGCGCCCCGGCTCTTCCCGGGCCCGGGCCGCGGGGCCGCGGGGCCGCGCGACCGCCGGCGCCCCGCTCCCCGCCCCCGGCCGAGCTCACGGAGCCGCGCCGCCCGCTCGCGCCTGCTCTGCCCCATTGGTCGGACGTGCTGTCCTTCAGGCCCTCAGGCCAATCACACCCTCAGGATTGACCGAGATAGACGCGCCCGAGGATTGGTCGGGCGGGTAGGCGGGACGAGAGCGGCTGAGCGCCGATTGGGCGGCTCGGCCAGGGGGGTGGGACGAGACCGACCCGGAGAAAAGGTGACCGGGCCTGGGCCCCCCGCGGAGGACACGCGGCCCGAGCCCCGGCGCCGTGAGCTGAGTGACCGGACGCCTCACTGGCCTAGAGTCGCTCCCGGCTCCGACTCGGCGCCTTCCGGGTAAGGCCGCCCCACCGCGGGCAGGGGCCCGGGGCCCCGTGGGAGCTCCCGCGGGGCGCCCCTTTTCCGCCCGCCCGGCCCGGGCGCCCCCCGACGTGCGCGCCGCGCCCCGAGTTGTGTCCAGCCGCCGTCCCCCCGACACAACACAGTATCGTGTCTGCAAGCTCCGATCTCCCCAAATAGCTGCCTCCCCTGCTCCCCACTCCGCCCGTCTCAAGGGAAACCTGGGGGCTTCTCTGTGCCCCCCGCCCCGGGGCCACGCCCCCACCAGCCCAGCCCACAGCGGCCCGCGCGGCCTCCCGCGTTCACTCCACAGCTGGAAAACTTTCAAGCCCGGAAGCCACGTGTGCGCGCAAACCGCAGGTCACACCCATCTCCATCACCGCTGCGCGGGCAGCATCCCCCCAAGGAGCGGCGCCCCCAGCCCCCCTTCTCCCTCAGGTCGCTGTCCCTCAGCACAGCCGGGTCTGACGGGTCTGACGGCCCTGCAGCCCTCACCTCGGGTGAAAGCGCGCCGGGTGCGCCCCCTCGCTGTCAGGAATAGCCCACCGGGTGCCCGTCCCCTCGCTGGCCCCCACCCCCGCCAGGCCTCCCCCCAGCCCCCCCCAGGGCAGCTCCCCTGCACCTGCCAGAGCGGACCCTCCAGGCCACACCGGTAGGGGCTGCGGCGCGGTTGGGGTGTCCGCCACACGCACTGCTCTGCTCCCCACTCTGCTATCTTCAGACACTTTTCACCCAGTTTCCCCAAGAGCTTCCGGCTGCAGCCGCGGGCACAGAGTCTGGCCAGCAAGGGACTGCTCGCCCTGGCTGGCACGCCTGCAAGCTCTGCCCCTGGCACTGTGGGTGCTGTCCCCAGTGACTTTCAGTGACCTTGGGCCACCCTGCCTTGGTGGCTGCAGGCTGCCCTCAGAGGAGCTGGTGTTCTGGGTCAGAGGTCCGAGTGGTCACATGGCTCTCCTGGGGGTGCTGCAATCCAGCGCCTGCCAGCCCCCTGGGGAGCTGCTGCCTGCCAGCCGGAGCCCTAGGTTCTGCCCCTCCCTCCTGAAGGTGGACACCCTAAGTGGAGGAGCCGGCTGGTGGTGGGAATGGCACATACAAAGGCCCTGAGGCCAGGCCTTGCAGGATGTGGGGGCCAGCAGGGCTCTGTCAGCACAGGGAGAAGCCTGGGGTGGGGGGCCCAGAGTAAGAGTCAGCGAGGGTTGTCCATCGCAGGCTGTGTCCCGTCCCTCACCTCCCAGGGAGATGCACACACCTGCCCAGGTAGATCAGGCTCCCGGAAGCCCCAGCACCCAGCGGCTGTAATTATGCTGTCAACCCGTGGGTTTGTACTCGAGGGAGCTTCTGGCCCTTTCTGGGTCTTGTTTTGTGTGAGGGAAGATGCACACAGCTACAGCCCCCGTCCTGACCAGCACTTGCTCTGTGATTCCAGGCAAGCTGCCGTGGGCGTGGGCAGTGTCTCCCGTGGAGGGTGAGGCCTGTGGAAAAGCCCGGTCGTGCTCCCACCTGGTGTTAAGGCGCCCGGGAGTCTCCCACTGGCTGGGGTGGGGCCCCAGTAAAGGAGAGAGTGAGCATGCAAAGGGGGAGGGCTGCGGCCCAGAGCTGGGCTGGACCCCTGTGTGCATCCCGGTGGGGCCCCCTTGACGTGGGAGCCGGATCCCGGGGCCCCAGCAGGGACCCTGACCCCCGGGGGGCTGGCTGGGTCTCAGCTTCTTCCCTGCCAAGTAGCTCCCGAGTCCTGTCCTTGCTTCTGTTAACTGTGGTCACGCATCAGACCCAAAAGCTGCCACCCTGGCTGCCGGGCGCTGGTTTAGTGCCACCGCCACACCTGGCTCCACAGCACCACCTCACCCCAAAGGGGCCCCGACCCATGCCACCACTGCTGTGCCCCAGCCCAGCTCCTGGGACCCATGGCCGCAACCACCGGGGCAGAGTCAGTCACAGAAACGCAGGGACTGGGCACCATCTCCAGAAAGGAGGAGGGCCGGGGGTGAGAGGCTTCCCAGGGACACTCCCGCCAGGAGCAGCCCAGGAGGCGGGAGGACGCGGAAAGCTCAGACCGGGGAGGCCCCACACTGAGCCCAGGGCCCTGGATGTGCGGACAAGCCTGGCCCCTGGCCCTGCCCCTCGCCCTCACCCAGGATATGGCGGCCCTGAGGCCTGGCCTGGGCCGACTCCACCCCGGATCCTCGATCCTGTTCCTGTGCGACATGCAGGAGAAGTTCCGCAACAACATCTGCTACTTCCCCCAGATCGTGTCGGTGGCAGCGCGCATGCTCAAGGTCAGCCCCGCCCCGACCAGGGGCACCCCGGCCTCTGCCCCCAGACCCAGACCCCGGGGCCAGGCCCAGGCTCCCCTCTCAATCCCAGGCCTCTGCGCCCCCTCCTCCCTCCACTCAGGTGGCCCGGCTCCTGGGGGTGCCTGCCGTGCTGACGGAGCAATACCCACAAGGCCTGGGCCACACGGTGCCCGAGCTGGGGGCCCAGGACCTGAGGCCGGTGCCCAAGACCTGCTTCAGTATGGTGCCCCCGCTGCAGCAGGAGCTGGAGGCACACCCCCAGCTGCGCTCCGTGCTCCTCTGCGGCATCGAGACCCAGGCCTGCATCCTGGTGAGGCCCCGGCCAGCCCCTCGCAGCCCCACCCCGGCCTGGCACCCCCATCCTCAAATGGACCTGCTTTCCTGACCCAGAACCCTACATCAGCCCTTGGGACCCTCCTGGCCTGGGGCCTCTTCCCTCCCCAGGGCCTCCCTCAGCTCCCAGGACCCCCATCCCAGGGCCCTCATTACCCTGATCCGAGCCTCCCTTGCCCACATCCCGCACCCCAGTTTTCCGGGGGGTGGGCCCTGACCTCTGCCTGCCCCCAGAACACCACCCTGGACCTCCTGGAACGGGGACTGCAGGTCCACGTGGTGGTGGACGCCTGCTCCTCCCGCAGGTGAGAGCCCCTGTGGGTGCTGGGGAGACGCAACAGGGCACCCATCCGGTTGGGGCGTCTGCACCTGGGCGCTGAGACCCTGCCCTCTCCTCCCCGCAGCCAGGTGGACAGGCTGGTGGCTCTGTCCAGGATGCGCCAGAGTGGCGCCCTCCTCTCCACCAGTGAGGGGCTCATCCTGCAGCTGGTGGGGGACGCTGCCCACCCCCAGTTCAAGGAGGTACCAGTCCCCCTCCCCCTCCCGCGCGCGTGGCAGCTGTCTTCAGCGCCCACCGCTCAGGCACAGAGCACCCCCGGGCTGCGCGGGTGGAGGCGGGGGCTCACTCCGGGGGGGGGGGGGGACGGGACAGCGCGGAGGCACGGGCGTCGGTGCAGGGGGCTCCGGACGCCGGGGAGGAGGAGCCTTAGCGTGACCCCAGGGGTCACTAGGAAGCCGCCAACACGGCGTCACCCTTCGGGGTCCCCACCCTGCCAGCAGCCACCACGGGGCCGGTGATCGCGAGCTGGCCGGGCGCGGGAGAGCGGTGGCCCCAGGAAGCGCGGCGGGGCGGGGCGAGTTGCTCTGGCCCGTGCTGCCCGGCAGGCGAGGGCGCTGGCCCCGCAGCCTCCTCGGCCGGGGACCCTGACTCGTCCCGCCGCCTCCTCGGCCCCCACAGATCCAGAAGATCATCAAGGAGCCCGCCCCGGACAGCGGGCTGCTGGGCCTCTTCCAAGGCCAGAACCCCCTCCTCGGCTGAGCTCCTGACCTGCCTGCAAGGAAGAGCGGCCGGTCCTGGCCCCGGGACCCCAGGACGGGACTCCCCCATCCCGCGGTCCCCGGAGTGGTGCAGTCCAGCGGGAGGGCCGCCCCTCGGGAGGGGGCGGGGCTCCGGCTGCTTATTGGGCGGCAGCTCCCGGAAATGCAAATGAGCCCCGGCGGCTGGGCGGCGATTGGCCGGCCCGGGAGGGGGCGGGGCCGGCCCGGGCCGCTCGGCGGGGCGGGGGAGTCGCCGACGGCGCGGGACCCGCACTCGCAGAATAAACATTGATGAGGCGTGGACCGCACCATTCTTGGGCTGGGGGGCATCCCGGGGGCGACCGGGGGCTGCGGGCGGGGGAGCGGGGTCCCCAGCCCGCGGGGAGGGGGAGGTGCCGCCGCGGCGCCCCGCGAGCAGGCAGAGGCGCCGGCGCGCGCCGGCCCGGCCACATCTGCAGGCAGCGGCGCATCTGGCGGACCAGCCGGCCGGGGCCCTCGGCGCGCCCGCGGGGCTCGCAGACCGCGCCGCCGCCCGACCCGGGCCCGCATCGGAGCCAGGTGAGCGGCCGCGCCGGGGGCGGGGGGCCGGCGTGCGGGGGGCTGGGTGGAGAGCCCGGTCGCCGCTCCCCTGAAGCGCAGGAGTCCGGGGTGCACATGGAGCACCCCGAATTCTGCAGTCCCCATGCAGGTCTGGGAGCCGGGACGCTACGGGCCCCCCAGCGCGGGCAGGGCCCCGCAGCCCCTCCAGATTCGCAGCCCTGGCCACCGCCCCGGGCTCGGGCAGGCGGCGACCCCGCGGCGCCCGCCCCAGCCAGGCGCCCCCACGGGGACCCGCGCCCGCCGCGGACCCCAGCCCCTCCCGAGGCCGGCCGGGCCCCGCGGCAGGGCGCCCCGGCCCCTTTCCCCAGCGACCTCGGGGTCCCGGCCTGTGCCCCCTGCCCAGGAGCCCCGGGGCCAGGCGTCGGCGCCCCCGGCCCCCGCCTTCCGGATCCAGGTGTCCCCCTCTGCACCCCCATCCTGAATCCTCGCGTCTCGGAGGCCGCGCGCGCGTCGCCATGGCAACAGGAGTCTATTTTGCGCTGGGAACACACAGCTCCCGCCGCAGCGCCCCCCCGCCCCGCCCGCCGGCCGAGGAGCGCGGGGCCGCGCGGGGCCCGGGGCGCGGGCGGGGTCGGGCAGACGGGGACACCGGAGGGGCGGCGGCCGGCGGAGGCACACCTGGGGCGGAGGAGGGCGAGCCGGCGGGAAGGAGGGGGGCAGGGCCGGGCTGGCGGGAGCCCCGGCCCCGGCCGGGCCAGGCGGCACCGCGGGCGCCGGCGGGAGCGGATCGGGACCCCTCGCCCGGGGGCGGGGTGCGGGGGGCGCGGGCACCGGAGGGAGCCGCGCGGCACAGGCGGCGGGCGGGGGCCGGGAAGATGCGGCCCTCGGGGCGCCCCCGCGAGTGCTCGCGGCCCGCAGCCGCCCCCTCCCCTTCCCCCGCCGCCCCCACCTGCCGCCCGCCCCTCCGCACCCCACCCTCGCCCCTCCACACCCCACCCTCGCACGCCGCCGCCGCCGACTCTCCTGGGCCCCGCCCTTTGCTCCGCACCCCGCGAGCCCTGCCCCGGCCCCCTCGCGGGGCACGAACGCCCTCGGCCGCCCCACGGAGGCCCCTGCCGGCCCGGCGTCCGGCCCCTGGGTCTCCCCGGCGCCCCGCGTCCCGCCGCTCTGGGCCCGGGCGTCTGAGCCCCGCAGCCCGCGTCCTCGCGCGGGACCTGTCGCCTCGCTGCTCCCCCTCTGGCCACTGCGCCCCTCCGCGCCGCGCCCCAGCTGAGAATGTCCCCCTCCCTGAGTCCCCCCTCCGCCGTCACCCCTGCCCTGGCAGGAGACAACCCCCTCAGCCCAGCCAGCCCGCGCCCTGCCCAGCTGGGGGTGAGGGGGCACAGGGGGGCTGGGGGCTCCCCAGGAGCCCAGGCACCACCAGGGCCGCTCACGACCCTCCACGAGGGCCTCCTCCAGCGTCTGTGCCCACCTGAGCTGGGGCCTGGGGGGCGGCGGGGGGACCCCTCTCCGGGAGGAGGGGAGTCCGTTCCCGGGCGAGGGGGTGCGGGGCGCGGCTTGTGGCCGCGGGGCACGCTGGGAGCACGCGGTGTGCGGCCCGAGGGCCACGCGCGAGCCCCGGAGGGTCACGGGGCCTCCCCCCAGGAGTCGGGAGGGTGGGGGTGTCCGAGGGCAGGGCCCGTCTGGGGGGGCGGGGGCTCCCTCCTGAACGCCAGCGACTGGCGGGAGGGGGTGCGCTGCGTCAGCCCACGCTGCTGGGGGGCGGGCAGGGTTCAAGGCACCGGATTTCCTGCCGGCACCTCCTGGGGCCAGAGTGGGACTTGGGCAAATGGCGGCCAGTACCCTGGCCAGCCCCCCTCAACCCGGGAGCGCGGGGATGCCCCCGACCCAGCGCGGGCAGAGCCCTGGGCGCCGGGGACGGAGGCCACCCGTGGCCTCGCGGGCGGGGGTCGAGCAGGGAGGGGGCGGGAGGGCGCGGGGCCTGTCCAGGGCCAGCAGCTGGGGGTCCTGAGCCGGGGGCGGCTGGGCCCTCTCGCCCCTGGCTCCTGCTTCTCATTGCGGTAAAACACGCGCAAAAACGCCCACTTGACCGCCTGGAAGCTGCAGCTCAGCGGTACTGGTTATATTTAGAATGTCGCCGGCCATCGCCATCACCCCAAAAGGACACCCCACCCCTCGCGGCCCTCCCTGGGTCCGTGCTCCCTGCCCCGGCTGGCCCCGGGGACACGCAGGAATGGCTGCCTCCCTGCCGTGTCCGCGCTCCCCACGGAGGCTGGCTCGAAGCCTCGTCTTCCCCGGGGCTGGACCCCACCGTCGCCAATCGGGATGGACGCTCGACCGGCTCTTTTTGGGGCCCCTGATGGATGGGACGTGTGTGCCACTTGGGGCTGGCAGGGTTTCCAGCTGACTTCCGGGGAGCCCCCAGCGGCCCAGCATCCAGGGCAGGGAGGCCACATTCAGCGGCCGTTACCCACCCCGGGGGCCTGGGGGAGCCAGGCCCAGGGCAGGGGCCCAGCTGGAATGGAGGGGGAGTCGGCCCCTGCGGAGGCGGGAGGCCCCACTGACCGTCCCCCGTCTCCTGCTTCGACAGTCACAGCTTGGCCCCCGCGGCTCTTAGGGCAGGGGGAAGGAGGGAGGACGTGGACTGGCCTCCGCTGGCCGGCCCCGGAGCAGGCCTGTGTGTCCCGCGGCCCTTTCTCCCCCAGCCGCGGGGACTTCGCTTACCCTCCCCCCATCTGGCTCTGAGCCGCACCCGAGGGCTCTGTGGGGCGGCCCGGCCTCCACACAGCCTCTGCCCTGGAGTGAGCCCGGAGACAGGCCCCGGGCACCCGCAAACGTGGGGGGCAGTCACCGCCACTGGATGCCCATTCCGGCGGGGGCAGGCGTGGGTGGCCACTGGGACCCCAGCTGCGCGGTGTACAGGCCCGTCACACCTGGCAGGTTCTGGGGAGCCCACCCCCCACTGCCCCGTTGCTCTGTGGGGCGGCCTGGCAGGTCAGCTGACCCAAACATGGCTGGCCTGTTCTGAAGAAAAAGGGGGAAGCCCTGCCCCCTGGGCTCAGAACTGCGGCAGTCACCCCTCCCTGGGCAGGGTGGGATCTCAGGGAACCCCGCGCTGCCATGCTCTCTCCACCCCCACCGGTTCCTCCTGCCCACCAGCAGGGGTGGCCACCCCATCCCACCTGACAGCTGGGGAAACTGAGGCACACGGGGCTCAGAGCCGGCCCAGTGTGTGCGGGGAGACTAGGAGGCCACCCCCCACGCCGCGCCCAGCGGGCAATGGAGACGCTGCAGACCAGGGTGTGTGCTGGGAGCGGGCCCTAAATACTGGGGAGGTGTGAGCGCTCAGGGAATCCCGGCCGGGGGGGGGCTGAGCACTGCTGCTCAGCTGGGCGCCTGACGTGTGCCTCCTGGGGTGTGAAAGCCCCTGACCCCCTCAGAGCACAGGAGTGCCCTGGCAGAGCGCACCCCCAAAGTCAGGGGCTCCAGGTGCTCCCACTGCTCGGTCTGGTGCTCCAGCTCTCAAGCCTAACCCGGTTTCTCTCTCGCCCCCACGCTTCTCTCCCCTCCCCCCTCCCCCACCCCACCCCTGTCCTCCGTCATGGCCTCCCTGCCCCCACGGCCCCCCCAACCCGTGTCTGCGCTCCCCCTGCACCCTGCCCCTCCCTGAGGTCTCCTCTGCCCCGTCCCGCCCATGCCCTGCTGCTGCTGTGCCACCCGCCTCGCGGCCCCCCTCCGGCCCCTGGTCCGCCCACCACCGTTCCCTGTGCTCCCCCCCTCCCGCCCCCCTCCCGCCCCCTCTCCCCCCCTCTCCCGCCTGCCTTCCCCGCCCGGCCTCCCCCACCCGCTGCAGCCTCGTCTCTCCCGCAGCCTGGCGGCCCCGGCCGGCCTCCAGCGCGCCCCATGCCGGCCCTCCTGCTGCTCGGGACCCTCCTGCTCCTGGCCCCCGCCGACCGGGCCGGGGCGCGCCCGTCCAACGCCACGGGCGCCGCGCCCGGCCCGCTGCCCGCCCTGCTGGCGCACCTGCGGCGCCTGACCGGGGCGCTGGCGGGCGGCGGGGGCGCCGCGGGCGGGGGCGCCAACGGCACGCGGAGCGGCGGCGCGGGCGGGGCGGGCGCCGCGGCCCGGGCGCCGCCGCCGGCCGAGCTGTGCCACGGCTACTACGACGTGATGGGCCAGTACGACGCCACCTTCAACTGCAGCACCGGCTCCTACCGCTTCTGCTGCGGCACGTGCCACTACCGCTTCTGCTGCGAGCACCGCCACATGCGCCTGGCGCAGGCCTCCTGCTCCAACTACGACACGCCCCGCTGGGCCACCACGCCGCCGCCGCTGGCCGGGGGCGCCGCGGGCGCCGGGGGCGCGGGCGGGGGGCTCGGGCCCGGCCAGGCCGGGTGGCTGGAGGGCGGCCGGGCGGGGGGCGCCGGGGGGCGCGGGGGCGAGGGCCCCGGGGGCAGCACGGCCTACGTGGTGTGCGGGGTCATCAGCTTCGCCCTTGCTGTGGGCGTCGGCGCCAAGGTGGCCTTCAGCAAGGCGTCCCGGGCGCCCCGGGCGCCCCGGGAGATCAGCGTGCCCAGGTGTGTGAGCGCGCCGGCGGACGGGTAGGGAGCCCGGGGCGGGGCCGGGCCGGGGCGGGGGGCGGGCCCTGGGGCGGGCGCGGGGCGAGGGAGAGGCAGAGGCAGGGAGGGCCTGGCGCGCGGCCTGGCCCCGCCCCATGAACCTGCCTCCCCAGCCGGCCGGCCGGGCCCTGGGCCAGGGCTCTTCCCCGCCTGCCAGGACGGCTGCCGGAGCCCCCGGGCCCTCCCCACCCCTGTGTGCCGCCCGCCGGGGTCTCCCTCCGCAGGCCCCAGAGCCTCGCGGCTGGGAGGCAGAGACCAGGCTGGGAGGGGCAGGGCCGCCAGCAGAGGCCGGGAGGGGGCAGCTGAGCTCCCGGAGCCGCAGCCCAGGCACAGGGGCGCAGGGACAGGCGGCAGGGGCGGGAGCCTTGTGTGCAGCCGCTGCGGGGCCGGCCGGGCAGGAGGCCGGCTGCAGGGGGGCGCGGGATGCCGTCTGGTTGGGGCTCTATTTTGGAGCCTGAGACCGCAAGATCGCTCGGGCACGAAGGGGAGAGGGAGAGGAATCAGGGTGATTCTGAAGTGCGGGGTGCACCCCGGGGGCTCCGCTGCTCAGGGAAGGCGCTTCGCAGGAAGGCAGATGGGGCCCTCAGGAAGCCGCACTCGTGTGGCCACTGTTAGCAGCCAGGCGGAGAGAAAGGGGTGCAGCCAAATGCCAGAGCCCAGCGCCCGACAGGGAGCCTTAGTGAGAGTCTTGGCTTCTCCCCGTTCCCGCCCCGCCCCAGCCGGCCGCTCCCGACCGTTCCCCACCCCCCTCCCCCAGGGCTCTGGTGGACATCCTGCGGCATCAGACAGGGCCTGGGGCCCGGCCCGACAGGACGCGGAGCAGCTCCCTGACCCCAGGGCTCGGGGGCTCGGACAGCATGCCGCCCAGGACACCCAAGAGCCTCTACAACACCGTGAAGCCCTCCAACCTCGGTGAGTGCATCGCGGGGCGACCTCCCCCCCTGCAGCCCCCCCCCCGGGGCACTCCTGGGGACTCAGACCTCCCCCCCTCCAGTGGACACAGGTGAGCCTCTGAGGCCGCGGCTACCCAGGGGGCCCTTCCCAGTCCCCGACTAGAGAATTTGGGGCCCATGAGAGACACGCCGAGACCTATGACCCTGGTGTGCCGCGGGCGTCAGGCCCCCCCCCATGGGTGGCCTGTTTCCTCATCCGCGACGGCAGCGCAGCAGCACCCGCCCCAGGGCTCCGCAGCCTGCGCCCACGCTCAGAGGGCAGCGCTGACACAGAGGCAGCACTCCGGGCACGTGGCAGAGGAGGGTGCCCGGGGGTCACGGGGAGCCACAGAGCTGGGGGGCCGGGTGCGGGAGGGGGGCTTCCTTAGGGCAGGGGAGCTCGGGTGCTGGCGCAGACCGTGCCGGGGCTGGGAGAGGGTGGGGCGGCAGAAGCCTCTGGAGGCTGAGCCCAGGGCTCATCCTGAGGGCAAGGCAGAGCCGAGGAGGAGTTCAGAGAAGGGTGGGAGCAGACAGCAAGGGGGTGGAAGGGGGGGGTGGATGGTCCGGGACAGTGCAAGGCCTGAGCTGAGGTCAGGAGCGGAGCAGCAGAGGTGGGCTGGGGTAGCGTGAGGAAGACAGACTAACCTGGTCCTGGAGGGATGAGCAGTTCTTCAGGCAAAAAAAGGGGGAAACACCAGGGCAATGAGCAGAGCCCCACAGCAAGAGCAGGGGGCCTGGGGCGGGGCGGGGCTGCTCATCCAGGTGCCAGACGGCCGGTGGCGCGGGAGGGGGAGGCGACAGCAGGCGTCAGGTCACCAGGCCTCCAGCGCCCACTCTGCTCAGACGCTGTCCCGCTAGGGGTGGCACGGCGGGCCTGCTTTGACGACGCGGGACTGGGGCAGGGCCGGGCAGGGCCAAGCACGGGGGCCCAGAGATGCGCCGGGGCTCCTCGAGACCAGGCCTCGGGGCCAGCGGGAGGGCCAGGGCGGTGAGGCGCCTCCCTTGCCGCTCCCACAGACCACCCGCACCACTACCTGCGCCCGGATGTCAGCAGCCCCCAGCACCGCGCCGCGCCGCCACGCTGGGGAAGGCCGGGCGCCGGTGGACGACGGGCCCCCACCGGGAGCCTGCGCCAGGGCCTGGGGGTCGGTGGGTGAGGCCGGCCAGCCTGGTCCTCATGGCTGAGCGAGCCGCCCCAGGGCCGGGGTGTCCGCATTCGGACACCGGAAGTGGAAAGCGGCTGCGTCTGCCGTGGGTCGCGAGAGGGCACGAGTGCAGCCCCGCCCTGCCTGCTCCCCACCAGGGAGCCCCGCTGCCCGGCTGGGGCCACGTGTCTCTAACGCCTCACGGGGGCTGGGGGCTGGACCCCCGGTTCCAAGGGAGGAGGCCGGCGGCCTGAACCTCTGGGTTCAGGGGGCTGGACCCCCAGGTCGGGGGAGCTGGCTGACCTCAGTCCTGTCCCTGCCCAGACTGGCGGGCCGTGCCGCCCCCCAGCCCCTCGCTGCACTACTCCACGCTGTCCTGCTCGCGGTCCTTCCACAACCTCTCACACCTGCCGCCGTCCTACGAGGCCGCCGTGAAGTCTGAGCTCAACCGCTACTCCTCGCTCAAGAGGCTGGGTGAGTCCCCGGAGGGAGAGCGGGCGGGCGGGCGGTGGGGCCGGGCAGGGCCTCGGTTCAGGACCGTGGACAGTGGCCCAGCGGCGGCCGGAGGCTTCGCTCCTCCCCCGGGCTGTGTCCAACAAGTCCCAGAGTCCCGCGGTCACGGAGTTGGCCCGGGCTGACCTGGAGTTTGCCTCTTAAGTGCAAGGGCAGGCCCCCGGCCCGGCTGTCAGCGGCACTCGCGGCGACAGCGGCAGAGCCACAGCGCGGGCAGACAGAACAACTGCGCGGCACGGAGCAGGGGTGCGGACCCGGGACCTGGGCTCACAGACCCCCACGAGGCCCGGCCTGGCCTGGGGACTCCCAGCAGGAAAGGATGTGCCCCCCGACCCCAGCAGAGGCCCAGACAGACTCCCGCGGGCTCCAAGCAGCGACAGCCCCCCCTAACCATGCCGGTGACCCTGGCTGGACACGTCCCTCCCCAGCCGCCGGGCCACACTCAGACGCTTGAACCGAGCCGCTGAGTAAGAGACGCTTTCACGCCCTCGCCAGGAGACGTGAAGCTACAGGCAGGCTCGCAGACGCCTTGCTGGGGACTCTCCACACACCCCGAGAGCAGGGCAAGCCCCGGGCCCCCGCAGGCCTTTGGGTGGGGACCTAGACACACCTGGGGTCGGGTCTCCCTGCTGGGGCTGCTCCGACAACACACACTGAGACAAGAGCCGGCAGGCTGGCCCCTGCTGCTGCCCGCCGTCCAGGCCCGGCGGGGCCCTCACCTGCGTCATGGCCGCTGGCTCTCCCCAGGCCCAGAGACCGGCCTGGCGTGAAGGCAGAGACAGCGCCTCCCAGAGCAGCGGCTCTGCTCCCCAGCCAGGCTGGGCCGCGCTTCCCTCAGCAGGGAGCCCACCGCCGCCTCGGGCAGGGCCCGGGGACCTGTGATGGGCCGTCCTCACCCAGGCTGCTGACGCGCTCCGGCGCAGCATGGCGGGTGGGCTGTGGGGGAGGCAGGGGCGGCCAGCTGGCCCGCGTGACCCTCCGCCCTCCCCTCCCACAGCGGAGAAGGACCTGGACGAGGCGTACCTGAAGCGCCGGCACCTGGAGCTGCCCCGCGGGACGCTGCCCCTGCACGCGCTGCGGCGCCCCGGCACCGGCGGCTACCGCCTGGAGGGCTGGGGGGGGCCCGAGGAGCTGGGCCTGGCGCCTGCACCCAACCCGCGGCGGGTCATGTCCCAGGAGCACCTGCTGGGCGACGGGGGCCGCGGGCGCTACGAGTTCACGCTGCCGCGCGCGCGCCTGGTGTCCCAGGAGCACCTGCTGCTGTCCTCGCCCGAGGCCCTGCGCCAGAGCCGCGAGCACCTGCTGTCGCCCCCGCGCAGCCCTGCGCTGCCCCCCGAGCCCGCCGGGCGTGCCGGCCTGGCCGCCTCCCACTCCAACCTGCTGCTGGGGCCCGGGGGGCCCCCCACGCCGCTGCACGGGCTGCCGCCACCGCCCGGCCTGCACGCGCACCACCACCACGGCCTGCACGGCTCCCCGCAGCCCGCCTGGATGGCCGACGCCGGTGGCGGGGGCACGCTGGCCCGCAGGCCGCCCTTCCAGCGCCAGGGCACGCTGGAGCAGCTGCAGTTCATCCCCGGCCACCACCTGCCCCAGCACCTGCGCACCGCCAGCAAGAACGAGGTGACTGTCTGAGGCCGGCCCCCGGCGGCCCCCAGGGCCCCACTGGGGCGAGCGCTCGTCGCCGTCAGACAGAGCCTCCGGCGGGCGCGGGCGGGCGCCCTCCCCGCCCCTCCCCCGCGGCCTCCTTCCCATGACGTCACCGCAGAGGAAGGGGCTCCCGGCGCGTGCCGCGCGGACCCGGTGCCTGTGGCCCGCCACGGTGACCGCACCTGTCCTGGGCTGTCCCGCGACAGACCCCTCCCCACGTCACGCCGCAGTCTCGCTCGCGACGCCACCTCGCCCCGAGGGCCTCCTCAGGGTCCCCCGGAAAGAACTCCCTTCCCGCCTCCTCACCCGAGAAGACGCCTGCCACGAAGCCATCTCCCTGGCCGCGGCGGGGCCTGCAGGGAAAGTGACTGGGGAGTGCCCTGGCCAGCCCCCGCCCCCGCAGCCCCGGGCCTCCTGAGTGGGCAGAGCCCCACGTGGCCCTGATGGAGACGTCACCGCCTGTCAAGAGTCCCCTCTGCTGGGGGAATCTGGGGTGTCCCCGCTGGTGACCACACTGCGCCTGCGGCCCCGCGCCCCCGCCTGCAGAGGCACCGCTGCCCGGCCCTCCCCAGAGCCCGTGCCCCCGCGGTCGCCTCCTCCCGACTCCGCGGCGCCAGGGCGCCCATGACCAGCGGCGCCGCCGTCTTCCAGGCCCCGCCACGCTGCCATGTGTCCGGGCTCCCGCCGGCGGCACCTCCCCTTCCAGAATCCACTGTGGCCAACGGGGACACCCCACCGGGATCCACGAGCACCCCGGACGCCACCACTGCCCAGAGCCCCCCGCGCGGTGTCGCCCCACGCACAGCCACGCGTGCCAGGCCCACCTCAGCCACGATGTCTCCAGCCCGCCCTCCCGCGTCCCGAGAGCCAGGGGGCACCGCCTCCCGGCCCACCTCACCCGGACGACCCGCCCTCCCGGACCCGGCCAGGCTGGGTGGTCGCTGTCGCAGGCCGCGCACCTGCAGCTGTTCCGAGGCCAGCACATGCCCGCCAGGCCCCTCCCGTGGAGTAGAGCGGGGCTGTGCACCCCAGCTCCGGCCCTGCTTGATGACGCCACCGCCTGCACCTGCACCAGCCCCCCAGGCGCGGCCTCCGGGCCCGGCAGCTCGCTGCCCTCTGCTCGCCCCCGGGGACCGGAGGCCGGAGGCCGCTCCACACGGTCACCCGCTGCCCCGCCACAGAGCAGAACCCCCGCTGGCTTGGACACAGCGCCACAGCCCGGCCGGGCGCCCCTCTCGGGGCTCCCCATCACCACCGCACTACGCGACCCCAAGCCCTCTGTACATAGCCATGTCGCGGGGGGGCGGCCACCCCCTCACTCTTAAAGGGCTACGCGCTCTCCTCCCTGCCTCCAGGGCGGGGTGGGGGGCCTCTTCTCCCCCCCTTTGGGCCGTCCCCCCTTTTTCCCCCACATTGCACACCTGCTCACCCCTTCTCGTCAGGGGCCTGGGGCAGGCAGCTGCCCCTCCGCCCCACCACACGAGGGGACGCGCCACTACTGTCCGGGCCCCAGCGCTGGCCTTTCACCTCCATGCTTGTAGCCTCGGGGCTCCCGGCCCTCCAGGACACCCCGCCAGGGGCCCTTCAGGTGGAGTGTGGCTCCCCACGACAGGGTCCCCTTGAGCACCCGCCTGCCCCAGACCCCTCTCCCCTGCACCCTGCCCCACTGGGGCACTCGACTCCCTCCACCCCGACCCGGGGCGCTGGGGCCTTGCAGCTTTTGTACGCCCCCTGCCCTGCCCTGGCCTGGGCTCCAGGCTCACGCCCTCCCCACTCACTTAGGCGCAGGCTGCCTGGCCGGGGCCTGACCTCTTATCTCAAATAAGCCATAGAGGGGAGAGGTCTGAGGGCGAGACCAGGCCCAGGCCGCCCGCTCCTGGAGCTGGGCCTCACGCGAGTCCTCCTGCCCCTTAAGCGCGCGAGAGACGGCCCTCTGGCGCGGGAGGGCAGTGCGGGAGCCGGGCAGCCCCAGCAGAGACCCGTCCCCCCGGCTGCCAGGCCCTGGGAGGCCAGCAGGCCAGCTGCCTGTGGTATTTTTTGGAATAAACAGATGTTTTCCTGGCTCGGCCTCAAGGTGACAGTGGGGAAGGGACGGGTCTCTGCACCCCCCTCCGTGTCCCTGGGGCGCCCCTGGGCCAAGAGGGACATCTGAGGGGCTGCACAGAGGCCCCAATCCCAGCCACCTGCCCCAAGCGAGGAGCTGGGCTGGGGTGAGGCCCTATGACCTGTTCTTCCTCCTAAAGCCTGCCCTGGGCTTGGGCAGGGGAGCATGTCCAGCCGGCATCTGAGGACGCACACCGGGCAAACCCTACGAGCCAGCAGTGGGGCTGTGGTGGCCACGGCCTAGAGGTGGCGTCTGGGACAGCCAGAGCTCGCTGCTCCCGAGGCCTGGCTGGGGGTGACAACCCCGGCTCCTGGCCTAGAGCTGTCGGCGGCTCTCTCCTTTGCTCCCAAGGACACGCGACTGGGATTGGGGCCCACCCCAGGACTCCACCTGCAAAGACCCTGTTTCCAGTTAGGGCTACGTCCCAGCTCCTGGAGGTTAGGTCCTCGGCGTGTTTCGGGGGGATCACAGTTGGCAGGAGCTGCAGCAGGGGTCCCTCCATTCAGGCATTGCCCTCAGGGCAGCAGGAAGCACGCCCAACCCAGCAACCTCCGGGCCCCCACTACTCCCGCCCCCAGGCGTGTTCACGCCTGGGGGAAGTAGCACTTCAGGGGCCACCCTGGGCCCTGCGAGAGGGCAGGCTGCCTGGCAGACCCTGTGCCCCAGCGGGAAGGGGGATGTGCCACTCAGCGTCGCCAAGGAAACCCCTCCCCCTTTCAGCAAAACGGGGAGTTTGCAAGAACAAGCAGTGAAGCAAGTCAGAGGCCAAGTACTGGGCGCTCGCAGAGGACGATCCGGTGACGGCAGCACTTAGGTGGACTGGACATGGCCGGGGCACGGGGCTGGGCGAGGACAGGGGCAAAGCCAAGGAAATCCCGTCCCCGGGGCACTGCCGGGTGTGCGCCCCAAAGGGCGGGTCTCAGGCCATGCGGGCCAGGGTCCTCCACAGCGGGAGCGCGCGGGAGGCAGATGGCCTCGGGCTCCTCCCTCGGGAAAGCGGGTCCGACTTTCCCGACGGCAGGGACGGCGGGGCGGGCAGCTGACACGACAACCTGCCCCGCCGGGCGACGCGACGCCCCCACGCTGTTCCGGGCGCCCTGCGCCGCAGGGAGGGCGGCAGCTCGGGTCGGGGCTCCCCGGGCCCACCCTCGCCCTCCCGGCACGTTCCCGAAGCCGAGGCCGCACGCGCGGCGCCGCGAGGCGGGCGGGAAGGGCCGGGGCCAGCGGGCCAGAGCGGCCGTCCAGGGCGCGGATCGGGCCGGGCGCGGCACCGTCGGGGCTTCAGGGGCAACGCGCACGACGAGGCCGCGGGGCGGGCGGGCCCGGCCCGACCCGGACTCCCTGCCCGGGGGAGGCGCGGCCGCCGGGGGCGGCGGGCAGTCACAGGCGGGCCGGAGCTGGCCACGGGCCGGGCGCTTCCGCGGGGGGCGGGGCCGGCGGGGGGCAGGGCGTCACCCCCACGTGCGGGGACGGGGCTACAGTGTCAGAGGCCGGCCGGGGCCAGACGGCCGAGTCTTCGTCACGCTCGGGGGTCTTCGAACCTCGACGAACACGGCAGAGGCCATTCCCGGCACAAAATGGCGCCTCGAGCGAGCCCGGCGCCCACCCCCTCCGCCGGCTGAGGAAGGGGCGCTGGCGGCACCTCATCTGCATACACAAAAGCAAACGCATTTTGTTGGCAGCCAGCGGCGTCTTTCACGCTGCACGGGGCGCCCATTGGCCCCCCGGCAATCCCTTCCCGCCCCTTCATCCCGCCCGCCCGCGCTCCCTCCCAGCAGGGATTGGCCGGTGAGAGTCTCGTGACCCCAGCCTACCACGGCGCGTCGCTATTGGCCGGAGCACCTTCCATCATCCGTTTACCCCCCCCACCCCCGAGTCCCGCCTCCCGTCGCCCCGCCCGGGCTGCGGGGCCAACCGTTAGTCGCGTGCGCGGTTTCCTGTGCGTCAGGGAGCGCGCGCGTACGCCAGGCCGTGGCGGCGTCGGATTCAAACGGCCCAATCAGCGGTCGTGTTGCTTCTCGCGGCTTCCTCCTTTCTACGGCCCGTCCTCAGCCCCTGGGTTCCCCGGAGGGAGTCTTCCCTCCCCGCGCGCCCCCGTCGGGTGAGCCACCGCGCGTACTTCTCCTCACCATTTTCCGCTTCGGCCCCGGCTCCCGGGCGGGGGGACGGGCGCGTCGAACGCCGAGGAACGTGCGCGCTGACGTCACGGGTCGAGCCGCAGCGCTCCGGGGCGGCGGGAGGCGGGGCCTACAGGCCCATATAAAAGCGGCGCGATGCGCGCGCCGCCGGCTCAGTGCGGCCGGACACCCGGGGCGGGCGGAGCGGAGGGCGCGGTTGCGCGGCGGGCGTCGGAGCTGCGGGGAGCGGAGCGAGGTCGCCCGGGCCTCGCCAGGGCCGCGGCGGCAGGGGTCGGCGGCCCGAGGAGCGCGGGAAGGGGTCCGGGGGGCCCGCCCCCGGCCGGCCGCAGTCATGGTGAGCGCGGCGGCCTGGCCAGGAGGAGCGGCCGGGGGCGGCCCGGCGGCGGAGGAGGCGGGGTCTCGGCAGCCGCGCTCCGCGGCCTGAGCGCCCGGGGGCGGCTCCGGTGGGCTCGGCGGCCTCCCTGGGGGCGGGCGGCGGGCGCGGGCGGTCCTGCGAGGCGCCGGCCTTCGGGACCCGCCCGGGGGTGTTCCCGGGGCAGGAACTTCCCGCCGCCATCCCCGCGCCGACCCGGCTCTCGAGGGGGCCTTCCCCGGGTACGCGGGCAGGGGGCCGGGGTGGGCTGCGCGCCCGCCGGCGTCCCTGAGGCTCCGGAGCCGTCGGTACCTCCACACGCACCCGCGGTCTCCGCCTTTCCAGTGGGAGATGAGCCGGGGGCAGCCGGGACCGGGGTGGGGGCGAGCAGGGGCCGCAGCGTCAGGTGTCCCCCGGCCAGGGCACCTCTCGGCCTGGGGCGGCCCCCCTCTCTGCTCATCGCCCATCCCTGTCTGTGCCCAGAACTCCAACGTGGAGAACCTGCCCCCCCACATCATCCGCCTGGTGTACAAGGAGGTGACGACGCTGACGGCCGACCCGCCCGACGGCATCAAGGTCTTCCCCAACGAGGAGGATCTCACCGATCTGCAGGTCACCATCGAGGGCCCTGGTGAGTGTTCGAGCAGGGCCCTGGGTGCCCGCATCCTTCCTGCTGGAAGGGGAAGTGCCATGCCCAAGCGGGGTGGTGGGGGTGCCCCGCGGAGGGCAGGCCAGACACGCCCCCTCCCCAGGCTTGCGGGCAGGACGCCCCAGGCGACTGCGACACTTTCATGTTGGCTAGCAGGGTGGGGGCAGCATGACCGCCCTTGGGCCCGGTGCACAGCCGTCCCGTTCCCCATTGGGGACCCTGCAGTCTGCCAGCTGGCGAGGGAGCTAGCCAGGAGCTGGGCTGGGGGGCTGGGTGACCCTTGAGGTGATGGGCCCCTGCTCTTTGGGGTCAGCCCGGAGGCCGTCAGTGTGCTGGTGGGGAGACAGGGCCTGCTGTGGCGCGGGGAGAGGTGGGGGTGGAGGGTGTGAGGCCACTGGTTCCTGGCATCAGCAGAGCAGGGAGATAGCCCCGTTGGACTTCAGCTGGTCCCGGTGGAGTGGACACAGGAGCTGACGTGAGGTCAGCGGGGTCTGCGCGGGCAGTGGAGAGGGGTGTGAGGTGGGCTGCATACCATCGTTTTGCCCTCATAGTTTCTGGGTTCCTCGGTGAGAAGGGCAGGTGCCAGTGGGTGCTCAGTGACACAGCCCACATGGCAGGCAGGGATGGGGCATCCCGTGACAGCCCCCAGAGTCAGCCCTCCGACCCTCCTCTCCCCACAGAGGGCACCCCCTATGCTGGGGGCCTGTTCCGCATGAAGCTCCTGCTGGGGAAGGACTTCCCAGCCTCCCCGCCTAAGGGCTACTTCCTGACCAAAATCTTCCATCCGAACGTGGGCGCCAACGGTGAGATCTGCGTCAATGTGCTCAAGAGGGACTGGACTGCGGAGCTGGGCATCCGGCACGTGCTGCTGGTGAGTGGGCCCTCCCCTCCACCGCCCGGGGCCTGACAACCTGTGCAGTGGCTGGGGCTGCCAGGCAGCAGTACAGCTTCCCACGTTTTTAGCCTGCCTGGGCCATGCACCCAGGCTGCAGGTGGAGGTCAGGCAGTGGACGGTCCTCTGACGGGTGGGGGTGCTTGAGGCTGCTCAGGCAGGTACTGTTTTCCGAGACGGTTGAAGTCGCTGCTCTGAAGCACACCGCTTGTTGGCTTATGGTGATCCTGGCGCTGCTGTGCTTGCAGGATGGTTCCATCGACTCTTTGCCAGCCCGGGTGTCAGGACACTGGTGTCGCTGGGACACGTTGTTAATTGCCCATTGGCTTGGGGAGGCCGAAACTGCCCTCAGCCTTGTTCCTCTGGGGTTCAGCTGCGCCCCGGCCTGTGGAATGTCTGCTTCTCTCGTAGCCTAAGGGAAAAAATTCCAAGAGCGATTGTTTAAAAAGCCCTTGGGGGCCTCCCCGGTGGCGCAGTGGTTGAGCGCTGGGTTGCGAAGCCGCCAGCGGCCTCGACGGCGCTGGTTCGATCCCCGGCTGCTCCCCGGCCACCAGAGGAGGGTCCCGCATGGCGCGCAGACCTCTCCTGCCGCCCGCTGCTCCCCTCAGCAGTGTGCTTCGGTCCTTCTGCCTGCTCTGCTCCCTGCTCTGGCTCTGGTGAATTCTCTCACCCTCCCGCGCTTCTGGCTGTACCCAGTGCATGTATAAACAAAAAAACAAACAAACAAATAAATAAATGAAGAAGAAACATGCCTATATTTAAAAAAAAAAAAAAAGATAGCATTAAAAAGCCCTTGGGGCAGGTAGCAGGCAGGACTGGGGATTGAGGCGCGGGGAGGTGAGGCTGCAGGTAAACGCCCGAGGTGGGTGCGTCATTCCAGAGGTCGGGCCGCTTCCCGGGGCAGCCCATGTCCTCAGCTGTGGTTGGCTGGTCAGCAACAGTGGCTGGGGAGGAGCACTGGGCATCCTCAGGCCCCAGCCTCGTAGTTACGCCTGGCCTAGCAGGCCAGAGCTGTGACCACATCTCGAGTCCAGTTGCACCTCAGCACGGGTGCCCAGCAGGCCCGAGTGGGGCTTCCTAAGCTGTCCCCTGGCTCCCGAGTGACCTGGGCAAGTCCCTCCTGCACCGTCCAGGCCTGTGGGGCCTTGGGCGTGGGGGGAGGGCGTCGAGGCTGGTGGGCCCTTGGTGGGCGCCCAGCCTGATCCACTCTCCCCGCAGACCATCAAGTGCCTGCTGATCCACCCGAACCCCGAGTCCGCCCTCAACGAGGAGGCCGGCCGCTTGCTCCTGGAGAACTATGAGGAGTATGCGGCCCGCGCCCGCCTGCTCACCGAGATCCACGGCGGCGCCGGCGGGCCCAGCGGTGCCAGAGCAGAGGCCAGCCGGGCCCCAGCCGGCGGGGCCGCCGCCTCCGCCGACCCCACGGCCCTCGGCGGCTTGGCAGGGGCCGAGGGCCCCATGGCCAAGAAGCACGCGGGCGAGCGCGACAAGAAGCTGGCGGCCAAGAAAAAGACAGACAAGAAGCGGGCGCTGCGGCGGCTGTAGGGGTGCTGTATCCTGCGCCCACCCGCCCCGCTGTCTCTAAGTTATTTAAATTATGGCTGGGGGGAGGGCTTGGGCACTGGGGCCTGGATGTGTTTTTCTAAATAAAGTCGAAAAGCAGCTGCTGTGCCTTTGCCCACTGGCCCCCAGTCCAGAGCCCCTGCCTGTGCTCCACCCTGCGGTCTGCCCCATGGCAGTTCCCCCACACCCCTGCAGAGCCTGCTCCTGGAGGGAGGCCAGTCACCCCAGGGCACGCCCACCTCCCGACTGCTGGGCTGGGCTGGGCAGCGGCTGGCTCCCTGGACAGTGGGGATGGGGTCGCTGCCTGTGCCGCAACCCTGCACCCTACCTGCAGTTCATGGGCCCTTGACTGGGTGCAGGGGCGGCTCCCTCCACCCGCTGGCTGGCCAGTGAGGCCAGCCTGAGGGGTGATGAAGTCACTGGGGCTCCCCGCCATGTGCTGGGGGAGGGGAGGGGCAGCTAGAGAAGGGGGTCGGCTTGGCTTCTCGCCCTTGGCCCCAAAGTGTGGGCAGCCTGACTCCTCACCTGGTGGTTGCCGGGACACAGTGTTGGACGTGGGTGAGGGGTGTGGTCAGTGCACATAGTGGACTTGAAGCAAGCTGAAGGCCCGTGATGGCAGTGCCAGCCAGGTGTGCCAACCAGAGCCTGCTGCCCCAATGCCCTGGTAGGTGTGTGGCCTGGACAGCTTAGTGCCCATGACCAGCCCGCCCCAGGCTGGAAGGCAGGCACCTGGCAGGTGGGCTCCCCGCCCCAGAGGTGCCTGTGCCCCCGGCCCACCCTCTGGGCTCGGGCAGGCCTTGGCAAGCCTGTGGGATGACCAGGCTCAGGTGGGGGAGGGGACAGGGGCCAGCCAGGAGGGACCTTCAGGTCCTGCAATTTTAAGTTGACCCCTGACCACCTCGGGCACATCTCAATCCACAGCTGCCAACACTGCTGCTGACCTGCTCTGCCCACTGCTGCCTAGTCTCGTGCAGTGACTGCACCCCAAAATAATTTTATGTACAGGGCCTTCCCTGGTGGGGCAGGTGTTGAGCCTCAGCGCTGTCAAGCTATTGCCAGCAACTGCAGCATGAGTTTGATCCCCCATATGCTACCCACATGGCGCAGCAGGCCTTTCCTGTCTCCCCGCTGCTCCCGTCAGCAGTGTGTTTCAGTGGAACCGCCGTCCTGCTCCCCACTCTGTCTCTGGGGAGTCCTCTCACCCTCCATACCTCTGGCCTACACTCCAGCTCCTGTATACATAAAAAAAAAATTTTAAATCACATTAAAAAAAAATTATTAGCAGCAGTAAAGAAACAGCCAAGTGGTGAGTTACAAAATCACAAAAATTCACAGCGTTTTTCATATGCAAATGATGAACAAGACACAATTGAGATTGGAGGTGACGTGTCTGCACAGCGAGCACTGTACGGCCAGGGAGAGACGCTGTTCACCACCAAGGCCAGGCGCCCCGGCCCCCGGGAGGGATTCACTGGGCAGCCGCCTCCGCACGCCGTCAGACCAGGAACGACGCACTGCTAAGGGCACACACCGGTGCTGAACTGAAAGCAACTGTTTCCAAGAGCTGGGGGTCGGCACCTGGGGCCCAGGCGGGGCTGCCCTGTACCCCCACTTGGCCATGGGTCCCAGGGACGCTGCTTGGTTGCCTGCTGCTTTCAGAGCATGAGCGCGTTTCGTGCACCTCTCTGCTGCTGGCCCTATTGCAGGGTTTGTTTTTTTTTTTAATACAAGACTTGGGTGGGGAGAGGCCGGGGGCACGGGAGGGCAAGAGGACTCACCAGAGACAGAGCAGGGAGCAGAACGGGCAGGGCAGAAACACTGCGGAGGGGAGTAGCGGGCGCAACGGAGAGGTCTGCCGCGCCATGGTAATCTCCCTGGCCGGCAGGGACTCGAACCCGCGTTGCAGAGGCTGTGGACAGCTTCACAGCGTGGCGCTCAACCCCCTGCGCCACTGGGGAGGCCCTGTTTCAGGATTTTAAAAACAGGAAGCCGCTCGCCAGGGACTGGCACAGACCAACCTCCGACGCCAGGCGTACGGCTCTGGGCCCTACCGCTCGTAGAACCTGCCTTGCGCAGGCGGTCGCGCTGACAGCAATGCGCCTGGAAGGCCAGTAGGGCCGGTAGACCGGCACCAGGAAGGGTTAGGGATAGGCCCCTGGCAGGGGCCCCTTCCCAAGGCGCAGACCTCACCAGTCTTCTTTCCAAAGGTGACAGAGCCCACCGTGAACGGCTCCCCAACACCCAGCCTCTGCCAGGGGCCGAGTGACCAAGCTCCCGCGTACCCTTCTGGAAAACTCCACGCAGCGGCGAGCCCACACGGCCTGCCTGTTAGCGGCACCTTGCTTCCGTGGATCCGGCCACTCCCGGTCCTGCCTGGCCAGGCTGTACACACCCTCCCCCATGGCTACTGCTTTGCTATGGACTGTGGCCATGGGACCTCGTGAACACACCCAGGTCGGGGGGCTCCTGCTGCCAGCACCCCTGGGCCACTTGGCTCCCCAGGAGCACTGGCCTGCACCTGGTGGTTGGGCGGCACGGGTACCACAGCAAGTGCAGAGGCACCAGCCAAGGCAGGCCCTTCCCCACCTACAGGTGCTGGGGCGCCAAGGCCCAGAGCCACGGCCAGTGCGGGTTGGAGGTCCCGTGGAGCCCACCCTCAGGAGACGACCTGGGCCCTTGCCCAGGGCGCCAGCAGCCTTGGAGGTGCGTGGCCCCGCTGCAGGCCCCAATCGCTTCCCAGGACAGGCCTTGCAAGAAGCTGGCTTCACTCCACACGAGGGGGCAGTGGGGCTGGACAAAGGCGCCTCAGCGCCCCCAGACTCCCTCCCCTGGGGTGCTGTCAAGAGCTCTGGGTGGTGCAGATGCAGCCTCCGCCAGGAAGCAGCTGCCATGCCTGGGGCCCACACGGTCAAGATGGCTCATGAGCCAACATTCACTAACCAGGGAGCCGCCCAGGAGACACAGGGCCGGCCGGCAGGGAGCCTGACGACCGGGTGGGAGCCCCTTCAGCCCCGAGTGAGCAGCCCGGCCACCAGTGCCCGAGTCCCTGAGCTCGGCTCAGCGACCGCTCCTGGCCAAGCTGTAGTCGGGCCCTATACTCGCCCTCCAAACACCCTCCACGGTGCAGACGGTGGGACTATGGGGAAACTGAGGCATGGGGAGGCAGGGTGTGCAGCCGTGGCCCCCGGGACCCTGCCAGGCCGAGCTGCTGCCACCCCTCCCTGGGGGTGCTGCTGTGACGTCTGGAAGTCTGCGGTCCCTTTGTTTGTAAACCACAATGTTATTTTCCTGGTTTATGCAATTTCCATGGTCCTCGCCAACAGGCCACAGCTCAGAAGGCTGACCGCGCAGTCACCTCCCCAGGATACACCCGCCAGCGCCTCCTCCCACCCCAGGTGCCAGCCCCCCAACACCCCCCCAAGCCAGGTGCTTCAGAGGCTCAGCTGGGGCCCCTATAGGCAGGCAGCCAGGCTCTAGGCTGCTCCCCAAACCCCCCAGCCCTGCGGCTCCAGGATGAGCAGACTGAGCACAGATGTGGGGACACTGGAGGATGTCAGTGGGTGCAGCAAACCGAGGTGGGTGGGGCAGTCCTGAGGGGATAGGACCCCACAGGGGAGAGGACACCAGCCATGGCTCCCAGCCTAGCGCCAAGGCCCGAGCTTAGTTCCGCTGGGACACCCCCCCCTTACCCCAGCATGGAGGGATACAGGGCAGAGCCCAGAGAGGTGACAAGCACCCAGGGAGCTGCAGAAGGCTCCGGGGGCTGTGACGTGGTGCCCTCCCCAGTGGCGCGTCCTGCTTCAGCTGGGGCGTGGGGCACCCCGTTGTGTGACACAGCAGTGTATGATGGCTGGGGCCACCGCTCACCCACACACGCCGACAACGTGCATACGACACTGTCCATCCACCCCATTCCCACAAGGAGCCGACAGGCTGTCGCGGGCCAGGGCCACGGAGACTCCAGAGGGCTGAGAACAGCGACGGGCAGGGGATGGTGTGGGGCAGCAGCACTGCCACCAGCCAGGGGAGCAGAAGGGAAGGGCGACGCGGGCCTGAGCCGCCAGAGGGCTCTGAGGACTCTGCCCGCACTGATGTAGGTGAGGGGAGCCCCCTGGATCCGTGGCCCAGCCCCCGAGGATGAGGGGCGCCCAGGGCAGGAGCAAGGAGACAGACTACACGCCTGCGCGGACTCCTTCACGCCACCCCCTGAATGGGGCCGGGGTGCACCTGGAAGCTCCCCGACAGGACAGGGCCTGGGTCGCAGGCCAGGGTGCAGACCCGGGATACACAGCCTGGGTTGGGTAAGGCTTGCTTCAGCCCTCCGCCCCCCTCCAGCTGTCGGCAGGGGTTCTGAACCGTTCATCTGTGGGTCCGGTTGCAGTCTGGGGGGTAAGTCTAGGAACTGCCCCCCACCCTGGAGCTCCAGCCTGGGCGGCCCAGTGGCCGGGAGCCCGGTCAGGCCGACTGGCCACCACAGAGGCGCGCAGGCGAGGTGGTGGAGTCAGGGGACACCTTTATTGCTGGGGGGCTGCTCAGGAGCTCTTGGTGGGGCGGGTCCTCTTCCTCTTCACCATCACCGGCTTCTGGCTGCGCAGGATGGCGCTGGCCCTGCGGATGGCGGCCTAGGGGGGCGAGGCAGCTCAGTCTCCCCCATGTGGACTCGCCCTGCCCCGCGCCCCACCCCTCCTGCGCCCCCCTACACACCATGCGCAGGTCAGGCCGGTACTTGTTCTTGCGGATCATGTGGCGGATGCTGCTGAGCGTGGCCCGCGCGTTCTTATTGATGGTGGTGCGCACGTAGGAGGTGGCCGGCTTCCGCTGGCCTGGTGGGAGGCGGGTGGTCCCCGGGGTCAGGGGGAGTCGGGACTGCAGTGGGGGTCCGAGACACAAGGGCACGGCCTCCTGCCCTGCAGGGGCGAGGCCAAGACGGCCAGCCCTGCCCCAAGGTGGTGAGGGCTTCCCACGCTCACAGCAGAAGGGGGTGAGGGTCGGGCCTGGCAGGGCGGGGGTTCCCGGCAGTGGGGTCCGGAAGCCGGGTCACCCACCGTGGGTGAGAGCCCCGCGCCCCTAGGCTGCCCCTCCAGTGTGACCCTCAGGTGAGCAGTCACTGAGAGTCACCGATGGCCAAGCCACGCCTCCAGTGCTGACACCGGGCAACAGGGAGGCTGGAAGGAGCTGTGGGGGGAACTGGGGAGGGAAGGGAGGGGCGCACCGTGTTCTGGACTACAAGCCAGGCACCCCTTTCTCCTGCAGGAAGCTGCTGGTCAAGCCTGAGTGCTCGCACCCGAGAGGTCCCCAGAAGCCCCCACCCCAGCTCGGCGTCCTGCTCACATCCCCGGCTGCCCGCCCGGGGGAAAGGCCGCCCCCCACCGCGGGGCCTCAGAGCCCGCCGGCCAGGGCCTGGCTGTCCACGGGGAGGGGGGGTCAGCGGCCCCAGCTCTGCAGCCTGGCACGAAGACGGGGGCCTCCCCAGCCTCTCCCGGGCCGGCGGCGGTGCCCCCAGCCGCGGCGCTCACCGGCTCGGCGCTTCATGACGACCACCACGCCCTTGCCGTCGGCCGCCGGCTCCACGCCCACCGTCTTGCGGTGGATCAGCCCGTTGTAGCGGAAGGAGTTGCGGGCCTTGAGGTTGTTGGGCTCCTGGGCAGGGGAGGCCGGTGAGGCCGGGGCCCCCGGGGCCCCCCCCGCCCGGGGCGCCCCCCCGCCCGCGACGCCCCCCCGCCGGGGCGCCCCTTACGGTGCTGTAGGTCTGCTTGTTCCTCTTGATGAGGAAGCTGGAGCAGTTGCGGACGACCATCCACTGCAGGTGCGCGGACATGGCGGCGGCTGCGGGACACGCGGGCTGTCACGCGCGGCGGGCGCCGGGGGGGGGCGCCGGGGCGGGGGCGCGGGCGCCGGGGGGCGGCGCCGGGGGGGCGCGCGGGCGCCGGGGGGGCGGGGGGAGGGCCGGCGGGGGCCGGCGGGGGCCGGCGGGGGCCGGGGCCGGGGCCACGCGGCGAGCTCACCTCCTCTCGCGCGGCCGGAGGCGGAAAGGGCCGGGGGGGCGGGGCGCCGCCTTTAATGCCCGCGCGCGCTTCCGCTTCCGCCCGCCGCGGCGTCTGGGGCGCCCGGCACTTCCGCCGCCGCCGGCAGCGGCCCCCCCGGGGCCCCGAGCGGCCGGCCCTGGGCGCCGGCGGCCGCCCGCGAGCGCTCGCGGGGCGCTTGAGCGCGGGGGCGCCCGCGGCTCCGACCGCCGCCCCGTGTCCCCGGCACTTGCGCGCCCCCTCCCGGCCCCCCCGAACCCCCGGCCCCCCCCGGCCGTCCCAGGAGCGCCCTCGCGCGTCCTCGGAGAGCTCCGGACGCGCTCGTCGGGGGGCCGCGCCCCCGCCGCCCCCGCCCGCCCCCCCCCGGCCCCGAGACCCGCGGCAGGTCCGGGAAGCGTGAACGGGACTGTTCGGACTCGGGGAGGGCGGCGGGGCCCCGGACGCGCGCCCAGGCCGGGCTGCGGCGGAGGAGAGTTGCCTGGAAAGCGCCGAGTTCCCTCCGGGGCGCCGCCCTCGGCGCCCGAGTCCCGCCGGCTGGACTTCGCGCGCGCTGCCCCTCTGCTGTCGGGGCCACCTGGGGGCCGCGCCCGGCCTGCGCGCCCCCCGCGTGGCCGGCCTCCCCGGCTCGCGTCCGGCCTGGCCCTGCCCCTCCCAGGCGCCCGGACTGGGGCTGGGCGTGGGAACTCCCGGGGCGGAGGCCTGGTCTGGGTCGTGGCTGCGCCCCTGGCTCCCCCCTAAGTCCCGGGAGCTGGGGGGGCGCTTCCCCCGCTGCCCCCGGGTCTAAGCTGCCGAGCTGGAGGGAGGGCCCCTTCGGGGCGGGGCGGAGGCCGGGCGGGACCCCAGCAGGACCCGCGCCCCGGCTGCCGGGGTCTGCGCGCAGAGCTGTCCTGGCGCCCTGGGCCCGGCGCCACCCGCGGGGCTCGTGAGGCCCGGCGAGGCAGCGCCTGAGCGCCCCAGCGTGCCCGCCGTGCTGCCCCCAGAGAGGCTGCGGAAGGCGGGGGTCCGGGCCCCTCTTCTCCGGGAGCCGACCGCCGCCCCCAGCGCGGCCTCTGGGGGCCATCCCGGCGGGGACACCGTGCCCGGGGCGCCCTCGAGCCGGGCTGGGCCCAGGCAGTGGGCCCGGCGTACCTGGCGCCGTCCCCTGACCCCGCCCCGGCGGCCGCACCCCGGAACGCGCCCTCAGCCGGCGGCCGCGGAGCAGGGCCATGGCGGCGGCGCCGGTGCTGCCCGTGGTGTGCGCCGCGCAGGGGCCCGCGCCGGGCGCCCCGTCCCCGCCCGCGGGCGCGCCGGGGCCGGCGTCGGGGCTGGGGCGCTGCCGGGTGGCGCTGCTGCTGGCCGTGGCGCTGGACGTGGCGGGCATGGCGGCGCTGCTGACCGGGGTCTTCGCGCAGCTGCAGGTGCGCGGCCGCGACTTCGGCGACCTGCTCATCTACTCGGGCGCGCTGCTCGTCTTCCTGAGCCTGCTGGGCTGGGTCCTCTGGTACACCGGCAACATCGAGATCTCGCGCCAGGAGCTGGAGCGCGACTACGGCCTGCGGCCCTCGGCGCTCGCCCGCCTGGCGCGCAAGCTGTCCCGCCGCTGGTCCGCGCCCGCCCCGGCCGCCGGCCCGCGCGCCCCGCCCGGCTCCCGCGGGGCGCGCCGCGCCGTCCGCGTGTCCCCGCCGCCGGCCGCCGGCTCCCGCCGCGTGCGCCTGCAGCTCGCCACCCTCGAGGCCGGGACCGGGGCGGCCGCGGGCCCCGAGTGAGCGCCGGTGAGGGCCGGGGCGGGAGGCGGCCTGGGGGACGAGGCAGGGAAGAGAGGAGACCCGAGAGATGGGAGTGGGGAGGCGGGGACGCTGGACGGAGACACACAATGGGGACAGACGCGGGACCAGGTGGCCCAGGGAGGGGAGCCGCGGGCCCCGCGGGGGCAGCGGCCGCTGGGGAGAGGCTAGACTCTGCCCCTGGAGAGGAGCCCTGAAGCGGGAGCTGAGTCAGCTGGCCCGGCAAGGGCAGTGCCCTTGCGGGCTGTCCTGCCCCCAGGAAACTTCTGGGGTGTCCTACCTCTGACCCCGCTGCTTTTTCTGGGTCTCCCCCTTGTCTGAGTTCCCCGGCCACTGCTGGTGTCTCCATCTGTGGCTCTGTGCGTGCTGCTAGCGTCTCTTGCACCCCCGGGAGCCCTTGGGCTGGGGCCTGTGCGCTTAGCAGAGAGTGGGCTCGGGTGGCCAAAGGTGGCTGGGGGGGAGGTGAGTGGGTGGGTGGACTGACTGACAGGGGAGTGAGTGGGTGGGTGGACGGATGGACAGGGGAGCTGTGGATAGATGGATGGGGGGACAGGTGAGTGGTTGGAAGGTGGGGCGGATTTGTTGGCCGATGGTGGGTAAACAGATGGGTGAATAGATGATGGAAGAAGTACTGGGTGGCCAGAGGGACAAACAGGGTGCATGTGCCTGGGCTGCTGGCTGGGTAGTTTCGGGCCAGTGTAGGGGGTGTTGGGAGGGAGGGTAGTGGACAGGTGAGGGGCGGTGTCTGGACGGACGCGTGGTCTGGGGGCTGACGGGATGAGAGGACGGGCTGGCTGTTGGGAGCATGAACAGGCGCCGTGGAGGGGCGTGAGACAGGCTCCGCATCTCACGTGGGGTTCCCCTTAAACTCAGCTGTCCGGAGACACTGGTCTCCGTGACGAAGGGGCTTTCCTGCCACGTGGCGGGACCACCACCAGCTACCACTGCCCCCCGTCAGGGTGAGCGCGTGGGTGCCCCGCTCTGTGCTCGGGAGAGCAGCCGCAGCCGGGCGCGTGGGCAGGCCACGCAGAAGTGACCGCCTACAGTGACAGTCCCCCGGGACGCCCTCACGTGTCGCCGAAACCTGCCTCGGCTAGGCCTCCCCGGCGTGGGGCTCGCCCGTGATGGGGAGGGACACACCAGGAGGACAGAGGACTTGACCTTTAACACAAGGACCCGTGGTCCCGGCTCTGGCTCCCCTCTCCGTCGGTGACCACGGCTGCCCGATGGACGACTTGGGGACGTGCGGGGCGGACAGCTGAGCGGGTGGGCTGGCGGCAGCGCCAGGCAGAGCACGCCCGTCCTGTGCTGGGGCTTTCCTCACCGGCTCCTCACTCCGCGTGTCTGTCTCAGGGTCCCTGTGCCCCCAGTCGCTCTTTCTGCGCCTCTCCCCCCTCTTGCACCCCTGATTCCAGCGAGGGCAAGCCCCCTGTGCAGCCCTGCCAATGGGGAGATGGAGGTCAAGGGAACGCGTGTGCAAGCGGGTGTGTTGGGGCTGGGGCCGGAGAAAGAGCCCCATTCCCCTGCCCCCCCCCCAAGTCAGGGAGGGGTCCTGAGCCTTGCTGACCCTCCCTCTCTCCCGCAGACGGACCCAAAGCCCCATCTGTCAGGACCGGACCCAGATGTGCAGCTGCCGCAACCTCACCTGGCCGTACCTGGTCTCACCTGGCCACACCTCCCTCCTCCCCCCATAAATGGCTCTGCTCACAACCCCTCCACTCGTGTTGTGTCTGTCTGCAGAGGGCTGGTGCTGGGCAGCGGGGGTGGGGTGCCGGGCACCATGGGCCAGGCCAGCACCCGGCGAGGCATCCCCTGCTCTCGGGGACCGCATCCTGCTGGCCCCTCGCAGATGGGGATGGCTGCCCCAGCCTCCAGCCCCATCAACCCAGGCCTCTCTGTGAGCCTGGAGTCTTCCGAGAGGCAGACAGACAGACTGGACTGCCAAGGTGTTTCCCGGGGCGCGCACTCGGGCAGCGGAGACCGAGGTCCCGGAGGAGTGGGGAGGTCAGAGGCCAGGCAGTGGGTCTGCCGCGCTGACAATGTCCAGGAAGATGCTGCCTGGCCATTGGGGAGCCTAACAGTCGCCTGCTGGGGGAGGCCTGCTGCTGCAGGGACCCACGTTGCTTGGGGGAGCGTGCCATGGGGAGCGTGCCAAATGCACTGGGGGGAGACCCCACTGGCAGCCTGCAGGGACTCTCAGGCCCAGGGCTGCCTGCCCAGGGCCTGCTGGGTGGGTGTCTCCCAGGGCTGGGGCATGTCCGGACCCCCACAGCCCGCTGCTCCTCAGGCCCGGGGCCCAGACCACCACCCACTTAACCCTAAACCCCCCCATCCGGACCCTCTCGGCCCCACCCCCATCAGCCTGGCCCCACTGGCTCAGGTCCTCCCGCTCCCCACCCCCCCATCCCAGACCCCCTCCTCAGTTCACACCCCACCTTCATCCCAGTCCAGCCTCCCCCTCCCCAGGGCCCACCAGCTCCTCCGATGCCCACATACGCCCACCCAGGGTCTCAGAAAGGGGCCAAGCGTCTACATGCTACATCTGTATTGAGGGGGCCCGCCAGGGGTGCCCCTAGTCCTCCTCCCCCTCCGTTTCCTCGCCCCCTTCTGTCCCCTCCCCTTCGGTGGTCCCCGAGGCATCCAGGGGCGCGTCCGTGGTCAGCGAGGTGGGCATGCTGCCCAGGGACGTCTTCTTCTCGCTCGGCGTCCGGTCCTTGGACAGCAGAGAGACCGTCTTGGAGAGGTCGCACCTGCCCCGCAGGAACCGGGGCAGGCGCAGCAGGTCCCGGCGCTTGGCCCACCTGGGGGGCAGACACGTCAGCCCGTGCCCCCGCCCGCCCCCGCCGCCCCAGCCGACCCCACTCACCAGAACAGGCAGATGCTGCAGATCAGGAAGAGGAGGCCGCCGCACGTCCAGCCCAGCGCCCACATATGCTTCCGCCGCATGTTCTCTGCGCGGAGGGCGAGATTCAGCCGGCCACCCCAGGCCCCGGCCCCCCTCCCCTGGCCCGCCTCGCCGCTCACCGTCCGGCCGCTGGTGGTAGCACACTCCATCCCGGTAGCAGCACCGCAGACGCAGGCACAGGTTGGGGTTCTCAATGGCAGCCTGACCCCCGCAGCTCTCCCGGTCCCAGACGTCTCCCTCGCAGCCTGGAGGCAGCAGGGGGGGGGTCACTTCCTCACAGGGCCCAGCCCAGGGCCACGGGGTGCCAGGACCCGGGGGCAGGCCCTGGGCATCCGCCCAGTGCTGGCTCCTGGGGACCCAGAGTCCAGGCCCCCACCCCCTCCCTCAGCCCCAGGGTCCAGGCCCCGCCCCTGTCCCGGGTCCCAAGGGTCTAATCTGGAGTGCCTGTCCCGTGGACCCAGGGTTTTGTCCACTGCTCACTCCATGGATAGAAGAATCCCTGGATCCCATTCCCATCTGTGAAAGAAAACGGGTGATGTTGGGGAGCTCCATGGAGGCCAAGGAGGCCCCTTCCTCGGCTCCGTGACTCCCCCGCAGGCCCCCTCACCTACTGAGCCCTGCATCAGCAGGAAGAGGCCCAAAGCTGGGACCCCAGAGCCCACCATGCTGCCTCCCCAGAGCCCAGGGCCCTCTATGGGGAGGGATGGGGAGGGCCATCACCCCAGCAACCAGTCTGGCCCCGCCCGCCAGCCCCCGGCCCCCCAAGATTCTAAGTTCCATTGCTAGGGAGCCCCTGAGCCACCGTGAAGGAGCAGGGGTTATGGCCATGCCTGGTTGCTTGGAACATGCTTCCCGAGCGACAGGTGGAAAGGGCCTTGGGGACTCCTCCCGGCAGGAGAACCCCAGGGCTGGGCACCCCGGACAGCCTGGGGCCTGAGGAGCGGCCCTGAGACCCAGTTGCTGGGGAGTCTTCCCCCAAGGACCAGGCTGGGGCGAGGCACAGAGGGCTCACTGAGCGCCATTGTTGGGGAGGCCCCTAGCAACCAGCCGGCCCGGGGGCCACACCCAGGCCGCTCGCTCATGGTCCCCTCCTCCCCTGCCAGGACCCCGGGACCCCGACTGGGGACCCGAGGCCCCGCGACAGGGAGAAGCCCAGGGTGGCAACAGCAACTCCCGGGAAGGGAGCGACGTCTGCTGCCTCAGTTTCCCCACGTGGGGAAGGACCCCGGGCTGGGGCCCGAGAGGCCCAGCAGGCGTAGGCTGGGCGAAGGCGCCGCTGCACCGTGGGCCCCCCTGGCCTCGCGCAGGTGAGGAGCCTCCGCTCCGGCGGCGTCTGTCCCCTCGCCCAATCTGAGGGCCGGGGAGCGGGGCCTCAACACCCCCACAGAGGCAGGGGGCCGGGGAAGAGGACCCCAGGTCCAAGGGGGGCCGGGGCCTGGACTGCCGGTCCCAGGATGGGGGGCCGGGGCCCCGGCTGCCCAGGAGTCCAGACCCCGGTCCCCGGGAAGCGGGGCAGCCGCGGGCCCCACCCGGCTCCCGTAAACATGTGCTGGGGCCGAGCGCCCGGCCGGCGGCCGCCTCCGTCAGAGATGACACGGGTCAGAGGGGCTCGGCGGGGGGCCAGAGGTGGGGTCAGCGGGGCGCGGGGCTGAGGCCAGGCAGCTGCTGACTGTTTCCTGTGTCAACATCATCTGGACCCACTTCCCAATTCCGGGGATTCCTCCGGGATCAAGGAGGGGGTGGGGGGCGGGGCCGCCCGGACTTGACGGCGGCGGGCACTGGGGGGGCCCGTCATGGCCCTCACCGCTAATGACAGGTTTGGGCAGCCTCTGCGGCCTGCCTGCTCCGTCACCCCCCAGAGGCCAGACAGGACCCCCCAGGGACAGACAGACGGACACACACAGTCTAGGACCTGCTGACCTCACACCCGGCCAGTCACACCTCGCGGGGGGGACAGCACATGAGCAAGGACCCCCTGGGGTCCCCATGCCAGCGGCGGCGCCCCAGGCCAGTGACTACTCTGCGAGCGGGGCGCCCGCCCCCGTGCCCGGGGGCGCCCGGAGCCCTCTCCCCGGCCACCGCCGGCGCCGGTGAGCTGCAGCCTCTCGGCTCCGACGTGCTGGCTCCCCGGCCCCTCATCTCCCGTGTCCGGCTCTCCACTGCAGGGGACACCCCGGGACCTGAGCCACCCCTAGTCCTGACCGCCACCCACCCGCCTCCCTCACCTGCCGCTGCCAGTCCCAGGGGGCACACCCCGGCACCTGGCCTTCCCCACGTGGCACTCCGCAAACTGCACAGTGGAAACGTGTTCCATTCTGGTGCTCTCTGCTTTCTAGAAACCAGGGTTTAGGGACTGGACACCTCACAGCTGGGTCTGAGGGGGGAGGGACTGGGGCGCTGGACCCACAGGTCAGGGGAGGGGGTGGGGGGCCTGGACCTCGGGGTCTGAGGGGGGAGGTACTGGGGACTGGACTCCAGGGTCAGGAGAGAGGGTGGGGGCCTGGACCCCCAGGTCAGGGAAGGGGCTGGGGACTGGACCCCTGGGTCTGAGGGGGTAGAGACTGGGGCACTGGACCCACAGGTCAGGGGAGGAAGCCGTGGGCCTGGACCCCCAGGTCTAAGGGGGGGGACTGGGGGTCTGGAACCCCTGTTCAGGGGAGGGGGTGGGGGTCCTGGACCCCCAGGTTTGAGAGGGGAGGGGCTGCAGGTCTGGACCCCCAGGTCAGGGGAGGAGGCCAGGGCCCAAGGGAGGAGAAGGGGGGCCTGGACCCCTGGGTGTGAGAGGGGAGGGGGCTGGGGGCCTGGATCCCGGGTCTGAGGGGGGAGGGACTGGGGCGCTGGACCCACAGGTCAGGGGAGGGGTGGGGGCCTGGATCCCTGGGTCGGAGGGGTGGGGGTCTGGACTCCGGTTGCAGCAGGGAGTGGGGGTGACACCCCCAGTTCCTGATGGGTGGAAGGGGCTGCCATCCCCCATGGCTATTGTTGCCCTCAGGCTGGCCCCAGGCCCAGTCCCCCATCCCCTCAGGCCAGTCCATCCCCCAAGCTGGTGGCCTGAGTCACCTTGGCTGGCCCGGCCGGTGTGGGGGGGCTACGTCAGTTCTCCCCTCACTGACGCAGCCTCGGGCCCCCCAGGCTGACTCAGCCGGAAACAGGCCCCCTGAGGGGTGGAGACCCAGTGGTCAGAGGCCTGGGTCCCAGCGGGCCGGGGACTGGGGAGGCCCCTGGGGGGCCTGCAAGGGGTGGCCATGACAGGCCAGAGGGAGCGGAGCCCTCACCTGAGGCGATGAGGTCATTTCCCACCATGAAGGGGGGCTGTGACCTCACCTCCCTGGGAACCTGGGCTGTTGCCCCCCACGGTGGGGGAGGGGCCGAGCGGCCACCAGTCATCCCCAGAGCCCCCTCCCGTGCAGCAGGGGGGCCAGGAGCGGGTCTGCAGACAGACACTGCAAGGCTGGCCCCTCGTCTTCTCATTGGCACCCCGTCTTGTCCAAGCCCTCTGTGGGGCGCTCCAGGGACCTAGGTGCTTACCGTGGCCCCCCGGGGGGGGTCAGCCCCCCCCCAGCCAGGGGCCATCTGCAAGACCGTGCCTGTGCCTCCCCCCCTTGCACTGCCACGTCTGCACTCCCCCACCCCAGCCTGGGGTCCCGGGCTCCCGGCCGAGCCCCTCAAGTGTGCCCGCACCCGCCCCTGCTCCCCGTCTCGCCCAGGGCCACATCTTGTTCTCTCCATGTCAATGAGAGCAGCCGGGACAGCCCTGGCCGGCGGGACCCGTGCTGACCGCGTGCTGACCTGTGCCCCGAGGGCTCGGAGACCAGCACCCCATTTCGCAGATGAGGGCTCCCCCGAGGCAGCACAGGGGGCAAAGCCAGGCGCGAGGCCCCTCCTTGCCCCTGCTTCTCTCTCGCCCACCGTCACCCCCAGCCCCCTGCTCCAAGACCCCCCATCCCCGGCTGGGGCTCCCGGCTGCCTCTGGCTTTGTCTCTGTTCTTGTGTTTTTTTAAAGATGTATTTACTTCTGCGAACAAGCACTGGGGTGCAGGGGGGAGGGAGGCCGCCAGTGTCTCTCGGCCGCCCATCCTTGCCACCCTGCCTCGGGGTCCCCCTCCGGGAGACGGGGTGTGTCTCGGCCGCCGCCCCCCTCCGTGCGCTGCACCTGTCCCTGCTCTGCTTGGGGGTCCGTCGCCTCCCGGGTGCCACCTGACCCTCCGCCCGGCCTCTGCCTCTGCGGGGCGCGCGGGCACCTCGCTCTGCCCGCCTCCGCCCGCCCGCTGCCCGCCGGGGTCCCCGCGGGCTCCGCGCGCCCCAGGCCCGCCGCGCGCCGCCCGGTGCCACCGCTCGGCCGCCGCCGCCCGCCCTCCCCGACCCCCGCCCGCGGCCCCAGCCCCGCCAGCGCGGCTGCCCGGGTGGCTGGCAGAGGCGGTGGAGGGAGGGGACGCGATGACCTCACCGGCCCCTCTCCGACCACCCCCCTTTCCCTTTTCAACTTTTCCAACTTTTCCTTCCGTGCCCTCCTCCGAGCGGGCGGCGGGGCCCGGCGAGGCAGCCGGCCCGTCTGAATGGAAAAGGCAGGCAGGGAGGGTGAGTCAGGATGTGTCAGGCTCCCCTGCCCCCCGCCCGCGCCCCGGCCCCCTATATAACCCCCGGGCGTCCCCGCGCCCTCACTGCGCGGCCCGGCGCGCGCACGCACATGCTCCCCGCCCGCGGCCCGGCCCGGCTGACCCCGCGGGCGGCGAAGGGAAGGCTGCGGGCCCGGCCCCCGCCCTCGGCGCCGCGAGCCCCCGCCCGCCGGGGCCATGAACAGTGAGTGGCCGGCCCGGGGACCCCGCGGGACCCCGCGGGGGGTGGGAGCCGACCGGGCGGCCGCGCCGGGGCAGCGGCGGGACACGGGAGCGCGGCGCGGGGCGGCGGCTCGGCGGCAGGAGGTGCGCGCCCGGCCCGGCGCCAGCCGAGCGCCCGCCCCGACGGGGCCGAGCCGCGGGCGGCGGCCCGGGGCGCCCGGGACCCGGCGGGCGCGGGCCGGGCGGCGCGGAGGGAGGCCGGGCGGAGGGCGCCGGGCGCCGGGCCAGGCCCGCGGGCGGCGGGAGGCGGCGCGCGCCCCGGGCGCGGGCAGACCCCGCAGAGCCGCGGACGGACGGACCGACAGCCGCGGCCGGCCGGCCAGGGGGCGGGCCGGGGGTGTGAGGCGGAGCGGGGCGGCCGGGGGCGCTGATTGGCTGCCGCCCGGGGGGGCGGGGCGGGCGGGGGGATGGGCGCGGGCCGCGGCTCGGCGCGGGCCCCTCGGCGGCCGGCTCTGCCCAGGTGCGCCGCCGCCCCCGGCTCCGCGCCCCCGCCGGCCCGCGCCCCCGGAGCGCAGGGCTCCCCGGGAGGGGCCGCGCCCGGGCTCCGTCCCCGGCTCCCCCGCCGGCTCCCAGGCCGGCTCGGGCTCCGGGGCCCGGGGAGGGGGCAGGTTCTGGCCTGCGCCTCGCCCCTCTTGCCCCGCCCCGGGGCCCAGATTCCGGCGTCCGGGGGCGGACGGGAGACGCCCGGCCCGTCTACCCGCCCCGGGCCGCGTCTGCTCCGACGGGCGGGGCAGACAGAGCCGGAGAGGGAGAGGGAGGCCGCCCGGCCCGGCGACCCGCCGCTCCGCCCCGGCCCCCACGACCCCGGGCCCTCCGCGGCCGACCCCGGGCCCTCCGCGGCCGCCCCCGGAGCCCGGCTGCCTTCCCGCGCCCGCCCGCGAGCCCCCGCCGCGCCTCGGGCCCCGGGCGTCTGCCTGAGCCCCGGCTTCCCCCGCCCCAGGTGTTTGCTGCCTGGTCCTGGTCGCGCTGAGCCTGTGGCCGGAGAGAGCTGCGGCCCCGGGGCCACCGCCGGGCCCCCCTCGGGCCTCTCCAGACCCTCGGGCTGAGCTGGACAGCGCCGTGCTCCTGACCCGCTCGCTCCTGGCGGACACGCGGCAGCTGGCTGCCCAGCTGGTAGGAGAGCGGGGCGCGCCGGCCGACACCGCGGACCGGGGCTTCTGGGCTCGGGGGACAGCGGCCAGGGCGGGAGGAGTTGGGGCGCCCCCGCCGCCCACAGCTGGGCAGGGTCCCCTTCATGGCCTCCTCCCCCCCAGAGAGAAAAGTTCCCGGCTGACGGAGACCACAACCTGGACTCCCTGCCCATCTTGGCCATGAGCGCGGGGGCGCTGGGAGCGCTGCAGGTGAGGCGGGTGGGGGGCAGCCCGGGGGCGGGGTGGGAGGCGGCAGGCGGGCGGGCAGGTGCGGGTGTCCCTGACTGCCCAGGCCCCCACTGCCCTGCCCCCAGCTCCCCGGGGTGCTGACGCGGCTGCGGTCCGACCTGCTCTCCTACCTGCGGCACGTGCAGTGGCTCCGCCGGGCGGGTGGCCCCTCGCTGCGGACCCTGGAGCCGGAGCTGGGCGCCCTGCAGACCCGGCTGGACCGGCTGCTGCGCCGGCTGCAGCTCCTGGTATGCATCTCCGTCCCGCCGCCCAGCCCGCCTGCCGGGCCCCCAGCCCCAGCCCCAGCCCACCCGACTCCGCCCCCGAGACCCCCCCACCCCTGCAGCAAGCCCCAGCCCAGAAAGTCCAACCCCTCGCCCTGGGGCTCACAGACCCCATCTCTGTTTGCCAAGACTCCCTGGGGAGCCCTCGGTGGAGAGTACAAATCCTCACCTCCAAGGGACTTGAAGACTCTGGCCCCAGATTTGGGGATGCTAGATGCTGAACCCCAAACCTCTGAACCTCCAGAGTCTGAGGTTCCCAGACCCTGATGCTTCCCCAAACCCCATACCCAAGCCCCTGAGACCAGATGACTTTAGACCCCAGTTCCTGGGCCTGACCCCAAAGAACGTGCCCCTCAAATTCCAGCTTCTGGTCTGAGACCCCCCCCAGACTTGAGCCTCAAGCCTTTTCCTGAGTCCCTGAGCTTGGTGGTTAGAGACCCCATATCTAAGACCTCAGTCCTGAACTCCTGGGCCTGACCCCTCACCCCTCACCCGGCCCCAGGATCTCGCCTGGTTCTACAGACCTATCCCCAGACCCCTGAACCCGGAAGTCCTGCCTGAATTTCCTGAACCCCACATCCCGAAGGACTCCCTATCCAGACACCCTATCGTCCCACGGGCCAGGGTCACTGGGAATGTAGCCCGGACCCCCAACCCATTTTCAGCTGAAGTTCCCAACACCCCGCCCCAGCCCCGAGTGCGCCTTGCCTTCCTGCTAACCTCCACACTCTCCCGACAGGCAGCCCGCCTCGCCTTGCCCCAGGCGCCCCCGGACCCGCCGACGCCCCCCCTGGCGCCCCCCGCCTCGGCCTGGGGGGGCGTCAGGGCGGCCCACGCCATCCTGGGGGGGCTGCACCTGACTCTCGACTGGGCGGTGCGGGGCCTGCTGCTGCTGAGGGCCCGGCTGTGAGCACCTGGCCGCGGCCCCTCCAAAGCCAGACCTTATTTATTTATTTATTGCGGGACTGGGGGTGCAGCAGCCAGAAAGCACCCCTGCGAGCTTCCCCTAGCTAGTGACTGCCCTCCAGGAGTCCCTGGCGGGGCATGTGCCTTATTTATACTTATTTATTTAAAGGGTGGCAGGAGGCAGGTGGACACGGCGCCCCAAGCGGGCGGGAACTGGAGTCCCGGGCTCTTGGGGCTCTGAGAGCTGTAGCCACAGCGTCTCCCTGGCCTGCGCCCCTCAGCCGAAGGAACATATATATTATTTATTAAATGACGACTTTCTGTTGGGGTGGGGCGGGATGGGAAAAGGAGGCCTGGCTTTTTGTACAAAACAGAGTGAGAAGCCCGGGTGGGAGAGGGTGGCTTACACGTGTCCTCCTCAGCCACCTCAGGCGATTTCTCTGGGGCCTGGGGGCTGCCAGTTGGGGTCCCCAGGGCAGCGGAGGGGAGAACACGGCTCTGACGGGCTGAGTCTGAGCCTGCTGCTGCCCAGCACTTGGCAGGCACCAAGAAAGAGTCCATGGAAGAAGGACCACCACGAACAACAGGACAGAGCTCCCGGCGGGCTCCAGGCGGTTTGAACCCGCAGACAGGAAGCGACGGGAAGCCCAGCACTGCGGGGGGGGAGGGGGGGGCCCTGGGCCAGGTCGCAGCGCCCCGGGGCACTGGCTGGAGAGAGCAGGCTGCCCGCCCGCCCTGCCGGTGTTTAAAGTAGTAACTCCAGAAGAAAACGCTCAGAACGTAGACACGGGCCACCTCAGGGTGGCAGGTGGGATGGGAGCGTGGGCGGTTTTTATTATTTGTACTTGTATTTTCCAGAATTTCTACAGTGACCGTGTATTTTGCATGACACTTTTTAAAAAAATAATAAACACTATTTTTAGAACGTCAGAATACCAGTCCCCCGCTCCCACTGTGCCCTCGTCGTGGGGTTTTCCTTGCGTGACTCCCACCCCGATCCTCCAATACACCCCCACATTACAGGTGGGGGACTGAGGCTGGGGGGGCGCCTGTGGGTCAAGGCCACACGGCGGTGGGGGGGCACACAGTATGGGGTCCTGCCACTGGCCCAGCTGGCCCAGAGCATGGCCCCTCTTCACAGCTCAAGGGGGCAGCCTGCAGGCAGGGCTCTGGGGGACAAGGGAGCTCTGGGGGGAGGGGAGGGGGAAGGGTCTCACTCAGAGTCCAGAGAAGCAGCAGCGGCCGTTTGGGGCTGTGTTGGGCCCCCTTATGAGTCAGAACTATCCAGTCACAGCATTGGGCACCCCCCCAGCTGGACCCGGGACCTCCAGGCACGTCCCCGTGGAGAAGGGGGCCCGGGAGAGCCCCCAGGAAGCATCCTGTGTATCCGATGAGGTCACAAAGCCCCCCCTGAAGACTCCTCCCCCAGGCCAGGGCTGTCCCCTGCAGGGCCTGGCCAAGCCCGAGGCTCCACCCTCAGGAAGCCTTGCACTCCTGGGGCCACATCAAGAAGCCTGAGGGTCGGTGGGGGGCAGGGTGGGGTGCAGGCTCTGGGGGGCCAGGTCCCTGACTCCAGGCCCGGGCGGCCCACCCTGCCCGCCTCCGCCATGAATTGGCTCTGGAACATCAGGCGCGTGGACCCCCAGCAGGGCTCCCCGAAGTGGGTCCCCACGCTGGGTGAGCTGCAGAAGACCCTCCAGAAGGGCGAGCACCTGCCCCTCCGCCCGCTGCCCATGTTCGAGAGTAACTTTGTGCAGGTTCCCAGCGCCCTGCGCCCCGGGGGCCTGGGGGGCCACGTCCTGGGCAGGGGAGGGGCTGTGGGCCCAGCGGGCGCTGGGCTCCGAGGAGGAAGGGGTGGTCCCAGCCCCTCTCCCTGGCCCCCAGGTGACCAATGGAGGGAGCCCCGTGTATGTGCACCACGGCGCCAACCGGCTGACCATGGGCGTGGCCGCCTCCCTGCCAGGCCTGGTGCTGCCCGACATCCTGCTGATTGCGCGGCCCCCCGAGGGCCGGGATGGCCCCAACGTTGTCCTCACCAGGTGCCTGCACCCCCGGACCTCCGCCCCTCCCCCCTCCCCCAGCTCCTGCTACCAGCTCCGTCTCCCGCCTCCCAGGATGATCCCATTGGACCTGGCCCGCCTGTATGTGCACGACCTGGCCGCCTGGCGCCTGAAGCTGCGGCTAGTCACCGGCCGCTACTACTACCTGGAGCTGGACGCCCCCTACAGCGAGGGGGCCTTCTTGTTCAACCGCTGGATCCGTCTCATCGACCTGCTGCAGCAGCCCAGCAACACCTGGGTCCCCAGGACCGCCCACACCCCCCCACTGGGCCTGGCCAGCACTGAGGCTCCTGCCTCCACCTGGCGCCTCCAGGTGGGGCCTGACCCAGAGTGGTGTGGGAGCAGCTCTGGCTCCAGACCCGGAGGAGGCCAGGTCCAAGCGCCTCGAGTCCAGGGGCCTCTGGAGAGGCTGGGGCCTGGGCTCCTTGGGGTTTGGGAGGAGGGGCTGGGGGCCTGGATTCCGAGGCTGGGGGAGGAGGAGGCCGGGTCCCACTCCAAGGCCTGAAGGGGGGGCAGGCGGGGCCTGGGCCAGCCCTGGGCCTGAGGGGGGAGGGGCTGGGCCCCTCTGGAGTGGGGCCATGGACATGTGGAACAGGGGGAAGTGGCCCCTGCTGACCACCCCTCCCCTGTCCACAGGGTCCGGCCCACACCAGGCGCTCAGGTGAGCTAGGGCCATGAGGCCCCCTGGGTCTGGGGGGGGGCCTCCTCTCCGGGTGGGGCGTGGGTCCCTGGGTCTCAGGCCGCTTCTCTTTCAGTCATGATTGTCCAGCCCACCTTTCCCTACGCGGTGCTGACCTCTCAGAAGCAGAAGAAGGCCAAGGTGAGCCCAGCCGGCATGTGCCGCGCGGGTTGGGGCGCGTGGCTCGGGGCTGACCCGCTGACCGCGCTGCCGCCCCGCCCCTACCGCCAGGCCCTCAAGCGCAGGTTCAAGTCCCAGGCGGTGGGCGACTCCGAGCCCCTCCTCTGGTCCAAGCTGGAGCAGGCCGGCGCCAAGGAGACGCCCTCCAAGAGGCAGGCGGCGGACCCGGCCCCGGGGGCGGGCAGGAGGCAGGTGGCAGCCGCCCTCACAGCCCCGCCCTCTCGCGCCCACAGGTCCCACCCCGACCTGCACAAATCTCAGCACCCCGTTTCCGGTAAGAGGCGCCCCCTCCGCCCGCTCGCAGGCGCGGCCTCCCCTCCCGGGGCTCACCCGCTGTCTCCGCAGAGAAGCCCAGCATCACCATCCGGACCATCTTCAGCATCATCTCCAACACCGTCAGCAACTCGCCGTCCTCCGCCAAGGCAGCTAGGGGCGGGGCGGCGCCCCGGGCGGGCACGGGCGCGGGCCCGGCCCGGGAGGCCCCGCGGCTAGCCGAGCCCTCTGCCCGCCCGCAGGCCTGCTCGTCCGACTCCGACGGGGCCGCCCTGCGGGGCTTGCTGGAGCCGGCCACGCGCTGCGTCCGGCCGGACACCCGCAGCGCCTCCCCGCTGGGCTCCTACGACCACCTGGAGCGGCGCCTGTGGCAGCAGGACATCCAAGACCTCATGGACCCCGAGTCCAGCACCCTGTCCTCCTCCTCCCTGGGCCCGGCCCCCTGCGCGCCCGCCCCGCGCCCGCCCGCGCCCTGCCCCCTCCGCAGACCCAAGGAGAAGGGCAGGCCTGTGGGGGCCCAGCGCAGGCCCAAGCCGCCGCCCCCCCCGAGGGCGCCCCCGGCCCCCCCCTCCTCGCGGAAAGCCCCCTTCCTCCTCGACCGGTCGCACAAGATCCCGGCCGTGCGCGCGCCATCCAGGAAGCTGTCCGGGGGGGCACCCCGCAAGGCCCCGGAGCCCCCCCAGAAGGCCCCGGCCCCAGCCGGCCCAGCCCGGAAGGGGCCCCAGGCCTCGGCCACCCCCCATGGGGCCCCGTCCACCCCGGCCTCCGCCCGGAAGACCCGCCCCGTCTCCCCCAAGGGCCCCGGCGGGCGCACCCCGTCTCAGAGGGCCCCGCCCGCGCCCGGCGCCCCCCCGAAGGCCGCGTCCCCCGCCGCCCGCCGCCGGAAGTCTCAGGTCCCACCGGCCCCGCCCCCGAGGGCTGCGGGCGCCGCCGCCCGGCCCGTGGCGTGGGACCCCGCCGAGGGGGTGCTGCTCCCCAGCGGCTCGGGGGAGGCCCTGCCCGGGCCCCGCGCGGCTGAAGGGCAGCCGGGGCCGCTGGCGCGCGTGGGCACCCAGGAGACGGAGGTGGTGGAGGTGAGGGCCCAGCAGACGTCCCGGCAGCTGCCCGGCGGCACGACCAAGGTGGACTCGACGAGGCTGGTGGTCAGCAGGGCCCACGAGCTCTCCCTGGGCGGCTGGACGGGCGCGGAGAGGCTGCAGGACGTGACCCTCAGGAAGACGGAGGAGACGGTGCTGGACGCGCCGGGGCTCAGGACCACGCGGCTGGGGCAGCAGCACAAGTGGGTCCGGACCCGCGAGCTGGCGGCGGGCGGCCCGGTGCAGGCGCACAGCCGGCCCTTCTCGGCGGAGGGGCTCGCGCTGGCCAAGCTCATGATCCTGGCCAACTCCGCCGAGGCGGCCCTGAGGCCCCCGCCGGGGGCCCTGCCCTCCTGGCTCACCGTGCCCCTGGCGCCCTCCCTGGACGTGACGGACCCCCGGCTGGGCCGGCCTTCAGGGGCGCCCGAGGGGCCCCTGCACGCGGGCCCCGGGGCGAAGGGGAGCACACCGGCGCCTGCGGAGGCGGAGGCCCCGCCCGGGGCGCCCCCGAGGACCTCGGCGGAGGCGGAGGCCCGGCCTGACCCGCCCCGGAGGACCTCGGCGGAGGCGGTGGACCGGCCCGGGGGACCCCGGAGGACCTCGGCGGAGGCGGTGGACCGGCCCGGGGGGCCCCGGAGGACCTCGGCGGAGGCGGAGGCCCGGCCCGGGGGGCCCCGGAGGACCTCGGCGGAGGCGGCAGATGCCCCACCTGGGGGGCCGAGGGAGCCGACTGCAGAGGCCTCCCCCTCCAAGCTGGCCTCCAGCAACCCCAAGACCGGGGTCTCCGAGGCCCCCATCCCCCTGCCCGCACTGAGGTGGGAGGACATGGTGTCCCCGTTCCCCACCGTGCTGAGCCCCACCCCACAAATGGAGACGAGGATGTCCCCCCAGCACAAGGGAGCCCCCCCAGAATCGGAGGGGGCACAGAACCAGCGCCCCCTAGCCACAGTGGGGTCCACCTCAGAGATTCTCTTGCCATCACTCTTGGACATCAGCGACGTGGGGGATGACACTGGCCAGGTGGAGGAGCTGAACACCTTCTCGCGCTTGCTCTCACCCAGGTACTGAGACTGTGGGGCCTGCGCTCCGCCTGGTGGCGTCACGGGTCCCCCTCCACACCCCTGGGAGTTCTGGGCCTTGGGGCCGCACCTAGGGCAGGGGGGGCCAATGGGAGCCTGCTCCACGCTCTGCAGGGCTCGGCGGGGCCCCCAGCCGCAAAGGATGACCTGGCACAGAACTGTGGCTGTGTTCGTGGGGGGCTGTGCTGCAGGCAGGGGGGACAGCGGAGGGCGGTCCTGCGGGGAACAGTTAGCAGGCAAGGGGTGGGGGCAGGAGGGTCTTGGGGAGACTGGGGAGGGAGGAATGGGTGCGGACCTCTGGGGGCGAGCTCCCTGGGGGAGGCACAGCCCCGCAGGGGCCCTGAGGCAGGTGCCGGGAGGGGCCCGGGCCTGAGAGCGAGCTGGGTGCGGAGCAGAGCGGCTGCGCCTGGGGCTTGGCGGGAGGGGCGTGGTGGGGCCCAGCCGGAAGGGCCGGGCACGCTGCGGGGGTGACGACTGCGAGTGGAGGTGCGGCGGGGGACCAGATGTCCAAGGAGAGTGGACAGCGGTGCGGAGAAGCCAGGGGCGGATGGGGGTGCTTTGGCAGCGGAGCCCACGGGCTGGCTCTGGGCTGGGCTGTTGATGTGTCCTCGAGCGTGACCGCGTGGCTTGCGGCCTGGGACGCTGGGCAGACGTGGCCTCGGGAAGCCAGCAGCGGGCCGGGAAGTCCACTGTGGACTTCCTGATTCTGAGACATGGGGTGGGAGGCCAGGATGAGTCTGCGGTGACTTGGGAGACTGGAGGCCACCAGCCAGCAGGTGCAAAGATTCCAGCCCAAGGCAAAGTCCAAAGTGTCTAGAAAAAGGGGGACCAAAGGCACAAAGAGGCAGAGGTGGAGGGAGAGGGCGTGGGGGAGACGGCCCCCAGAATGCCAGGTAAAGAGGAGGACGAGGCAGCGGGTGAAGGGGCCGGACAGAGATGGGACCTTGGGATCATCAGCAGGTGCCTGTGGTGGGGGATCAAGCCCGCGTGGAGCACGCTTCGGGGAGCAGAGAAAGCGGGGAGTCAGGGAGTCGCCGTGCTGCGCACGGCACTAAGGGAAGGGGGACGCGCAGGCCTGCGGGCAGAGCTGGGCGGGGAGGGGGAAGGGGCAGCAACGGCCTCATGGCCTGGGGTCTCTGTCCGGGGTGATGATGGAAATGCCTGGGGTGAGTCTCTGGCTTGGATGTGTTCCGCTGTCACCACGTGCAACGCTGTGGTGTGGATTCCCCACTGCACGCGCACGCACGTGTACACATGTGCACACATGGGGGGGTGAGGGCTTTCCCGGGAACTGCGGAGAGCTCGCAGATGTCCAGATGGGGGGTAGGGGGGCTTGAGAGGGACCCAGATTCAGGCTTGATCCTCGTCCCCCTCAGACCCGGGGTCCGGCCCCTGCCCTGCTTCGGCGGCGTCCAGGGGACCCTTGGCTTCAGGCTCTTGGTCCTGCCTCCTGGAGTTCCTAAGCCCCAGGACTGGGGAAGGCGTGGCCCCAGATTCCAGCCCAGGCTGCGCCCCCTACAGCCAGCCTCCCCCACTGGGGTGTGCTTAGTGACCACTGAGGCTCCTGCGCTGGCAGCCCCCCAGCCTTTTCTGGCTCTCTCTGCAGCCTTGGCACCCTGGACCTTGAATAGCAGGACGCGGGTCTCGACCTCAGTCGCCAAGTGTCAGTGTCAGAGGAGCGGGGCGCGGCCAGGTACCCTCCAGACCTGCAGGGGACCCAGACCCGCCCCAGAGGGGGCGGGCCCAGACCCCCTGGCTCTTTCCTGTCCCCACAGGCCCCCAGGGCGCCGCGTGCTCGGACTGCGAGAAACGGGCGCTGAAAGGCCGGGGGCGGCGGCCTCGGGCGGAGACTAAGCTACGTACGGGCTAAATGTTGGGGGCGGGGCGGGCCAGCTGCGCAGATTAAAAGCCTGAGTCGAGACGCCTGGGTGCTGCGTGCGCGCCCCGAGAAGGGGCTTCGGGCTGGAGGCGGAGGGAGGGCCCACACCACCCCGCGCGCGTTCCAGAAGGTTCCCTGCGGCCCTGCGCTTCCATTGGCTGGGCCCCCGGGGTCCCAGCCAATCCGGCGGGGGGTCGCGTCTTCCGCGGGCTCCCGCGGGCGCGGACCCCTGACCCCGGCAGCGCCCCCACCGAGCCCCTGGAGCAGCCGACCCGGTGACAAGTCGACAGCCGGCTGGTGAGGCCAGGGCGGTGGGTCAGGGTGGGGCTCGGGGGTGCCGGCCGGGGCCGGGGCGCCCCCGGGTGTCACGGGGTTCGGCTCACCTGCAGGAGCAGCCCCTCCGTGGATGTTGGACAGCGACGCCCAGAACTCCCCGCAGGGGAGATTTCCAACGCCGCCCTTCGACCCCCGCTTCCCCAACCAGAACCAGACCCGCAATTGCTACCAGAACTTCCTGGGTGAGACGGTGCCGGCGCGGGTCGGGCCGTTGGGCGAGGCCGGAGGGGGGGGGAGTGCCCGGGAGCCTCGTGGGGCGCAGACCGTTGCTGGGGGCGGGGCCTGCCAGAACGGGCGGGGCCACCCGGAGGGGCGGGGCCAGGCGGGCGGGCGGGGTCTTCCGGGGAGGGGGGCCGAGCAGGGGCGGGGCCAGGCGGGCGGGTGGGCGGGGTCTGTCCGGGCGGGGCGGGGCCGGCGGGCGGGGCGGGGCGAGCGTGACCCCGCCCCCGCAGACTACCACCGCTGCGTGAAGAACATGCGCCGGCGCGGGAAGAGCGCGCAGCCCTGCGAGTACTACTTCCGCGTGTTCCGCTCGCTGTGCCCCCGGAGCTGGGTGAGCGCGCGGCCGGGCGGGGCGAGGGGCGCGGGGCGCGGGCCGGCCGGCTGAGCCGGGCCTCCCTCCTCCGCCAGGTGCAGCGATGGACCGAGCAGATCGAGGAAGGGACCTTCGCGGGCAAAATCTGACTCGCGCGCGTCCTCGAAGGCCCAGGGCCCGCCCCGGTGGGGAACCTCGAATACAGCCTGTCTGAGCGGCTTCCCCGCGTGCTGCCTGGCGCGCGAGGCCTCCGCGCCCTAGACGCGTCCCTGGCTTACATTCTGGGGCCGCCTCCGTTGGGACTGGGATGGGGAGGGACCAGCGCGCCCCTTGGGCCTTCACTGCTGCCCCGCCGCCTCCCCGGGACCCTAGGCTCGCCAGTTGCCAACACTCGCCCACCAAGAGGGCTCCGGAGTGCTCTGCCTTTCCACTCCCACCCCCAAGACCCCTCTTCTCCCCTGGGCCGGACCACCTCCAGGCTCCTCCGGGCTGCCTGTGCTGCCCCAGCCCATCTTGTCGCCAGTCCTGGGGGGCCCTGTTAGACCATCCAGTTGACTTGACCACCCTGAGGTCACTTTGCTCCCCCCTCTGACTCCATCTCTCTCCAGGCTGCACTGTCCCCATCACGTGAGCCCCTCCACTGGGGCCCTCTACACTCCTCCCTCCCTCAATGATACGGGCCGCCCAGACCCCGCACGTCTGCTGGCTACCAGGCGGTGTTCTTGGTTCCTCCCCGGACCATCCCTCACATGGGACTCTTGGACTCCGGAGTGCCCATCTTTGCTGCCCCCTGCCCACATGCCAGCCCCACCCTCACTGAGCTGCCAGGTCACCAGGCTAGACGCCACCCACTGCCTCCCTGCAAGGAAAGGGCGAGGAATGACCTGGAGGGAGAGGGCAGTACCCAGTGGGGCTGCCTCGGCGGGGGCGGATCCAGGTAGGCTGGCTCTCCATGGGAAGAGCGGCCCCCATGCAGCTGCCTGCACCCCAGATTCCACCTGCAGCAGCCTCGCAAGACCCTGTTCAGTGCTGGGGTTCAAGGGTGGCAATATCAACGGCTACAGCGTGCTGGGTGACCCTGAACAGGCGTGTGGACCTGAGTTTGCAGGTTTCCCAGCTGTCAATGAGGAGGGCGGAGTCCTGTCGTCAGATGGGGCGGGAGGGTGGCTGAGCCTACCGCCACTCCCATCACCTGCCATGACCCGTCCACCAAGCCCTGGTCACCCCAGACATGCCCTCCCCGGGTGACTCTGCCCTGACACTGGCCCAGGTCCCCGTTGGGGTGCCCCAGGGGGTGCCTCCATAGAGGGCTGAAGTAGGAGGCTGGCCTGCAACTTGAGCTGCTGGGCCACCTGCTGGGCCCACCAGGCACCCCCACCCGGCCACCACCAGGAGGCCCTCCCAACCTCCCTCCTCCCCCTGCTGGGCCGGGATCCTCCCCGCCATCACTTCCAGGACTTCTGACACTCCTGCCCTCAGATGCCTGAGCAGGGAAAGCCGGCCGCTGCCTCCGCCCACCAGACCTACACCACCGCCCACTGCCACCTCTGCCTGCCTGGCCCCTCTCTCCTCCCCCCGTTTCCTGCCTATTCCTCTTCCCCTCACCCCCAGCATTTTGGCCCAGGCCATCCCTAATCAGGCTGAGCCTGAGAAATGTTCTAGTCTCCCCCCATCCCCGGAGTTTACCAGCCAGCCCCCACCCCCAGGCATGCTTGGTTCTGTGCTGTACCTCAGTACTGTACTGCACCCCTTTCAGGCGCGAAGCATGCGCTCCCAGAGCTGGGCGGAGCGCTGTGCAGAGCAGGGTCTGGCCCGGCTGCTCCCCAGGCGTGAGGTGTCTGAGTGGGAGAGCCCATCCACACCAGGGCTGCCTGCGTGGTGTGAAAGCATCAGCACCCCAAGGGAGTGGGGTGCGGGGCAGGAGCTGCTGTCCTGGCTTTTAGGCGGGCTGAGAAGGCTGAGCAGTTCCCTGCTTCCAACTGCCTGTTCGCCCCGGGCTGCCTGCCCCTCTGGCCGTGGCCCCCTGGTGTGACGGGAGCTGGGAGACACTAGGCCTCCTTGGGCTGCGCCTCCAGGGCACCTGCACTACCAAGCCTGAGCCGGCCGCCAACCACTGGCCCCACCCAGGCCCTGCCTCTTCCGCACGCTGCGGGGCTGGGACGCCCTCTATCTGCCGGGGGAGGCAGGGCCAGCCGAGCAGAGACCCACACAGGGGAGCCCGGCCAGGCCTCCTCCTGGGACTGTCCCTCCAGCCCTGCGGCTCCTGCTGCTCTGGCCTGGCCCCAGGGGCACGTGCCTGGCCTTGGTGTCACAGCCCAGTGGCCCTGCTGGTGCCTGCGGGCAGAGCCCACAGCCTGAGCAGGGGCACCAGCACCAGAACCTCCGCCCAGGGCACAGCTGCTCGTGCAAGAGACGCGCGGGGCAGCCCTGGCCAGTGCGCAGGCCCGGCGCTGCTCTCGTCTGTCTAGACACCCTGACTTCAGACACGGCCACCCTGGCCTCGGACGCGCACTAGGACCCCAGTGTCAGCCTTGGGGCGCGCGGGAGACCCCTGGCAGAGCAGCTAGACCCTGCAGTCCCCGGATGTAAACGGAAAAGGACTTTCAGGTGGCAGCATCACCTGCTCGAGACTCGGCTCCTGCGGGCACCTCCCTCCTGAGGGCTCCAGGGTGGCCCAGCCAGGCCACCTCCACCAGGGCCACCTCTTCCGGGGCTGGTGTTGGCAGGAGGGCTCGGAGGCCGCTGCCCTCAAGCGCCCCCCAAAGCTGGCCAGGCCCAGCGAACCGGGAGCGTCCGGCGTGTGGTGGCGCTGGATGGGGTGCCCCACCCGCAGTCAGCCGGGAGGCTCAGACAGGGCGGCCGCTGAGCTGGAGCCAGGAACCGCGGGTCCAGGAGCCTGGCCAGGCAGACCCGCCCCAGCACCTGACTCCCGTCCCCCTGTGCGAGGCCCTGGCAGGCCGCGGGACCTGTTATCCCAACTGGGAGGCAGGCGGCCCCCAGCAAAGGCGCTCGACTGGAGGCGGGGTGGTGGACTGGCCTCCACGCCCCTCCCCTCACGGCTGGTCTCCCCGGCGAGGCTCTGGGGCTCACCCCGCTGAAGGACAGCCCTCAAAACCCGAATGAAAAGCTCGCAGGGTGTTGCTTATGACAAGGTTTTAATAAAATAAAAAGTTCAAGTGCTTCCGACCCCCCAACACACCACACTCCGGTGCGGGAGAGGGAGGGAGCCCCCACACCCCAGTAGCACCAGGGATAGCACCATGAGAAAGACGAGGTTGCACCGGCCTCCCTGAGACCCACCAAGCTCTGGGCGGTGGGGACTGGCCCCGACACCCCCACCTTGCCCCCACCACACTCGGACAGAGCAAACGCACCCCGGGGGCGCCCCATCCTGGGGCCTGGACTTCGGGGAGGTGCCGGCCCCCACCCCTTATGGCTTTGCTCCCTGGGGGGAGGGGAGGGGGAGGTCTCCGGTCCTGAGGCGGGGCTGGGAGGGCCGCAATGGCTCAGGGGTCAGCAGTCACAAGGGTCAGGGGTCAGAGCCCTGGGGGGGCCCAACCAAGCCCCTGCCAGGTCAGGGCTGTGCTGGGGTCGGGGTCCGCTCCCTCCCAGAGTTCTGCGCTCCTGCTGGGGTCCTGCGTCCCGGGCAGCCAGGCCGGGGTCTCGGAGGGACCCCTGCTCCGGGGGGCCCAGGCCGCAGGCAGCCGTCAGGGCCCGTCGCTGCCGACGTCCAGGTCTATGGAGCCGTGGCTGACCACCAGCCGCAGGCGCTTGGGCGGGGAGAAGGGGGCAAAGGCGAGGGCCTGCTTGGGGAGGGGGAGTGGGCCCGGGGTCCCCAGGGGCGGGGGGGCGGCAGGCGGGGCGGGGGCCACCCGGCTTAGGTCCACGCGCACCACGTAGGGCAGCCCGTAGCGCCGGGCCCAGTGCCAGTCCTGCTGGGGGGCCCAGCGGGCGCGGGGGGCCCGGCCCAGGACCACCAGGGCTTCCGCCCGCAGGCAGCAGTGGGGGCTGCAGCCTCCCCACCGATGCAGGGAGACGCGGGCGGCGGGGAGCACGGGCAGCGGCGGGGCCCGCCTGGGCGGGGGGCGTCTGCGCCTCCGGGGTCGGCCCCGGAGCTGGGGCTGCGGCCGCCACTGGAGCCAGAGGGGTGAGGCGGCGGGGCGGGTGCCGCAGGGCAGCGGGCACAGGGGCTGGCAGGAGGCTGCGGAGGCAAGGGGCGGGTCAGCGGGGCTTCTGCCGGGGGCCTGTGAGGGGCCTGGCGGGCAGAGGCTGAGGGCAGAGCTCACCGCAGAAGGGGTCCCAGCGCGGCGCGGCCAGGTGGGCGCAGGCCCGGGCGCCCGGCGGGCCCTGCTGCAGCCGCCGCTTGGTCTCCCGGAGCTCGTACTTGTCCAGGGGCCGCGGCGGCAGGGGCTCCCGGGGGCGCTGCCGGAAGGCGCCCTCCCCTCTCCTGGAGAGAGGCAGGAAGGGGTGAGGGGGTGAGGGGCGGGCCCCGGTGCGCCCAGGCCCCGCGCCCGCTGCCCCGCCCACCTCTCGCAGGTGTAGCACTCGCAGAGCTCGTTCTTCTCCCCGAAGAAGCCGTCGCCGTAGAAGCACGTCACCTCGTCCCCGGGCTCGATGTCCCGCAGCACCTTCACGCAGGCCGCGTTCCCGTCTGCGGGCACAAACTGGGGGCCGCGCCCCTCAGCACCCCTGAGGGGAGGCGCGGCCCGTCCCGGGAGGGCTTGGTCCCTGCTCCGGGGAAACTCAGAACCACCTCAGGGACGCAGGCAGGCGGTGCCGGGGGGGCTCTGGCTGAGACACAGGGAGCACCGGGCGGTGGCGCCACCCTGCAGGCCAGCCTCCCCGAGGACCACCCTCCCCTGCCTCCTGGGGCAGAGTGACTGCTCCCCAGTCACCTTCCACCCCCCAACACCCTGAGCCAGCCCCTCAGCCCCTGCCAATTTGCTCCCTGGCACCGAGGCCCAGCCCTGCCTGGCCAAGCCCACACCGCCCCCAGGCCCTGGGTCCACTCCCAGCCCCAGGCCAGCCTCTGCACTCCCCATGGAGGGGCAGGACCCCCGTGGGGCTGGCACAGGGCCTCAGAAGCTGCCCAGGGGATCAGACAGGGGCATGCTATCGCCCTGGCCCACACAGCCCCTCAGTGACAGGGGCGAGTACCCTTGGCGCTGTGCCCGGACCCGACAGGAGGCCCAGGGATGGCCACCTCCAGGCTCCTGCAGGGGGCAGCCAAGGCCCCTGCCAGCAGGGTATCAGCCAGGCCCTGGGGCCATGTCCCCTCGGGAGCTCCAGGCCACCCCACAGAAGCAGCACCCAGCTTCCCCGCCTGTCAGCCCAACCCTCTGTGGCGCTCCCGGAGGCTGCCAGAATGGGCTCTCCCAGCTGTGCACCTGCCCCGCTGGCGCCCTCCTGGCTGCTCACCCCCATGTGCCCCCAAATTGGCGCTGGCCCCCCACTTCAGTTCCCAGAGGAAGGAGTTGCCAGCAGAGGGCAGCCAGGCTCAGGCTGACTGTAACCGCCAAGGTCCCGCTCCCCCCAGCCGGGGCACAGACCCCCTCCCTGCTTAGAGTGTTGGGCAGGAGCGCCCCCCCCATGCCCCCGCCGCCTGCTCCCCTGCCCGCTCCTGGGGGTTCCCAGCTCACCTTGCAGTTGGGTTTGCAGTCTGCAGCCGGGCCGAGGGGTGGGGAAAGAAGAGACTGGTGTGAGGGCGCAGGCTGGGGGGAGCCCGCCCCGCCCTGCCCGCCCGCCGTGCACCGCCGCCCACCGTGGTTGATGAAGGCCGCGGGCCCGAGCCACAGCTGCGCGCTGCGCTTGCGGGTGGAGTACATGATGCTGAAGTCGTTCTCGCCCGCCCTCAGCAGCCCCTCGTCTGCCTCCCGCAGCTCGGCGATGCAGCCCACCAGCAGCTCCAGCTTCTCGTTCTTCTTCCTGCCGGGTGGCGCCGCGCTGAGCAAGGCCGCCTCCCACCCGCCACAGGTGGACCGCAGCGCCGGCCTCCCGCGCTGCCCCCCAAGGCCTCCAGCACACCGCGGGGCCTCCCCCACAGTGCCCAGCCCTCCTGCCGCAGGCAGGGGGCTCCGGGGTGCGTGGAGGCCCGACCCACCCCACCCCATTCGCCCGCACCCCTGCGGCTCATCCTCAGGTCTCGGCCAGGCCTGGGGAGGGGGCCTGTCCCCCCGCAGGGAGCCTCCCGGCCAGCTGCGCATACCAAGCTCGGGTGGACACGATCTTGGCGCCGTTGGTCTCCATGGAGTAGCGGGTGCAGGGCAGGATGGTGAAGCCGCTCTCAGGCAGGAAGGCGCGGAGGTAGCGGTAGATCTGGGGGGCGAGGGGGCGGGTGAGGAGTCGGGGCAGGGCGGCAGTGCCCCTGTCCGGGGCTCCACTGCTCTGCACAGCGGCCGCTGGCCTGGGGGAACGCACTTCCCCTGGGGCCTCCGCTTCCTCCTCTGCCAGTGGAGGCCGGCCCCCCTCGGAGGCCCCCAGCGCTCCTGCGTCCCGGTGGCCAGGAGCGCAGGCGGCCCAGGGCGCCGACGGAGGACACGCGGGGGAGGGGAAGGGCGGGCTCCCTCACGTGGGTCTTGAGGGCAGCCTCCTGCCGCGGGCCCCGGCTCTGGAAGTAGTGGGCCATCCAGCCTCCCAGCGTCAGGGCCCGGTACGCAGCCTCCAGGTCCCGCTGCCTCAGGAAGGCTTCCAGCGCTGAGCGCAGGTGGTGCTGTCGCCGCAGGGGGGGCACGGGGCTGGGGGAGAGGGCACGCCTGGGTCCCGGGGCCTCGGCCTAGTCCCTGGGCCTGCCCGGCCCCGCCCCCGACCCCGCGGAGCTGAGGGAGGCGCGGGGGCTGGAAGCAGGGCCCTGTCCCGCCCTGCCCGCCGCCTCACCTAACGTTCATCTTATGGGTGCGGAAGCCAAGGTAGGGGTCCAGGACCAGGCTGGTGGCCAGGTCGTCGTTCTCGCACAGCTCCCGGGCGGTCACTCTGTCGGGCCCCATGGTGCCGCGCGCACCATGCTGTCTCCCGCCGGGTGCGCGCCGAGCGGGCCAGGGGCCGGCGCCCGCGGGGGTGCCCGCTGGGCTCGCTCCAGGCGGGGAGCCGCGGGCCGCCCGTGGGGGGTCGAGCAGGAGGTCGCCTGGGCCCTGAGCCGGGGAGAGCGGCGTCACGCGGGAAGGTGGATGCAACAGGTCCCGCGCGCAGGGAAGCCGGGGCCGGGAGCGGCGTGCGTCTCGCCCGGGCTTGCGGGCACACGGGCGCCCAGGCACGCGCCGCACACCCAGCCGCGGGCAGGCGCAGGTCCTCGCCCCGCACCAGCCCAGCGCACGCGCCCCTGCTGGCCCCGCTGGCGGGGGAGGCCGGTCGGTCGGCAGCCTGGGGTGACCCTAAAGGCTCAGCTGAGCCGTAGGTGGGAGTCGAGGGACCCAGCGCCCAGCAGGGAGGGGCTGTCCCTCCCTACCCTCCCTGTCCCCACTCTCCACAGCCCCGGGGAGTCGGAGGGCTGGGGGAGGGATCCCAGCACCTGCTCCCTCGCCAAGGATCCCGAGGGGGCGGCGGGGACAAAGCGGCGCGGGGAACGCGGGGGCGGCGCGGGAGGGCAGGGCCGGCCACAAAAGGGCAGGGAGAAGGGACTGAGAAAACCAGAGCCCGAGCCCTTGCCTGGGGCGCCCACACCAGGGTCCTCAGGGAGAGCATGGGGGGCGGCGAGGAAGGGGGAGCTGGAGCGCCATCGGAGCCCGAGCGGCTGGAGAGGGGTCCCCCAAGCCGGGGTGGGGTAAACAAGAGGCCCGGGGGGCCGCAGGAGCGGGGGCGGGCGGGCGGGCGCAGCAGGGGCCGGGGGAGGGCCGAGGCCCGGGGTGGACAGAGGGCGGGGCCGGGAGGCGGCGGGCAGGCCAGAGACTGGGGCCCGGCGAGCAGGGCGCGGGGGCGGGAGGGTCCCCACGGCGAGGCGCGGCGGCTGGGCGGGCGGAGCATGGGAATCCGGCAGGCGCGCGCAGCGAGGGGGAGAGGAAGTGGGGTGCACGGGGGCCTGGGAGGCGGGGGGGGGCCGGACGGCCTGCGGGGGGGGAGGGGAGGCGGCGGGCGCGGGGTGCAGGGCCCGGAGGCCACGAGGGCGCAGGGTGCAGGCGAAGGGCCTGAGGCCGCGGGCGGAGCGGTCGGGCGGCCCGAGGGTCCGCGCAGGGCCCGGGGCGCGGGGCGCACGGGGAGCCCGCGGCCGCGGCAGGGCCGGGAGACGTGGGCGCCGCACACGAGGAGGGCTGGCCGGGGCGGGGTCGTCGGGGCTGGGGCGACTGGGAGCAAGGCGGCGCGGGGCGGGGGCCAGAGGGGGCTCAGGTCGGGCCCCGCGCCGCCCCTCACCCGCTTCTCCTCCTCCGCCTCCTCCTCCGGCGCCCGCGCCGCCGCCGCCACCACCTCCCACCGCCTCCTCCAGCTCTCGTCAGACGCGGGCGCCGCGCCGCCCGGCTGTCCAGCAGGGCCGCCCGGCCACGGCCACCGCGGCCTTCCATTGGCCAAAGCTCCCGCCACTCTCCGGTTGCTACGGAGCTGGCTCCGCTCGCATTGGCCGAGCCCCGCCCCGCCCCGCCCCTCCGCCCCGCCCGCCCCTCCTTCGGTGCCCCCGCGGAACCCCGCCACGCCCGCCCCGCCGTCAAGCGCTGCCGATTGCAGCCATTGGCTCACACTGCTGCCCTTCCGCCGCTGCCATGGAGACGCAGCCCCGCCCACAGCCCGAAGGCGAAGCCCTCATTGGCGGAAAGCGCCGTCGCTCCTGGCGAAGCTCGGGTTTGGGTCAGGTTATGCGGGTCCCGGCGGAAAAGAGCGGGCTCCGCGGGCTTCAGAAGCCGCACGTGATTGGCTGGCCCTGGAACGGCGCGCGCCTCCATTGGCCAAGGTCTCCGCCCGTCAGCGCGGGGCCTCGCCTCCCTCTCGTCTTTCTTCAGCCCCGGGGGAGCCCGCGGGGGCGGGCGCGGGGTGCGCGCGCACCTCCGGGGTCCCACTCCGCGAGGCCTGCGGTTGCCAAGGCGACGGGACTTTATTGACTGCCCTGCCGGGCTACAAAGGACTCTCCAGCGCTCCCAGACCCCCTTCTCGCCCCCGACTCTCCGGTTCCATTCGGGGCGCACCCGCGATAAGAACCAGGGCGGGGGGAGTGGGGCCTCGGGGACAGCGCGGACACGCGGGGCGCTCCCCCGGGCACCCCCACCCGGAGGAGTCCCCCTCGGCGCGGAGCCTGGAGACACATGTAATTAGCAAGTCGCCGCGATCACGCCCCAGTCCCCGCCCCGCGGTCTTTGTTTTGCCGCTGCCGGGCGTCCTGTGTCCTCTGTGCCGGGGACAATGGGTGGCTGGGGCAGGTGCTCCCTGGAGGCGTCCTGGATGGCCTGGGACCACAGGGACCCCGGGCGCACCTGAGCCGGGCATGCGCGGGCGCTCGGAGTCGCTCCGTGGACCTGGGCTGTGGCTGGCGGCTCTGGGCCCAGCACGCAAGGACCACCCTGGTGCTGCTCTGAGGGATCCTCCTTAACCCCCCCCAGGGCGCCTCCATCCCTGTTCATGTGGGTCCCCCATAACTGGGACTACCCCAGCTCTGAACACAGACACACACACACACACACACCCCACACACACACTCCACACACACACACACTCCACACACACACACACACCACACACACACACTCCACACACACCACACACACACTCCACACACACACACACACCCCTACCCTGGTGGGAGTGACCACAGGGCCTGAGGGAAGAGCAGCAGTCCCCACAGCGGGGGAGACAGGAGGCATCCACAGAAAGCCTCACTGTGGGGGGCCCATCAGTGTGCCTGAATCTTGAAAGGACACCCCAAAGGGTCCCTAAGCTGTCTGCATGTGAGCAGAGAGATAAGCAGGACGGAGCAGGAGGGAGCTCGGTAGCAACGCTTTCAATGAGAAAAGCCCAGATGGACCGGGCTGTCATGGGAGGAACGTCGCGCCAGGGCTCAGGCGGCGGTCCCGGGCTCAGGCCAGTGCGGCTCAGCCTGGTCTCCAGGGCAGTGGCTCTGGGAGGTGCCGCTCAGCCGGGACGGGCTGCCCTACCATCCAGGCTGCCGTGGCAGCTCTGACACTCCCACAAGCCAGCCGGGTCCTGAAGCACCACGTGTCCAGTGGGGACTCCCCACAGTGAAGAGGATGAACAGCCCGCACGTCGGGCATCAAACGGGAACCCCAAGCGGTGTCACCAGTTCCAGAAACCTACACTGTCAAACGCAGGAAGTTTGTTTCTTTGTATTTATTTTAAAAATTTATTTATGCATACAAGAGCTAGGGTGCGGGTGAGAGGTCTGCAGGGGGTGAGAGGATTCACCAGAGACAGAGTGGTTGGGGGTAGTTCACAGTGCCGAGACTCAACCCCTGTGCCACCAGGGAGGCCCTGCCAGAAGTTTATTATCTTTTTTTAAGATTTATTTATTTATTTATACAAGAGCTGGGGTCTAGGCCAGAGGTGTGGGGGTGAGAGGACTCACCAGAGACAGAGCGGGGAACAGAACAGGCAGATCTACTGAAATCCACTGCTGAGGGGAGCAGCGGGTGAGACAGGAGAGGTCGGCCGCGCCATGTGGGTTTCTTTTTTTTTTTTTTTTTTTTTTTTTTTAAAGATTTATTTTTGTTTATTTATACAAGCACTGGGTACAGTCAGAAACGCGGGAGGGTGAGAGAATTCACCAGAGCCAGAGCGGGGAGCAGAGCAGGCAGAAGGACCGAAGTACACTGCTGAGGGGAGCAGCGGGCAGCAGGAGAGGTCTGCGCGCTATGTGGGACCCTCCTCCGGTGGGCGGGGAGCAGCCGGGATCGAACCGGCGCTGCAGAGGCCGCGGGCAGCTTCGGAACCCAGCGCTCAACCGCTGCGCCACTGGGGAGGCCCGCCATGTGGGTTTCTCCTTGGCCAGCTGGGGACTGAACCCGAGCCGCAGAGTGCCGAGGACCAGCACAGCAGGAGACGAGGAGGCCGCCTCAGGGTTGAGAGAAGCGTGCAGGGTGGTCAGGGCGTCGGTGAAAGAAATGACAAACAGACACACTTCAAGAGAGTGAAAATCTGAGTGTAATTTTCTTTGAGTTGGTGACCAGTATATATATGTTCTCTAAAGGCATAGGAAAGGCGAACATCAGTGAAGAAATCCGCTTGCTTATAGGTTTAGCTTATCATTGACAGGGCGGTGATTTACATCTGGACCCAGGCGCAGTCCTAAGTAGTTAGGCTATTCATTTTTCTTTTTATTTTATGTGATTACTTTTTGTTTAAACTACTCACTACCACTAAATTACTATTAATTAGCACGGGTGAGTTTTACTTTTCACAATGTAATATTTTTATCATTAAGATGAATACTAACAAGGCTAAGCATACAACAGAGAAATTATTAAGCTAACAGTTCTATTAATACACAGAGTTTAGTAACATTTCATTTGAATCAGCCTAGTTGTTAGATTTCGTAAGTTCTTTTTTAATTGGCAAACCAATGACCTTTTTAGACAGAGAAAGAGAAAAGATTTTAGAGAGACAGTTGTATTAGAATGAAGTTTGTGGGTCTTGAGAAGGCGAGATAAGTTTCCGTGCGGACAGCATTCCTGTAGTGGCTCCTGGTGGTCGTTATCTTTCCACAGGCTTCTGTCTTATCTATGTCTTCAGGGAGTTTGCTGTTCTCCCCCTGCGCGCTGGTTCCTTGCCCAGCTGGACCTAGGGACGGTGGCGAAAGCCATTAGCCCTAAAGGTCACTGCAGGGGGAGGTGCAGCAGCAGAGGCTGCGGATTGCCCCACAGCGCGGCGCTCAATCCCCTGTGCCACCAGGGAGGCCCACCTGCTGGAAGTTTAAATACACACATTGGATGCACGGCGTAATAGTGAACAACCCCGTGTGGGCTCGAGAGAAGACAGGGAGAGAGGAAGGACAGAGGGCAGGGGATGTACGTGGGGATGGAGGTGGAGGGAGTAAGGAAAGCCGCCCCAATGTTGTGCTTGGGATTATTTGTTAAGTCCAGGGGTGGAAACCATGA